TACGCTTCAAACCTACTTAAACCTCAAGCGTTTTTCCTATGGCATGTGGTTACAGCTATGTTGATAGTAAATCACCAAAAAAATTGTACAGCCAGAGTTGGTGGGAGGGACGAATGATATAATGTACAGTGCTTACAGAATAGCGGGAATTGCCTCTAGGTTGCTGTATTCTGGGCTGCTGGCAGAGGGGAATAGAATGGCTGGAAGAGAATTGCATTGGCTCTCTTGAAGTTGTGGGGGTGGATGTCCCCTTCTCAAAACCTTTGGTCTTTCTCCATTGTTTTTCCTAGTACAAGTAAGACAAAGGAATATGGATCTCCCAAAATCTGAAATAAGGCAACCGCAAGAGCTACAGCCTGTTGCTGTGATTTGCTTTGTATCAACATTTTGCAATGTTTATGACATGGGCAATTTTATGTGATGGTCATATTAGACATAGTAAAAAGGCATCTTGTTGAATACTTTTCATGCCCAGACAGGTCAAAACTATAAAGGACAAGTGGGGAAATTTTCATAGAACTGTATAAAAAGAAAACATTGTCAACTATGAATATGAAAAGGTGGGATTCAAAGAGTAAAGTAGCCAATCAGAGCACAGTAAGCAGTTACATCACACATCATGCTCAAATGTGACACTACAAAAGGAAAAGAAAGCTTCTAGGTGGACTTGCTTTCAACGTAGAGTAATCTCTGCTGGCAGGAATCTGCATTGGTTAGGTATGCACTGTTCATTCTCTTCTTTTCTTTTCCTTTTGAAACCTTTGTCCACACATCCCATGGTATCAATTTCCTGCAAGTGCATTTGGTGCCAATATGTTTAAAAGATAAGTTTGAGCATCTATTTATAAAGTAACTGTTGAATGTAAAATGACTGAGTTCTTCCCAACCTCAGAAAAATCATGTCGCTGTGGACCCGGATATAGACAGGAAGTAGGAGTCTGTGAAGATAACAGGAGGTCTGTTTAATTAGCTTTATTATCCATTAATCATTTCCTCCACATTCTGCTTTCTTTGAAGCCTACCCTGTGTAAGAAGGAGTCCAAGTTTGGGAGTCCAAGATCCGTTAGAAAATACTGCCTGTGATACTGGTATTTTGAACCAGCTCCACACAGCGTTGCTTGCTAACTTCAGATAACCCAGCAGAATGGGGACATGGTGTTGGCTCTGGTGACTTGTCTGAGAGATACTATTCGTCCTTCCAGAACATCATTTTCTCTTTATCTGGCTAGAAATAGAGGAGAATACAGACTGTCTAATCTCATTTCATTTTTTGATTGAGTAGCATCCCTGGTGTACTGTGGGAATGCTGTGGACATAATCTATCTTGAGTTTAGCAGAGCTGTGACTAAGTTTCCCGTGATATCTTGGTTAGCAAACTAGCCAAAAGTGTGCTAGATAGAACAACAATCCAGTTCATCCACAGTTGGCTACAAAATTGGAACCAGAGAGTGCTCATCAATGGCACCTCCTCAAGGTGGGGGGAGGTAACTAGTGGGTAGCGCAGGGTTCAGTCCTGGGCACATGCTGCTCAACATTTCCATTAATGATTTGGATGGGGAGGTGCAGGGAATGATAATCAAATCTGCAGATGACACAAAATTGGGTGAGATAGCTAACAGCTTGGAAAACAGAAAGAATATTCAAGGTAACCTTGATAGGTTGGAGCACTGGGCCGAAAACAACAGAATGAAATTCAGTAGGGACAAATGCTCCTCGGAAAAAGCAACCAAATCCATTGCTACAAGATGAGGAATGCTTGGCTCAACAGTACTGCAAGTGAAAAGGATCTTGGGATTGTTGTGGATCACAAGCTGAATATGAGTCAACAATGTGATGTGGCTGCAAAAAGGGCAAATGCTCTTTTAGGCTACATTCGTAGAAGTATCACTTCCAGACTACATAGAGTGCTAGTTCCCCTCTACTCAGCACTGGCTAGACTTGACCTAAATACTGTGTCCAGTTCTGGGCACAACAGTTTAAGAAACGTAGAAACAGAGCAGGTCAGAAGGGGCCTCCTGGGCCATCTAGTCTGAGCTCCAGCACCAGCCGGCTCTGCTCATGACATGCCCACCATGTGGACGTCCAGCCTATCCTTGAACACCCTCACTGATGGGGCCTCAACCACCTCCCGTGGAAGCCCATTCCACACCCTCGGGGCCCTGACTGTCAGGAAGTGCTTCCTGGCATCCAAATGGAACCTTGGCTCCCTGAGCTTTGCTCTGTTGGAGTGCGTCCTGCCTTCCTTTGCAGGGGAGAACAGGTCTCTGCCCATCTCCATGTGACATCCCCTCACATACCTGTATGTCGCCAACAGATCCCCTCTGAGTCTCCTCTTCTCCAGGCTGAAGAGACCCAGTTCCCTCAGTCTTGCCTCATATGGCATCCCCTGCAAACCGGACACCAACCTTGTGCCCTATGCTGCACTGACTCCAACCTGGCTATATCCTTTCTGTAATGAGGGGCCCAAAACTGAGCACAATACTCCAGTTGCGGGCGCACCAGAGTCATATAGAGTGGTAGTAATACCTCTCTCGATCTAGAAGCCACACTTCTGGCTATGCAACCAAGGGTGGCGTTCGCCCTCTTGACAGCCGCATCACACTGCTGACTCATGTTTAGCCTGCAGTCAACTGGTACCCCGAGGTCCCTTTCACAAATGCTGCTCTCCAGCCACTTGTCCCCTAACCTGTACTTATGACACCTATTCCTATGCCCCAAGTGCAAGACCTTGCACTTATCCACATTGAACGCCATCCTGTTGTCTCCTGCCCACTTCCATAGTCTGTCCAGATCCTTTTGGATCTGGAGTACCTGCTCCTCAGTTGTGGCCACTGCTCCAGTTTTAGTGTCGTCTGCAAATTTGATCAGCAGACTGTTCACCCCTTCTTCCATGTCATTGATGAAAAGTTTAAACAGGATCGGTCTCAGGACAGAGCCCTGGGGGACCCTGCTTGTCACTGGCCGCCATCCGATGATTCCCCACTAATGGTTACCCTCTGCTTTCGGTCAGTCAACCATGCCCTAATCCACCAGACAGTGCTTTGGTGTATCCCAAAACTCCTCAGTTTCTCCACCAGGATATCATGGGGCACTTTGTCAAAGGCCTTGCTGAAATCCAGGTATGCCACATCCACTGCATCCCCTCCATCTAGCCATCTCGAAACCTTGTCATAGAATTCCCCAAGGTTTGTCTGGCAGGACCTGTTTTTGCAGAAGCCGTGTTGTGTGGCTGTCAGCCTCCCTTCCCTATCTAGCATCACTAGATCTCTCTCTATTATGAGCCTTTCCATTGTTTTTCCTACAATGGACATAAGGAGATGGAGAAATAGATGTAAGAAAGATGGAGACAAGCTGGAAAGGGTTCAGAGGAGGACAACAAGGATGAGGACAACAAGGACTGGAAACAAAGCTGTGTGGGGAGAGATTGAAAGAACTGGGCCAGTTGGCCTTGAGAAGAGAAGATTGAGGAGAGCTGTGATAGTACTCTGCAAGTCCTTGTAAGCCTGTCACAAAGAGGAAGGACAGGTTCCCTTCTCAATCATCCCAGAGTGCAGGACATGGAATAATGAGCTCAAGTTACAGCCAGCCAGATTCTGGCTAGATGTCAGGGAAAAATTCCTGACTGTTTGAGTGGTATGACAATAGAAGCAATAACCCGGGGAAGCTGAGGGCTGTCCCACACTAGAGGCTTTCCAGGTGCAACTGGACAGCCATCTGAGAAGGATGGTTGAACTTGGAGTCCTGCACCGAGCAGGGGGTTAGACCCGATGGCCTTCTGGCCCCTTCCAACTTTATGATTCTGTGATTCTAAAAGTTTCAAGTGAGGAAAGGATACTTCTGACATTCAGGATATACCAGCATTGATAGACTGTCATTTAACAGACTTGGAGAACAAGCAGCTGGCCTGGGACGGTATATGCAGCGGTATGTTCAGGGCCGGATAGAACTGTGCCCTGCCATGACGCTGCCTCCCCCAGGTGCAACAGTGCACATGTGCTTTAAGGAGAAGTGCAGCCATAGAGGCTGCCAGAGTTTGAGGCAGCTGCAGAAGGAATGCCATATTCTTCACCAGAGGTTCTATTACCCCCAGAATTCGGGACCATGGCACCATTCCTGAATTCATGGCAGGCTAATTCTGCGTCGCCTGATGACACCCATCATTAGGAGCAATGATTCCCTCCCAAATGCCTGCCTTCCTCTAATGCCTGCATTGCTAGCTCATTATAAGTATCATATTTCTATCCACCCATTTCCCCTCTTTTGTGGAATGGAAGGCAGCGTGCATACTCCTCCTCGCCAAGTTATCCTCACATCAGCATCCCCGTGAGACAGGCCAGGCTGAGAGGCAGTGACTGGCCCAAAGGCACCCAGGGAGCTTCGTGGCCGAGTGGGGACTGGAGCTCAGATCTCCCGGGTCCCAGGCCAGCACTTTCATCACCACATCGCATGGATAGCAGCTTTTCTCTCAGAAAAGCTGATAGAAATATAAAACACAGCTTTCAAGGCTAGAACGGAGGGAATGTGTGCCAGGTCACCCCGATACCTACACAACATGAAGCCCTTTCCTTTATTCAGGGTGTATCTGTGGGAGTGGAAGCTTCTAGTACTCCTGATGAACAATTAAAATAGCCTAAAAGGACCACCTCTGTTCCTTGTAAGATCACTGTTGCCAAGGTATCTCACCTGCTGCTCTCTATGACTCCTTGCTGATTGCATTGTTCCTGCAGCTGATTTTTAAATTATTCTTATTTTAGTTATTTTGGGTCCAAGCAACAGAGTATAAAGGCCACCACATAAGCAACCTGGAAAGTAAATAATGAAAGCTTGCGTGAATGTAGGCCATGTCGCCACCGTGCAGAGAACAGTAATTCACTTCAGCCTATCAAGAGATGTACGAGATTACACTTGCCCTAGCTGTGTACCTCATCGATTGCGTACTGCATTGATCTATTTAGTCATCCCCCTTTCTCTTGCTTGTGTGTCCTTCTCTCTTCCTCAAGGTACATGATCACCTCCCTGGACCGTACCCATGCTGGCTTCTACCGCTGCATCGTGCGCAATCGCATGGGGGCCCTGCTGCAACGGCAGACCGAAGTGCAGGTGGCATGTAAGTGGCGAACCATGTGCTTATGTGGAGGGAAGCTGCCTGCAGAACTGCCACATGTTCGGAGGGCACAGGTGGCTGGCAAAGTTTTCACCAATAAGAGGTGGCCCTTGCTAAAATGATGGCGGCCGAAGATGAGGTGGGGATTAAAAGGGCCTTGAAAAGAGTGTCATGCATACCAGTGGCCCCCAGAGAGGGGGGTGCCAGAGCTTCTGGATGAAGGAGCAGTTGAACTTTGCAGGCCTGGGTTTCATGCAAATCCGTGAAACAAAGCGCCAACAGGGCCCAGAGCACAAGCTTTGGGTGCAGAAGGTCCCAGGTTCATTCCCTGGCACCCCTGGACCAAAGGCCCAGCTGGCTGGTGATCTGAAAGGCTTCTGTCTGCAACCCTGGGACATGGCCGCTCGTCAGAGAAGGCAGTGCTCAGGTAGAAGGAATAATGGCTTGAGCTGGTACATGGGGGCTTCCCAATTTCACAACATCTGCAGCAAACCCACATCTGTATACCTCCAAAGGAGACAGAGGTGGGGAAACACACACACACACAGAGCACCACCTTCCCACTTAAAATCAACTAATCCAGCAGCAGCTACTTTTCTGGACAAAACACAGCCATTGGGCTTCTTTACATGCATTTATACTTAGTACATTGTTAGGAGAGACAGGCGAGAAACAGTAGCGCTCAGGTTGCAAGTGCATATAGAGCAGAAGCAAAAAACTTGTCCACCCAAAATTCTTAAACTGATTGGACATGTCTGCACAACAGCTTTATACCACTTTACTGTCACAACTTTGCAAAAGAGAAATGTGCAGTAATTGGTAATGGTAATTTGGCAAGGGTGTCAAGACAACTGATCGTCTCACTCACAGAACTATTAGGTTCCTCTATTCAAGGTGGCCTAGAAAGAAGTTCCAATTGAGTCAGAGCACAACCCTGTGTAAATTAAGACAGGAAAAGTCTAACAACTCCCAGCAGTCCCCAGCCAACACTGGATTGTGCTCTTACACAGATAAAGTCCCCGAGGTACCTCAGTAGAGAGAATGAATGTAACCCCAGTTATTCCGTGGCTGTTCATATTTGTATCAGAATTTACATCTTACTATATTTTTGTATTTTATTATCTAAGCTCATTGTCCAGCACGCTTTAGTTATTACATGGTGGAGAAATACGGTATGCGAGTGGGTAAGGCAGAGGTCCTACAACTTCCTGGACTGTTGTCTAGAAAGTCTGTCCCCTGAGCCCCCTCACAGCTGGCATGGAAAAAACTCTGCCGGGGCCTCTCTGAGGTCAGGAACTCAGCCTCAGAGAGAGGGCAAAGGCAGGGTTTTGGGGGCAGCGAGGGGAGGAGACCACAGGCATGAGGATACAACCATCCCGTGTCCTCCACAGCGAACTTCCCTCCCACTCTGACGTGCCCAAGCTGGACAGCCAGAAACAACATCTGGAAAAAACAGGATGGGGAGGAGCAAGAGGTGGGGGCATCACTTCCTGCTCTGCGCAGGAAGCCTGTAAGCCTCCGAGTTCAGAGGCCTTCAGATGGGTTTGCACCTTAAGGAAGCTAATGGTGAAAATGCCCTTTCCCACTCAGAGCACCTGCTCCCCTGCATGGTATTTCTAAACTTGTCCATACCACCTCCTTCCGCCTGTCATAATCAGCAAGCGCTTATTGCAGGAGGAGGCCAGTTAGGCTGCACTGAGATCTCCGCCTGCTTCTTGCGTATTATCTGCCCCCAGAAAAAAAGTGCTTCAGTTACAACTTAATCTTCGTAAATGGATGGGACGAGCAGTCAAGGTCATCCGATAGCAAGATCCGGATGGCCCTTGGTGAGCAAAATGTTAGGTGAGAAATTATTGGGTGCTAAAGGGCTCTTCAGCTGAGCAGTGTAAAATGGAATTGGAATCAACAGCTGGGAGGTGAAAATGGAGAAATGCAAATGAAAAGAAAGGCACTCGTCTCTTAACAGTGTGAGGGATGAACCAGAGGGACAGGACGTTGTTAGACCAGGGCATCTCTCACCTTCAAATCAAGATTAGAGGACTTCTGTAAAGGACACTGCTCACCCAGCTGCTGAATTCTTGATACAGCTATAATGAAAGGGAATTCTGCAGCCATGCTTTCTGTCTGAGAAGTCACCTTCCTATTTTATCACATTTTATTAATCCTCTGACAACAATAAGTGGACCTTTTGTAGCTCTGCCAAATCACAGAACCTCAACACTCTGGAGCAGTGCCCCTTCCCTCCAAGCTGAGAGATTACATTCAAATGTCTCTTCTTTATCTGTTGCTTCTGTTTTTAAAGCCATTTAGGGTTTTGCATTGTCCCAATTTGCAAAATTCTCATTGCAAGAGGAACCAAGGACTTTCCATCTTCATGAATAGTTTGATCACAGACCCTTGAAATGTAAGCTAGGTTGGACTGAGGGGCACTGGAACATTTGGAGGTTGCCCTGGAATGGGGGGCTCATGGATGCCAAAACATCCATGGGAAGCAGAGACCTTGCAGGGCTGTACAGAGTTACATTAGCAGAATTGCCTGTGAAGCTGGCGTGAGGAGGCTGTTTTCCTGAAGTGTTAAATCCCTAAGATGGCTTTTAACAAAAGCAAGCAGTTCTCAGCAGCACCCTCTGGAAGGCATGGAAAGCAAACAACGTTTATAACAATTACAGCACCATCGCCTGACACAGGGACAAGCTGCCCATATAAATCAGCCTCGGTCTCTCCGACATGCAGGGGGAAAGGCCGGAACGTAGATGACAAATCTTCAGCTGGCGGTGGAATCTGGATCAGTTGGCTGGCTCTTTCCTGCGGCACTGAGCCAGGGAGACTCGCGCTTCGGCACAGCTGTGGGTGTCTGTGTCTGGGAGGAAGCCGTCCCAGGGGGACAGAAGGCTGAAACCACCTGGGACACAAGAGTGCTTGCGAAGCAAAGGACACAGGCCAGGGTGCTTCCAGATGGAGGGCTCCTTACACTTCCGGTCAAAAGACACTGTGCCGCTATTCTGCCTTTTTCGCCTTAATGGATTTTCTGCAGCAAGAAAAAGGATGGAAGAGGCAGCCTGGAAACACTGGAGGATTACCAAGGGCGAGACAATGACACTTGGACCACTGTAAAATTCCATGACAATGCTATAATAAAAATCTTATCTGCCCACACTGAGCTTAGCATGACTGGAAAACTTGCTGTGGGGTTTGAGCAAGGATTCAGGGAAGTTCTACAGCTAATAGAGGAAAGGAACATCCATAGGATTGGGTGCGTTTTCTGCTACTGTCATGAGCTGATGTCAAGCTCACATAGTTTACTGGGTAGATATAGGGCCAGCCCCCTGCACAGACCCTTTGTATTTAAACTTGCACATCCACACCATACAGTTCTCTGAACATTGAAGATGTATATAATCTGGGCTCAGTTGTCTTCACTTCACTTTAGGACCCAAGAAGGGCCTGGGTGGATCACACCCAGTCTATCGTTCTTAGCAAGACTTGTGCTCTTGTGGACTTGTGCTCACGCAGGCATGAGCTGGTCTACCAGAAACTGGCCAGTGAGTCACCAGTGGGTCCTAATTTAACTCCTTCCTATCCTGCTCTGTGATCTCTTGTGCGTTTGCCCTATAGCCTCTTTCTTTGGCAGCATTCTGCCACGCAGGAGACGGTCTCCCCAGGGGCTCTTCAGCTTACATCGTTTTGTTGTCTTCAGATGCTTTTCCTGTGTGCTGCAGTGACCAGCCAGGAGGAGCCTCTGTCACTGGCGCTCTCCCTTGCCCCCAAGGAGCACTTGCGGACTTGCTTCTTGTACGTGACCGAGGGAGGCTGTACCCCAAGCAGGTCTTGTCACACAAGATCAGGGCAATCAGCCTTTACTCTCTTGCTTGTTCCTCTTCTAAGATTTCTTGAGATCAGGGCTGTGAGGTGCTGCTGTTTTGGGGTGTTGTGAAAGAGCAGCAAATCGTGGTGGTGGTGGTGTTGTTGTATTTCTACTGTCAGCAGAAGTGGGGGAGGCAGAAGCACTCACAGGATTTTCCGCTCAAAATGCCAAAACAAGGTTGCTGGCCTTGGGTGTATTATCCACCTTGACTTGCGGGGGAGTGGGAGGGGTGGGGAAGGAGAGTTAATATTTGCCATTCCACCTCGGGCGCCAGCATTTCGTAGGCCAGACCTGCCTGGAGTCTTCAAGGCTTATGTCAGAGCTGTGTGAGAAGCAAAGCCCGTTCAGTAGAAAGTTCGGGCCGACCAATTCTGCATGTCAGATCAGCACATGCTGTGAGGACTTCAAAAGACCAGAGAAGAGGAGGAAGACTTGCTGAGCCAAGAGCAGGAGAAGAAAGCCAAGAACGGAGCAGCAGCCACCAGGCAGAGGAAGGCAACAGCAGGGGAAGGAGATGCTAATTCAGGCTTAAAGCAAGGCTGATAGGTGCCTTTGAGGCTTTTGGTGTGACACACGCGGGTGCACAGCCACACATAATACAAACATGCCACCCTGGAAAGGGAGATGCCCTGCCGTTAATCCTAACGAAAGTGATCCTCCCAAGCAGGGCCATGTGCTTGTGGGGGATCAGAAGCGAGAGAGCTTCCAGCCTGATGAAAGAACTGTTTGGCCTCAGCGCTGGGCCAGAGCAGCTCCTCTTCTCTGTGCTCCTTCCTGCCTTTTCTCCATCCCTCTGCTCTTCCCGCTCTTCTTTGAGGCTTCCCATCACTCTCCCCTGCCTCTCTGTTTTTAAAGATTCCAGTTCATCCAACAGGCTTCCAATAACACAGCAGCCCTTTCAGAGATAATCTGAGCTTTCTGATTTAAGGAAAAAAGCAAAACAGTAATAATGCGGGATTTGTCATTCGTCAAGGGGCTCCACTAGCAAGAGGCTTCAGTCCGCCATCTTCTAATGAGATGTTCTTCCACCATTGTGAGTTGCTGCTCCACCGTTTTGCCACTAAGACTGTTCCAGAACCAACATCCGTATTGCAATAGCAGCAATTTCATTGCCATTATGAGAACTAGGAGGCCCATGAAGAAAAATTAAATGGCTGTGACTCTTGCAGTTTCTGTTTTTGAAGGGACCTTCCAGCACAAGATTCACTGTGTAGGATTCACAGTGAAATTACAGGGGAGGGAAGCCCTACGGCCAGCAGCATCTCCAGTGATGGGGCCTAACGCTCCCCCCACACCCGACACTCCTTGTTAGAAGCGCTTTCCATCAGGAATCACCCTAAGTAGACTTGGTGCCTCATCAGCATTCTTGGGAATGAAGATCTATGAGCTGAAGCAGGGAGAGAAAATTAAAATCGAGGCAGCTGCTCGAACGTCTTGGCAAGGGGTGGGAAGAAGGAGCACCTTGTTGCTCACAGAGAGAAAGAGTGCTGTGAAAACCTAGGATTTAGTATACTGACTTTCACGACTCTCTGCCTTTCTGTCAAGAAGAAACATAACCACTCAGAAGTGGGGAAAGGACATCATCACCATCAAAAATGGGCAAAAGGAAATCTATGAGCAACCACCCATGTTACATTTATAAATTATTTTGTACTTGCAAGATGAAGACCTGCTAAACACTGATGGCACCCCGAGTCGCAAGCAAATAGCGGAGTCTTGGCCTGTGCCAGGCACCAAGCCAGGAATAAATGTTATTTCAGCATGGAGCCAGTAGCCTGTGCTATCCCACTTTAAGATCTGAACTCCCCATTTTGTTTCCTTCCATCCTCATCACCATCTCCCCCTCCTCCCCAAAGCAGCCCCCTCCTCCAAAGGTTGGTGGCAAATCAGGCAGCTAATGGGAAATTAATCAGGCAGCTGTGCTAGCGCTAATGGCCAAGTCGTTAAAAAGAGATTCTTTACACGTTTTTAATTACAGCAATTAAAGCAAGTCAATAAAATGTCTCCTCACCCACCCCCCATTTTGTCATTAGTACTATTATTATTAAAGGTGCTATAAATTTCCAACCCACAAACAGCTGCTCTGTGAGGAGGCACCGACCTCCAGTCCAGCAGCATCAAGGTTGCTGGTCCAGCTGCATCTGCAGAAGGCGAAAGCCTCTTCCAAAGGCAAGGTGCGAGTGTTTGAGGGGTTCCTGGCAGTTGTGAGTGGAAGGTTGTGAGTGTGACTGTAGGAGTGGATGATGCAGAAACGAATGTGCACAGACAGCAGAGGAGGCTGGACTGAGTGTATGAGGACAAGGCATTTGGTTCTTTCTTTCTTTCTTTCTTTCTTTCTTTCTTTCTTTCTTTCTTTCTTTCCCTTTTTTAACCACAGGCCGTTGCCAATGTGCAGCACATGAAAAATGCATTTGTGTCATCTCTGCTATAAAGAATCTGTACAGGCATGGCAATGACTGCACTTAAAAGTGTTCCAGTTTGGAGAAGCGCACATTTTCCCCCACTGCAACTCACAAGCACCCCATGTGATGCACTTGTTCTTGGAGATCTGATTTTCAAGTTGCGAGTGCATGTGTGTCATGTCAGTGGTGAAGGGTAGTCAGTTGCATACATAGATTGTCACCATTCAAAGTACACACAAGCAGTGGCTGAGAGCGGACAAGGTGTCTTCTCTCATACATTTTGCAAGGAGAAAGCTACAGTTTATACAGGCAGGTAGCCTTTCGTCACTTAGGCACTGCATGCATATTTTGTACTTAGCATCCCATTTCCATAACCGAAATACAGCATGAAGCAACTTGCATTGCAATCACATAAAGACTGAAGAATCTGTCAGATTTCTAGGTGTCATGATGACTAGGAACATTGTTTTTTCCTGCTGTGAACAAAAGAACAAAGAAAAATCCTGCAATCAGGTCAAAGCAAAACATTAAAAGCACAATCCTACATATGCTTGCCTGGGTGTTAACTCCATTACCTACACCCAGAAACAGTGACCCACCGAGACAAATGCAGTTCACCAGCAATATGTTGAGGTGGGGGGGGACCTGACACCCCCCCCCCCCAGACTACAGTTGCAAACTAAGGTTTTAAAAAAGGATGTGTCTCCACTCCAGCCTCTGGCAAGCCATACATACCTGGTTGGCTGAATGGTGGAGCACAAGTTCTGCAGACCTGTGTTACGATCTCCCCTCTCCCATCCTTAGGAGCCTGTCCACTTTTCTGAGGAGCCCCACCTTACCTTCTGACTTGTTCAGTTCTCACTGAGCCTCTTTCTCTACCCCATCTCCTTAGCCATACTAGCCTCATTGTGCAGAAAGTCTGGATATGATTGAGGGAACAGCAAAACCCTGGATTACAATCAAACAGAAGCAGTGAAGGGAGCAAGCATCTTGAAGTGCTGCATCTAAAGAGTCTGGAGATGCCTAAAGTCATTTCCCGTCACTTCTAGGCGCTCATTTGTTCCTCTATCAAAGCACAACCATGCATGTGTGTGGAGTGTGTGGAATCTATGTGTATATTAAGGATGATTTCGGGGGCCTACAGCCTTATCTGATCCTTCTCTCCAGCCCAGGCTCTGAGAATGCCAGGTCTTCAGTTCCTCCTTCCTTGCAGCTAACATCTTTTCTGCTGTGTTGTTGATTTCCAGACATGGGAAGCTTTGAAGAGAGCGAGAAGCAGCAGAGAGTCTCGCACGGTGAAGCGGCCGTCATCCGCGCTCCCCGCATCGCCAGCTTCCCTCGCCCACAGGTCACATGGTTCCGCGATGGGCGCAAAATCCCTCCCAGCAGCCGCATGTGAGTAAAAAGAGTCGGTACAAAAACTACAAGAGTTGGCGTTGCTGATGCTCTTGGTGACTTCAGAGTGAGATACCCTACACCATCCTTCCCAAGCCTCCCACAGGCGCTGAGCGATGTGCCATTACCACCCGACCGACTGGCATAACAGAAGCAAGGAGATCGCCTGCGTAGCCAGAAACATGCAGGCTGCCTCTGTTTACACCTGGCCCTGACAGACCATGCAGGTGCCTTCCCTCATCTCGGCTCCCCGTGCGAGTGCCTGTCTCCCTCTTTGCCGCAGAGGCTCTCTGCTGTTCTCCCCCCGCCTTCCATCTGGGGCATCGCAAGGGGTTCCCTGTAGGGCTGCCTGCGTTCCATCACACTTGCCAGCTGACTGCCCCCTCGGGAGCCACTGTGCCTAATGGCCCACTTTCCCACCCTGCCTCCACAGAGCACTGCTTGCACGCCAGCTCCATTCACTCGTGGCTCCCTCAACCATAACCTGGCAATTACAGCTGATTAATATTCACGAGAGAGTTCAGAGGGGACCTTCCTTGCAAAGTGGATCCAGAAGTGGTGTCTGCGAGTGGGAGATGATTCCCGTTGGATGAATGCTGTTGACGCAGCAGACTGAGCTGCAGATTCCTGCTGCTGTCTTTGGATAAATTGAATCTGCACTCCTTGTTTCCAGATGCCAGCAAACAATGGCTCACAAATTCATGTCCTACTTGAGTGATATGGTGGCCTAGAACCAGGACTGCTGTTCACATAGTTGAGGCTGTCACTTAACCCCTTTGCCTGTATCACGGGGCTTTAAGAAGCCAAGTTCCTATTAGACACCTTTGTCCACCACCATCGCACAGACAAAGCAGAGCACGTGCGCACGCTCACAGCTATAACTGAGAGGGAGAGCAGAGGCTTGCATACAAGCCCTCAAACATGCTTTCTTTTTTCAACCCCCATTCAGAGAATTGCCACATTCTCTCCAGCTTTCTTCTCAGTCTGTGTCTTTCCCTAGTACTGCACTGCTGTCCCCGGTTGTTGTCATCTTCCAAGAGCCATAATGAAGACTGAAGAGACTGAACCTCTCTCAGATCAATTCCACTGCAAAGAAGCTCTGAGGGGGCATACTTCAGTAGTGGAAGGCAAACCAAGCAGGCCCAAAGCACCACAAATACCTGCCTATGGGAGCATAAAGTGCTTGCCACCAGTTGCTAAACTGAGAAGAGACATTTCAGCCTTTTAGAGTGGGGAAGAGGCAGCGCCACTGCCAGGAAAGGGAGGATGGGATGGGGACAAAGAAAGAAGCCCAGGTCATATGGGGACCCTCGGAGGGCTAGACTGGACTTCATGGTGGACTGGATTTGGCCCCAGGGCCATTCTACACCCCTGCTGTTGAGAGAAACATGGTTTGGCAACAGCAGGGGTGTTGGGACTCAGGACATTCGTGGCCGAGACGGGGTCCTCCAGGCATTCTCAAGGAGAGATCCATTCTTAGAAGAGACACAAAGTGCCCCCCACCAGAGAATCACCAATACAGTCCTCTGTTCTCCTCAACCTTCAGCCCCAGTAGAAAAGGCACGAGGCAGACACATTAGCTGAGCTGTTTATCTGAGTGAATCCTGCCACGTCCTCTCTTAATGGGAGAAAGTGCGAGGGAATGCAACTGAATGTGTCCTTGTTAAACTAACATTAAGGATGTTTAACAGATGTCTCAGATGCATCACATTAAAATCCGGAGATAGACTTGATAAAGTAATGGCTTTGTTTATCATCAAGAAAATGAATTTAACAGAGAGAGAGCGAGAGATAGATGTAAGGAATGGCATTTGCTCCTCCTTAAGAGTTGTGATATTCTGTTCAGGAAAAGAGGGGGAAAAATTGCCGTGTCTCCCTACACCGACAGGCACATTCGTAGTGAGGCACAGCATTACCCCACCAACAAAGGGCAATTTTTCAGCAGTGGAAGCTCTCTCAGCAGCCAGCCCTCTGCTTGTAAGCTCACAGACATAGCTCACTCAAGGGACAGAAGTTAAGGCTCATGGAGACTTGTCCACATTAATCTTAACGTATGCAAAATGTGTGAAATGGTGCATGCAGCTCAGCATGTTCCAGTGTTCTCAGGCTCCACAAAACCTCCTCCTCATCCTAGATGCTGCATTCTTGGGTTTGCCTGTTTCTTATTCATTCCCCAGTTGGTTTTCCTGGGGTTTTTATCATGTAGATGCTCACCCGGCATGCCTGCCTGCCTGCCTGCCATGCTTTGTTTAGGCCAGACTTGCCTCCCAAGGCTTGCTCTAGTAAACCTGATCCATGCTCCAGTTTCTGTGCTCTGATGTGCCCTGTGCTATGTACATAGTGATTTCACAAAAAACGCATAGGCTAATTTACAGTGACTAATGTCAGGTCAGTTAGCACTGAGGGTTCTTGTAAGCATTTGTGGTCCCCTCTATAAAACTGTTCCTATAAATTAGCAGAAGCTGCACTGGAGTAACCAAAGTCAGGCTGAGCCTAGCAAGTATGGAGAGTCAGCTAACACCCCTCACAAATGCAGTTGCCAGAATCACATAACACCTATCCACTGGTTAACAATTTGATTCTAGGCTCAATTTAAGGTGCTCATCCTGACCTTTAGCAGTCTAAACAGTCTGAGGTGCCATTAACTAAGGGACTGCCTTCCCCCATGGCCTAGCCTACATCTGTGATGACACTTGCAGGCCCTGCTCTCTCGTCTTCATTTAAATCAGACTCATCTGGTGTCTACCAAAGACAGGGCCTCCTAGTTAGGATAATGAGCAGTGCACTAAAGTTTCAGGGAGTGGCCACCCCAGAGACTCCATGGGACAGCTGGGCTAAATACTGCCTGAAAGTTGGAGGTCCCTTATCCTTGGTCTAAAAGATGATGTACAGGTAGATAAACCAGTAAAATAGCTCTTATTGGGAAATGCTATCTCTTCCCTACCAAAAAAATCCTTATTCCTTACTAGATTCAAGAAAAATGTCATGCAGAAGGAGTAGGGTTTAGAGAAACATAGGAAGAAGCCTTAAACAAGATCTTTCCAACCCAGTTTTCTGACCGGCAATGGTCATCCAAGGTTTCAGGCAAAGAGCTGTCCCATGGGCTTCCCTTTAAGTGGAAGCAACAGGGGTTGCACTCCCCCCCCCCCCCCGAGCTTTCTGCCGGTGAGTCTGTGCACTAATCATGAGCCATGATTCCTTGTACTTCAAAGGCCCCCAGAGTGAACACATCTCTCTGTGTTCTGTTAGCAGATAAAAATTGCAACACCACCTCTCCACCTTGTGGCCTCCCTCTCTGTGAGGTCTAAGCCACCCAGCATCATGGACAGGGGGGCAGGTTTTGCATTCAGCAACACAGTGTTGCCTTCAGAAGAGAAGAACGGGGGGGGGGGGGGCAAGGTATCACTCTATAAGTACCTCAAAGTCTGTCACAAAGAGGAAGGTCAAGATTTCTCCTTACTGATATCAAAGTGTAGGACACAGAATAATCAGCTCAAGCTGTGTCAACCCAGATTCAGGCTGGGCATCAGGGAAATCTTCCTCACTGTCAGCAATATGACAGTGGAACCAGCTGCCCGGAGAGGTGGTGGGCTCTCCCACACTAGAGCCACTCAAAAAGAAACTGGACAGTCATCTGAGTGGGATGGTGTAACTTGGTGTCCGGCAACAGCAGGGGGTTGGACAAGATGACCTTCATGGCCCCTTCCAACTCAACTCTTCTATGATTCAAGTGCAGTGGCTTGTTGTTTTTTCCACTCATGGGGGCATTCAGAACACTGCTGGAGGGTGACACAGCCTGCAGCCTGCCACTGGTGGTTCTAGCCACCAATGGACAAGTCTGCTGCTCCATCAAGCATTTCATTCCATGCTGGCACATGACAGAGGAGTCACAAGTGGCTTTGTATATGCATTTGCACTCATTTCCTTCGGCTCCAAGAAGCCCTCTAGGATGCCATGCAAGGGAGCTAGCATGGAAGCAGATTCCACGTCTCCCCTGCTCAGGTGAGAGCTACCTGTGTATGATGCGGCATTATTCTAGTGGGACAGGTGTTGCACAACAGCAGCTAGAGCTGTTTCCGCACCAGAATGAGTGGTAGGCCTTATGCGTTCCTGCCTTGGCACAAAGTAGCCCATGAGACTGAAATGCACACAGGGCATATATCTGTGATACTAATAGCCAGCTTTTTGTATTGACAAACTGTAGTGGCTAAGCTTGACCATTACACTAGGTAGCAGGATCGAATTCCTGGAGTAAATCTGGAGTAGTTTATTTAAAGGCACCAACTCTTCCTTCTGCCGCCCACCTCCCAACATCCTCTCTTCCAAAGAAAAAACTGCTTTAATATTTAAATCCTGTAAGCTGTTGCTGTCTGTGGTTGTGGCATTTGCCAGGAGGATAACAACTATGAATTTTTAGCCTCAGCTGTATCTTCACCTAATTTGGCGTACAGTCATGCGTTCGCAACCCAGCTACTTCCCAGGAACCAAGCTGGAACCGCTGGCTGCAGCTCCTCATGTAAAAATGGTTTCTCCATCCGTAGGCAAGGACACCTTGGCTCTGACTGTGAGTGAAGAGAGAAGCACCTCTGATAAGGAAGCAAGACTTCCATCAGTCAGTGCACTTGTGGAAGAAGTCCTTCTCAGAACTCATGATGGGAGTGGCGGGGTGTTTTTTAAGCAGGAACAAATATGAGTTGTAAAATGCAAAGGTGAAAGCTAAGGGCGTACTTGGCAAGTGGGACCGGGCATAAAAGAGGACCACTGGTTGATGTCCCTTTGGATAGCTCTGAATGTGTGAACTTCTGGATAATGATCAGTTCACATGCAGGAAATACACACGTTTAAGTCTGCATCACAGTCCTGGAAGGGTGTGATCTGTAATCTGATGCTCCAGCTCCAAGGTATGGATGGCCAGATATGCAGACCTTCTCAGTAACAGCACTCAAACTTTGGACTTTCCTGACGAAGGAGGGATAGGACTCACTGCTGCCTTGAATGCATTTGGATGGCGAGTGAAGACAATGGTGTGTGAATGGTTTATGACGTTGAACTGGTAGTTTTTGTGGCCGTTTGCTGTGTTTGTAGTTTACGGTTTTGGTTTTTTGTTGAGGTTTTTTGTTTTGTTTGTGTTTGTTTTTTGTTCTGCTATTGTTTTATAGTTTTAGTGCAGCTACTGAATTTGTAAGCTGTTCTGGGCAGAATAATCTTCCCACTGCGGCCTGCCTGGCACCAATCTTGACAAGATTTTGGTATTTTTATTGTATTATATTGTCTTGTTTTTATGGCCTGTAGTTGAACCACCAGAGAACTTCAGCTATGGGGTAGTATAGAAATGAAATGAAATGAAATGAAATAAATAATAATATGTGGAAGAAAACCAATAGATAATATCGATATATTCATTTCCATAGAAGTGATATTTTCCAGCTTCCATACATTTATACTTGAGGTTCATCATGCCAACTGAATGGTAGTTAATAAGGTGCAGCACCTTGCAGAAATATTCAAACATGAACCCTTTGGTTTTTTTCATATTTTGCTCTGTGGAATGGATTTAATTGGCACTGTGACCACTTCGTGTACCCAGGACAGCCCACATTGTAAAGGTACAGGATATTTTTTATTGGGCCACAGAAGTAAACAAAAACAAACTGGCACTTGATGGTTGCCCCAGTATTTGCCCCCTGAGTCAACTTTAGAAGCAAATTCAGCAGGAATTATAGCTGTGAACCTTCTTGGGTTAAGGCTGTATCAACTTTGCGCATCTGGATCCTGTAATGTTTGCCTGTCCTTCCCGGTAAAACTTCTCCAGGCATGTCAAGTTGGAGGGACAGCTGGTGAAGCCTTGCCACATGCTCTCACTTGGATTGAGGTCTGGGCTTTGACTGGACCAGTTCTTGCTTTTAAGCTGCTCTAGTCTTACTTTGGCTGTGTATTTAGGGCTGCTGTCCTGCTGGAAGGTAGACCTGGATTCCAGACCTAGGGCCCTGGCAAACCAAAGCAGCTTTTCCTCTAGAATTATTATTATTATTATTATTATTATTATTATTATTATAACATTTCTATGCCGCCCCTTGCCGAAGCCTCGGGGCGGCTTACAGCACAATAAAATACATTGAAATGCAATACAACATAATAAATTACCACTAAATACAAAATACAAAAAATACACTGAGATACAAACATAATAATATAAAATTAAAATTAACAGTATAAAATAAGTAAATAAAGAATATAGGGAGGAGAAAAGAGAAGGAAGAAGAAGTTGTCCTGGCCAGATCATATATTTTAACAATTAAAATGATGTTTAAATAAAAAAGTCTTTACCTGGCACTGAAAAACCAGTAACGACGGTGCCAAGCGGACCTCTTTGGGGAATGAATTCCATAGGTTGGGCGCCACCGCAGAGAAAGCCCTCCTCCGAGTACTTACTCTCCTAATTTCTTTCATGGAGGGTTCCCGGAGAAGGGACTCTCCCGCAGATCTCAAGGGGCAGTCGGGCATATACGGACGTAAGCGCTCGTTCAGGTAGCCAGGACCCAAGCCGTTTAGGGCTTTATAGGTCATAACCAACACCTTGAATTGGGCCTGGGCTTCAATGGGAAGCCAGTGAAGCTGACGGAGGACTGGAGTCATGTGAGCATAATGCCCCGTCCCCGTCAGCAACCTGGCAGCTCTATTTTGCACCAATTGAAGTGTTCGGACCGTCTTCAGGGGAAGCCCCACGTAAAGCGCGTTACAGAAGTCTAGGCGGGAAGTCACCAGCGCGTGTGTCACCGTCGCCAGGCAGTCGTACTCCAGGTAGGGGCGCAGCTGATTAATCAGCCGAAGCTGAAGGAAGGCGCTCCTCGCCACCGCTGTCACCTGAGCTTCCAAAGAAAGCTCCGGGTCGAGGAGCACTCCCAAGCTGCGGACCTTGTTTGGCCCTACCCATCTTGCCTGCAATCCTAATCAGTTTTCTAGTTGCTGCCAAGGAAGGGTATCTCTCTGCTTTACCGTAGGGATGGTGTTCATGGGGCAATGAATCTGAACCCTTAGCTTTGAACCACGTGGCATTTTTCAACAACACCAGAACATTCCATTTTGGTCTCCTCAGGTCAGAGAACATTTTTTCACAAGTTTGCTGCTTCTCCCATGTGTCTTTTTGCTTCCTCCAAACAGGCTTTAATGTGTGTTTGTTTTAGCAGTGACTTTCTTCTCGCCACTCTTCCATAAAGCCCAGCTTTCTGGAGCATCCTTCCCATGGACAGTTTCTCCCATCTCAGGGGCAAATCTGTCCAACTTCCTCAGAGTTACCATTGGCCTCTTGGTTGCTTCTTTAACTTATACCTCCCTTACCTGGTCACTGAGTTTTGGTGTTCTTCTCTGGGCAGAGTTGTAGTTAAGCCATAGTCATTCTATGTTGTTATAGTGGATCTAATGATGCTTTTTGAGATATTCGTTGTTTAGGATTTGTAAAATAAGCTAACCCTAATTAGAGCTTCCACAGGCTTTATCCTAGAGTTGTTTTGAAAGCTCCTTGGTATTCATGATGCTGTTTGTTTAGATATGCTCTCCAAGTGAGTGTTGTCCTCCCCTTCTGAAGGGGAGGCAAGCAGCAGCACAGGGGTTGATTGTAAACACAGCCCAAAGGGAAAAGACTTATGGACTCCTCTTCCCATGCTACTGCTCTATTTGGATTTGCACAACCAGCTCCCTTGGCTGGTTGGCAATCTACTGTATCTACTTTGGTTTTGTCACAGAACAAAATTCAAGCTCTGCATATAGAGCAGGGGTGTCCAACCCATGGCCCGTGGGCCGCATGCAGCCCAGGATGGCCATGAATGTGACCCAACATAAAATTGTGAATTTACTTAAAACATTTATTTCTTTGCAATTTTTTTGTAATGCAATTGCACAGTTCTCAAGTGTGAACTTCATAGATGACAATGTCATATCACAATGTCACAATAAATAAATGTATGTATGCTCTTGCTATTTGCATGCATGGTGGTGGCAGATATCATGAAAATTATGCACAAACCTTTTTCTGTTTTGTGTTTGTCATCTGCTTTCGTTAGTGTTTGTGTATTTAATGTGTGGCCCAAGACAATTTCTCTTCTTCCAGTGTGGCCCAGAGAAGCCAAAAGGTTGGACACCTGGATGTAGAGATTTTGTTTCCTACCTTTACACTACATAACCTCTAGGTGGTGCTGTGCTTCAGCAAATTTGTGCAATCACTCAAGCAGAGGAATGAATTTTCTTTCTTTCACTCCCACAAATAACATACCATTTCTCCCATACATTATCCCAGCTCTATAAAAAAAATTAAGGGAAAAAAAGGAAAGTGCTGTTAAAAACACAGGTGGGACAAGAAGGTCACGTCATTTTCTAAAACCTATAAGCAACTGCGAGTGTCAAAAAGCTCTACATTTCAGTTTAAAAAACAGTACTACTGGGAGAGTAAACACATTTCTCCTGGCATTTTGTATAATGAAGGACATGTTTGTTCTTTGTTTTGTGAAGCTTTTATACACATTTTATGCACCATACACTGTGCCATAAACTTCTGCCCAACTTTCTTTTGTTTGTACACTTAACAAAATACATGCTCAAAAAAAAAAGTCCTCACAGATTCAGCAGACACAGAGTGACTAGGTTTTCTCCTGCACTCTGAGATATTGTGGTAGAATTGAATATGTAACCTCCATTATGCAGGAAGTGAACTGGTTGCCTTTCCATTTGCAAAGGCAGTTTGAGGAGATAAAGCTCCTTTATCGCAAATTTAATGGTAAAATATATTTCCCCTCCCCCAGCCATTTTATATCTCCAGAAGATTAGATCATTCTTTTAGAAAGAAAACTATTAATCTATGAACATCCAACTTGTTCTTCCTTCTGAATGTGTAGCCACAGAGATAATTTAAAGGCAGGCATAGGAAATGAGGAAGACTTTTATTTTATTTTACGGCTTTCCATTTGAGGTGAAAGTAGCTTCAGCATAGTGCAAATGTTTGGTTTAGGCATAGCAGCTGTTTGCTTCTCCAGGGTCATCGGCATGTGTGACACATGTGTGTGCAGTTATGCAGACATGCATGCCTGTAGATCAGGCCAGAGAGGTCTGGCGGGTTGAGGCAATGGCCGAAATGGTGCCTCCTGCCCATTCCATGGATGGAAGGCCGACTGGACCGGCAGTTGCAACTTACTTGAACACTGGCAGCAGGACAACATCCTCTGCAGCACCCTAGCCAGGAGGCCAGTAAGGGGCACCGGAACAGGCTGTGCAACACACTTAGCTCTGTCTTCCTGTAGAGGGAAATAGCCAGGGCTGCTGCAGTTGCCTCACTCTACCTAATGGTAGAGCCAGCCTTGGACAGGTACTGAGATGCAGAAGTATATTCATCTATCTGAACTGCAGTCATCTAGCTTATGGGTGGGGGATCTCTAGCCCATGGGCCAGATTTGGCTCACTGGACCAACCCATCTTGCCCATGGGGCCAACGGCCTGCCTGAGCAAGCCTTTGCCTCTTCCAAGTACCATGGCTTCAGGGTTAACAGGTAGAGGAGTCACTGACTGGCGAGAACACAGGGATTCCCAGATGGTGCCCTAAGAGCTTTTCCTGCCCTGAATCCTCCTCAATGGGGTAGGCAAAGCGTCCACAGCTAAGGGACCCAGTGGCCTGCCCCTTAATCTCCACTCAATCATGAAAATCACGTGAGTGATCTTGGGCTAGTCACCACCTCTGCCTAACCTACCGCTCAGGAGACGCACTCAGCTCTAAACTCATTCTCCATTCCCTTTAGAGCCATCACACTGGAGAACACCCTTGTGATCCTGTCAACTGTGGCACCTGATGCTGGAAGGTACTATGTGCAGGCTGTGAATGACAAGAATGGAGACAATAAAACCAGCCAACCCATCACGCTCACTGTGGAGAGTAAGTGCCAGTCGGGGTGAAGTGGGAGAGACCATCAAATTGAAAGCTGCTAGCTTTTCTGGCAAGAATTCTCTTCCTTCCTCAACTGCAAGGGATGCAGAAATTCAACAGGTGCAGGGGAAAGGTTAAGGACCAGCTCCCACCTGCCACCAGCTCCTTGCTTGCAACAGCAATATGCACTGTGGGAACGAGCCACTTGTCAAGATTTCTTGGAAGCAACTACTGAGGGATGTACATATATTTATTTGCCGCCATGTGTGCATACACTTGGCTTTATATATATATATATATATATATATATATATATATATATATATATATTTTCTCCTTTTGGAGCACCTAAAATCATCCACAGTTACTGGTTGAGTCTTTTCTCACTAAGACTGCAATCCTATGTACATGGACTAGGCAATGAACTTCATTGCATATGGCAGAGCTTCCTTTTGAGTAAATCAGTTGAGTAAGTATCACTCTCCTCCTGTTTTTGGGGTGCATATTAATATGCAGAGTGCTGTGCTATCTCTGCTGTGCTTGCTTCGCAACAACCCTCTGAGGTGGATCTTTCTAATTATTCAAATTTTGTAGATGCAGTTCAGAGTATCTCTTGTCCAGGGCACAATGAATTCATGGCAGAGGTGAGACTTGAGTCCCACATCCAAGTCAAGACTTGAGTCCCACTCTCCGTACACCTCATCACACTGATCTTTACTTAGAAGTGTGAGTCTCTGCGTTCAGTGGGGCTTACTCCCGGGTAAATGTGCATAGGATGGCAGCCTGGGTTTTTTGTTCCCTTGGTGGCCCTTCCTTGAGTGCAAGAACCTCATGCATTCTGGCAGGGCTGTGTAAATACATAAGGTGTGGGTCACAAGGTGGAGCAATGCTAACATAATAAGACTGACATCAGGCTAAAGAGCCACAGTGGCATGCTAGAAGGGCCAAGGTTGCTGGTTATGTCTCACTTGTTTTTCTTGTAGACCCAACAGGTCTCTAAAGCTCAGCCTGTCACTGGCATCTTGTTGCATCTGGTTTCTCCGTCGCTTCTGTTGGCTCAGGCCCAAATTTAATTTGCAGTAAATCTCTGGCGAAGCTCCGGCTGGTGCTGACTAAACATTTCTGCTGGCTCCGAATTTATTTAGACACTTGGGCTGCAGCAACAAGAGCTCAGAGGTTCTAATTGCAACACGGGGTTGGGCACCTTTGCTTCCTGCACCATTCAGGCAGTCTTCCCGCTACCACGATGCTAGCCTGTCGCACCAAATGTGGGAAACAAAATGGATGTAGCTCTAAGGGAATCCCGCAGGAATTAGCCCTTTGCGCGCTCAGTTCCTCCAGAGGATGTTTATTTTCCAGCTGTTTTATGTCTCCTCAACTTGGCTTTATGTGCCCCCGCCCGCTTTGCCCCATTAATCTGGAGTGCTGTACCTCTGTGTGTAATAAACACGATAGTGCATGCCTTTATGGATTCAGCTATATCAGCAACCTTGCAGTCCCAGCCAGCACGCGAGGGGGAGTGGGGGTTGATCACTGCACTTACTTTGTTTTATGCACATACCTGGTTGCTGTTGCCTCCATTCTGCCTCTGCTTGTCTTTCTGATGCCCAGCTAAGGATAAGGAGCCTAGGGCAGAGCTCAGTAGAATTTCACGACTGAGATGAGCGGGGGCTGTTCCTAGGCCTGCGCCTTGCCTTCTGCGGGCTTCCGATCTGCATGCTGAGAATCTTTAGAAGAAATGGAGAAGCTTGGCTAAAAGATGGAGAATCCTCTTGAAGGCTTTGCATCCAAATGGATGCCTGAGGCTATCTAAAGGAGTGCTGTCCCCTTGATCAGCACAAGCTGAGCCTCCTTGATAGCTCGGAGTAGAAGGAGCAGTGCCCGAAGGACCGGTGTGCCTCTTGCATAGACTGCCGCCCGTGCGCATGAACCAGTATCTGCTGCCAATGCTGCTGCATTCCTCCACAGATGTCGGGGGCCCGGCTGATCCCATTGCACCAACCATCATTATTCCCCCGCGCAACACCAGTGTGGTCTCTGGGACGTCAGAGGTGACCCTGGAGTGTGTGGCCAATGCCAGGTAAGCCTTTCCGTTTGCCATGACCTGCAGCTGATGTCTTAGGGCTGTGGGAGACTGTGAGGCAGAGATGCTGTGATGGTTGGCATTTAAGAGCTGAGCACATGGTTGGTTGGTTGGTTGGTTGGTTGGCTGGCTGGTTGGTTGGTTGGTTGGTTACCAGCCTGTTTCCTTGAAGAACAGCCATGAGTTCCAGCCCTGGTGACATTTTGAGGGTGAGTGAAGTACCAGTTCATGGATGCAAACCCATGGCCTGGAAAATCACCAGTTTAGGCTATCAGGTGGCTTCTGCCAGCACCTTGCCTGCCCCCCCCGCCTCCCCCCCCCACAAAGATCTTGACTACTCAGACTGCATTATTGCATTTGTATCCCACTTGTCTTCCATGGAGTACAAGGTGGCATACACGATCCTTCTCCTCTCCCTCTTACCCTCACAACCATCCTGAGAGGTGGACTGGGCTATAAGACAGTGACTGGCCCATACTCACGCAGTGAGCTTCAAGGCCAGGTGGGAACTTGAACCCCGGTCTCCGAAGTCTCAGTCAACACTCTCCCCACTACGGGACACTGGCTTTTCACACAGTGCAATCAGTCTGCAAAGTGGATCCCAGGGAGCCATATGTGAGAGAGATGCTTCCCATCAGCAGTGACCGGCACCAGGAACTGACCTTTGCATCTGTGAAAAGAGCTAAATCTCTTATGCCCAGGCTTACCTGTATTTGCACTTGAACTAGGAGAATAGGTATGCCTTTCCCTGGGTTGTGGAGATCTGTGGTGTCCTGTTCGTCACCCAGTGACCTTGGCCCTATTGAAAAGGGGGTCCCTCCTCACAGGCTTCTCTGCTAACCAGGCCACTCATCAAGCTGCACATCATCTGGAAAAAGGATGGGATTCCGGTGTCCACTGGCATCAGTGACTACAACCGGCGCCTGACCATCCTCAACCCCGCGCTGAGTGACAGCGGCTACTATGAGTGCGAGGCTGTTCTGCGGAGCAGCAGCGTGCCCTCCGTGGTGCGGGGAGCCCACCTCTCTGTCCTGGGTAAGGATGGCAGCAGGGCCCAGGCGGCGGCACGGACATCCCCGGGTCGGGGGAGCGCGACCCAGCGGAGCTGCTCTCTCGCCCCGAGCCGCGGCTTCACCCAAGATGGGTGAGCTGAGGCAGCCTGCCCAGCTGGGCCACGGCCCTGATGCAGGTCACTCATCATGCCCCTGGTCTGGGAGCTTCACCTCCTTGATCCTGGGGGCAGCAGCGTTTTCAAGCAAGGCCTGTGCTGCTGCTCAGCTCTGGAGCATGAGGAAGGTGCCATTTTAAATCTGCCCCAAATGTGATACCCGACCTGCAGCCATCCCACTGGGCTTCGCGTTGCATCGGGGAGGGGCTTACAGTAGAAGCCGCCTCTCGAAGAGTCTAATGCTTTTGCAGCCAAGCTGCCAAGGGGAAGCTCAGCACCAGACTGATAGAGCCACGGCACTGGGGGGAGCTTGGACAAGCCATGCAGGTGTGCTCATTTTGCAGCCCCTCCCAATCTGCCACTAGAGACAAGAGAACCTCATGATGGACAATGCTTGGCACGCTCTTAAATCTCCAAGAGTGGACTAAGTAAAGAAACCACTGGGATTGAGAAGTATCAGCAAAAGGCGTATTATTTAATTTATTTATTATATTTCTATCCCACCTTTTTCTCTGAAAGGGCTCCAGTGTGGCTTCCATCCTTTTCCTCCTCCATTATATGCCCACCACAACAACAGCCCTGTGAGGGAGGGTAGCCTGAGAGGCAGTGCCTGGCCCACAGGCACACAAGTGAGCTTCATGGCCAAGTGGACTAGAACCTCACCTCCTGGGCCCAGTGCACCAGCCACTGCACCATGCTGGCTCTCCAGATAAGCACACTCAGTCAAAACACCCTGCACTGCCCATCCAGATGGACAGCACAGCTCAGGTGGGGATGATTCCCATTTCCGGCTACCTGATCTCTTTGCCTGGCGATGCCAAGGCTTGGCTGTGGGGCTTTCCTTATGCCAAGCAAGAGCTCTTCCACAGAGCCGAGGCCCCTTCCCGTACACTAGTGGGAGTTCTGCTAATGGTTCGATGCAAAGGACCTTTGGCGAGCTCCAGGTCTGGCTTCTCTCTTACAGAACCACCCCAGTTCACCAAAGAGCCAGAGAGGCACATCACAGCTGAAATGGAGAAGGTGGTACAGATTCCATGCCAGGCCAAAGGTATTTTTTTCATTTGCTTATCAGGGATCTTCCTAATCAATGCAGCTTCGTAACAGGGCTGTCAATTGTACAATTCCAGCACCCACTCTGCTAGAAACTTCATAGTTTGATCAGTTTTCCGTAAGAGCTACAGCTGGACGATTTCAGCACAGGGGGAGTGTGACGCCATTGATCCCCCTTGACTGCTCAGCAGCTTTTGATATCATTAGCCAAAGCATCCTTCTGGGAGACTGTCTGAAGTGGGAGAAGGCAGTCTTAGGGAGTAGGAGTAGTACCTACTTGAATGATGTGCTCCAGAAAGTGGTGCTTGGGGGATATTACTCAGCCCTGCGGATTCTCCAGTATGGGGTTTCTTAGAGGGTGGTCATGCCTCCCATGCTATTCAATATCTTCATGAAACCACTGGGTGAGGTCACCCAGAGTTTCGGAATGAGTTGTCCTCAGTATGCTGATGGCATGTAGATCTGCTTCTCCTTCCATCTTATGCTGGGGAGGTTGTGGATGTGCTAAACAGGTGCCTGACTGTAACAATGGACTGGATGAGGGCTAACAAACTTGATCCAGAAAAGGGTGAGGTGCTGTTGGTGGAAGAGTCCTTTGACTGTATGGAGGGTGCTCAGTCTATTCTGGATGGGGTTGCTCTCTCCTTGATGGATTAGGTTCTTAGCTTGGTAGTGTTCCTTGAGTTTTGTCCACTGATGCTCAGGTGACCTCAGTGGCTCAGACTACCTTCTACTAGCTTTGCCCAGTGGCTAACTGTGCCCCTGTCTGGACAGGAACAGCCTGATTTCAGTAATCTGTGCTTTGAAAATCTCTAAACTAGATCACTGCAGCACATTCCATGTGGGACTATCCTTGAAGACTGTTCAGAAACTGCAGAAGCTTGTGCAAAATACAGCAGCCAGCCTGATAATTAGAACCAATAGATCTGAGCACCCAACACCAGTTCTGACCATCTTGCATTGGCTGCCTATACACCTCTGAGCCTGATTCAAGGTGCTGGTTTTATTCTACAAAGCCCTACAAATCTTGAGGCCACAACACTTGACAGAACACCTCTCCCAACTGCAATCTACCTGAACACTGTGATCAACTTCTTCTCCCCTCCGTGGGAACCTTGGTTGATGGCAACACGGAGGAAGGTCCTCTTATTGGTAGCCCCCAAATCATGGCAAGGTCTCCCCACCAAGGCTCCGCTGGCACCAGCTTTGCTCTTCTTTCAGCATCAGGCCAAGATGGCCTTAAACTGCTTGAAATGCCATCTGGGGAATAGGTAGTGCCAGCTGGTTTATAAGGCCGAGCTGTCTGAACCTGCCTTAGCTGTTTAAGCTGTTGAACTTTAGTTTAAACATGCAAATGACATTTAATGAAGTTTTATTGTTATTTGTTACTTTTTATATTAGCTTGTATTGTATTATGTGTTCTGCACAGCACAGAGAGCTTTGACTGTTGAGCGGAATGGAAATAATAGTAGAGCAGCAACACAGGGCTGGGTGAGGAAGGAATTGCACAGCGCATGCCATTCACATCCCGCTCCTTTTCTGCATTTAAAAGGCAACAACCTTGCACATAAAGATAAGCACATTTCTAACCCCTCCCATCAACTGCAAAGATAGCCTTGAAAAGACAGCTTGAATTAGAAATAAATAACTATTTATTTATATTATACTTTATGTAAGCCGTCCTGAGGCTTTTGCGACAGGACAGCATATAAATATCTTAACTAAATAAATAAAACTAAACAAGCGTGACACGGGGACACGTGCATGAGTCTGCAGACCGTCCCAGACGGACGACGGAGGCCCCGCACAGGATGGCAACTTCTTTGGCAGGAGCTGAATTACGTCAGCCTCTGTGCACCCTGCGAAATGAGCAGAGAAAAGCACTCGAGAAAGTTCCAAAGCCTGTGAAGAAGAAACTGTGAACTTAACTGCAAGATACTGGCCTGCACATGATGCACAGCAGTCATTTTCCACCAGTAGATCACTTCCCAGTGATGGTGTGGAGGCTTCTCTTTTTTCTTTCTTTTACAAATTTATGCTCCTCTCCAATGGATAGTACGGTTTGCACTTCAAAAGTGCATAAAAATGAGGAGAGAGCTCCATAAAGAGGGGGCCACCACAGAGAGACCTCTTCTTGCCACATCTCAGAGGGCAGGCAGCAAGAACCACCACACCTCTGTCCAGAGAAAAACTGCTGAGGATAACCTTGGAGCAGCCTTCCAGGTGTTTTCAATTGCGACTCCCAGCATTTCTGACCACTGGCATTATTAAGGCTCATGGGACCTGTAATCCAAATCACCTGGAGGTCACCAGGTTGCCTATCCAGCCTTAGAGATGCATCTGCAACCCTATTGTCAGGAATACAGTGACATGAAATATACCAAAGAAGGATGGCAATCTATCAGAAAGGCACTGCTCAGTTCTGTCATGTTTAATGGCGTCATCCGTGTCCTTTGTTTTCCTTTGCTATATCTCAAGCAAGCAAATCCACTCACAGCATTTAAAAAGAAATACGACCATAAGAATGCTTTGCCTTGCAGGTGTGCCTCCACCCAGCATGTACTGGTACAAGGATGCGGTGCTACTTGGAGTGGACAAGCTGGCCCGTTTCCAGCTCCTCGCCAATGGGAGCCTGCACATCAGTGGACTGGTGCCAGATGACACGGGCATGTTCCAGTGTTTTGCCCGCAATGCTGCTGGCGAGGTGCAGTCCTCCACGTACCTGGCCGTCACCAGTAGGTGTCAGCAAGTGATCTGCTTGTAGCTTGCTCTGGCGGCATCCCAGAGTTTTTGCAGGACCTCCTGCTAGAGGATGCTGGACTGTGTGAATCAAGGGTTTAATAGCTGGGGAGCTAGGCAGCAGGAAGCAGAAAGCAGGTTAGCGGGAAGATGAGTAGTAATGGAGGGAACAGGGTAGAATTATTGGCAAGGATCCTGCAAGGCACAGCGGGAAGTGAGCATTCTTTATCACAGAGGAGCGCTGGGTTACTGGGTTGGAAGAAGGCCAAATCTGAAGCAACTCTTCCAGAGCAGAGTAATGGTTCCATAGGCAGCAAGTTCTTCTGCGGAGCAAGCCTGGTGTTTGTTCGGAGATGCCATTTTGGGTTGGGAGGAGGGGCTCCGCACCCCATGCTCTGGGGCCTTATTTAGAGCTATTTCTTTTACCTTCTGCTCAGCCATGGTGGGCTTGGAAAGGGGGTGAGTGTGGATGAAGAATGGCTGCTAGCTTGTGCTGACTCCTTGGCAATGAAAAACCCACTCGGAACCATTTCTCTTGCCTCTTTCCCCCTCCGCAGGCATTGCCCCAAACATAACCAAGGGGCCCCTGGATAGCACCGTGATTGACGGGATGGCTGTGGTGCTCAGCTGTGAGACTTCAGGAGCTCCCAGGCCAGCCATCACCTGGCAGAAAGGTAATGGGGAGTTGGCAAACCATTCACGTTTGGACAAAGCTATTTGTAGGAGTCGGGCATGGAAGTAAAATCTCTTCAAAGGAGATGTAGCTCAGTGTCAGAGCACGTGCTTGGCATGCAGAAGTTCGAGTTCCACCTAGAGCACCACTGCCTTAAAGGCAAAAGCCTCGCAGGTAGCAGGTGAGGCATGGTCAGAAGCCCTGCAGAGCTATTGCCAGGCAGAGTCGACAATCCCAGCCTCAGTAATGAATGACCAGTGGTCCAGCTTTTTTAAGGCCGCTGCATATGTGCAAAGCCTTCTACAGTGTATCTACAGCACAGACTGTCCCAGCCTGATGCCATCTGGAGGGGAGTGATGGAACTGTTGCCTAGGACACCAGGAGGGCAACAGGTTGGGGAAAGACGCTCCAGACTGTGCATTGAAGCAGGGAACTTGAGCCATCTGTTATGGACTTCACAATGATAAGTCTGACTGGATAAATGATGGGTATCCAAGTCATTTGGAGATGTGGCTTTAGGTAGGATGAGTCTTTCTCAGAAGGACTAGTCTTTCTCAGTTAAGGCTAGATGCCTCTGTGGGTCAGAGGGAAGAAAATGAAAACTGAGGGCAAGAAAAAGTGTGGAGATTATATTTCAGAATTCTGGAAGGAAGGTGCTAGCAACTTGAAGAATCTCCTTCAGGTAAGCTAGCTTCTTTTCCCAGTCATCTATGGCCTGTATCCCCATTCTTAGCCTCCCCATGGAGATGGGACATGGGGAAGGAGGGCTTCAATCTTTGAGTTATCTGATGGAAGATAGAGGAGGAGGAGAGAGATTATTGACAGCCTCAGGGAATGAGATGGCTCTGAACTGAGCCAAACTCCAAAGTTGTGCTCTTACTCAAGCGTATCTCAGACTTTACCTGGCTCTCATCACACACCTGCCCTAGGCCGCTCACAAGGCTGTTGGTATTCCTTGGTCCTGACATACACATCCACACCCCAGGCTGCATCTGAATCCAAATCAAACTGTCAGTGATCCTGTTGGTCTTGTCGAACTGACTTTTGCTATCACGAACCCTCTGAGTTTCTAAATCCTTGGGCATGGTTGGGGTTCCTCAGTACATACAAACAAGGAACTCTTCTCCTCAGTCTGCAGTTTCTTTTTTTCTGCTTGATTTACTAGTCTACATGGAGGAACTGAGGTCGGGATCATTACTTGGGCTAAAGCCAGTGGCCTTGCCTTGTTATCCAGGCCTAACAACAAACACTGTATCTTTACCCTGCAGGAGAACGGATCCTGGCCAGTGGCTCAGTGCAACTTCCGCGTTTTACGCTGCTGGAGTCAGGAAGCCTCCTAATCAGCCCTGCACGGATCTCAGATGCTGGCAGCTATACTTGCCTAGCCACCAACTCCCGTGGAGTTGATGAGGCCTCTGCTGAGCTTGTTGTCTGGGGTAAGGTTCCCCCCTCTAATCACCTCCCTTCCTCTTCCCCTGTTCTGTAAGCAACTGGCAGGGGACTGAACATTGAACTCCCTGCCATGTGCAGCTTGCCTCTCGGTTGAATCGATTAGGTAAGCGCAATCCTACGGATGCATCCTTTATTAAGAAACAAAATTAAAAACTGGATCCAGGAGGAGGAGATGCAAATGGATGGAAAACATATGAAGTCTATTTTCCAGGTCAGTCTGCAATGCAGCCAGGCAGGGGCTCATACAGTCTACAGCCACTGGTGCATGTGGACTGTGGGCATCAGATTGGTTTTGAGTGCATATCCATCCCTCTCTGAAACAGCTCTGACTTTGTTTAATAGAGCAATTGTAATTAAATCCACCACATGTCCACTTGAGGTGAGTGAGTGCCCCCTCCTGGCCTTGCAGGCAATACTACCCTGCCTAGAAAATGCACATTTTCAGAAAAAGCATGCTCTGGGAATCTATGGATAGATGCATCCCTGGAGATATGCATGCATACATGCATCCTACCTACCTACCTACCTCATTCATTCATTCATTCATTCATTCATTCATTCATTCATTCATCTATTCCATTATACTTCTATGCCATTCCATAACCTGAGGATTCTCTGGGTGTCTTACAAGATACTAAACCAGCATGTAAAAGTACAATCGATAACATAGAAAAAACCCTATAAAATTAATAAAATGTTATACAAGGTGATACAGAATAAAAGGTAATAAAGGATCATGCTCAAAACACAGACCAAGTACAATCAAATAATCAAAACCAAAACCAGTCAATTAAATAAATCAACAAGGCACAAATTAAATTAACCAAATGCCTATCGGAACAAGAAAGTTTTTACCCGGCACCTAAAAGAAAGCAAGGTCAGTGGGCAGGTATTTATCGATTTTGACTTGTATGATGCACCCTTTAGCCACAAGACTCTCTGGGCAGCTCACAGTAGAAGTTAAAATAATACAATTAATCATGCATTTAATATATAATAAAGAATAATGTGTAGCATATAATAAAGAATAAAAGACCAACAGTAAAAATAAAGCCAATAAATAAAAAAGGATCACAAGTAAACATGCAGACATGTATGGAGTGAGGTGTTCACTCATGTACTCTGGTCCCAATCTATTTAGGGCTTTATATGTCAACGATAATACTTTGAATTGGGCCCGGACAGGAAAGGGAGCCAGTGCCACTGACAGAGTACTGGCATAATGTATTCTCAATGGTTGGCCCTCATAAGCAGCTGCGATGACCTGTTCTATATGAGTTGTAGTGTCGGGATCATCTTCAAAGGCAGCCCCACACAGAGCACATTATAGTAATCCTGGCAGGATGTTACAAGTGCATGGATGACTGTGGCAAGAGTCCGCTCATCCAAGTAGGAACACAGCTGAAAGGTCAGCTGAAGCTGAAGAAAGCCCACCTGGGATGCCCGGAAGAGCTCAGGGCCCAGGAGCACCGCTCAGCTAAGAACCTTGTCCTTTAGGAGGAGTGTGGCCACATCCAGGGTTAGGCTGGAAATTTTCCAGTTGGAGTGTGGGAGTGCCAACAGCAGTAAGACATATGTCCCCTCTTCTCCTCTGGCCTGTCCAACCCACACCACCATATCTCCCCCTACTCATAACCACTGTGATAGAGGTGCTGTCCATGCTCCCCGGGGACAAGCCAAACAGGCAATAACAACAACAACAACAACAAATTAGACCAACTACTCTTTACTGCCTTCCCAACTCACCATCAGTCTCCTAGCTAACCAACCTATGCAATGCCTTTACCGCCTAGCATGACCAAACTATATTCAGCCCATCGACACTACTCGACGTTCACCATCCTCACCAATCCATACTATGACCCAGCGCTACTTAGACTTTCTGCACTTATTATTCCTTCTTCAGTCTTCAGAAGGGGACACACACACACACACACAGAGTCTCCTGTCCCAAGTTGTACTGAGCAGTCACCAAACAGGCACCAGATGGGCAATGCATTTATATGGCAGTAGATATGTCTTTATCCTGCCTTTTCGCTTAAATATAGGTTCCTATATGAAAGATATGCTTTGCCTGCACTTCTACGCATGGTGATTAATTAATTAATTAATTTTTAATTAAAATACAACAGTAGATTTGTTTCACCCTTCTTCGCATTTACAGAAGTACAGAGATTGGGACAGAGGGAGCTCACATTTAATAAAAAGGCCCTCTGTGTGATAACTGAGAGATGATGGAGGTTTCAGAATGACTTTGTATGAGGATGGGGATCTCAACGAAGATCATTTGTTGGACCCAAGGATCATTCCATTGTGGGAGGGCAGGTGGCAGGTGATGTTTCAAACTTGCAGCAAGAGGCTGAACTAGATGGCCTTTAGTTCATTTTTTGAGTCCATCATATAAGAAAACTATTGGGTGTACGTTGCAATGACCACATGGCAAACATGGCTTTGGGGCCTTCTACGCGAAGTCTTACGAGAAAGGAAGCTGACTCCAGAAAGCCAAAGCATTAAGCTCTGGCTTAGCTCAGCAACTGCATCTGTTGTCCCCAAACTTTTCTGCTGGGTTTCTGACTATCCCTACGTTCCTTCTGTGCCTGCAGCCCGGACACGCATCACCAATCCACCTCAGGATCAAAGTGTCATCAAAGGCACCAAGGCTGCCATGACTTGTGGAGTGACCCATGACCCCAGTGTGGTAGTTCGGTACGTAACAGCTCCTGTCTCACCTAGGGTTTGGCACATGTGATGGAAGCACGTGAATTTACCAATAGAGCTGGCAGTCCTTGGAGTACAAGATGGGGAAGCAGAGGCAGAGGAAGGAAGGGAGGAAGGAAGGGAGGAAGGAGGGAGGGAGGGAGGGAGGAGGGAGGAAGAAGGCCAATATTGCCTGCCCCAAGAAACAATCATGACAGGCTTCCATTAACCATGACTAGAAGTAGGAGATAGGTTTTCCAAGCCCCTTAAAATGGACTGTGGATGCCTGAGAGATTTTTGTAATTTCCAAAATCTTTCTAAGACAGGAGTGGGCAATATGTGATCTTCTAGACTGCAGCTCCCTTTCCATCAATTATGCAGTCCAAGAGCATTTGGAGAGCTGCTAATTGCCCACCCATTATAAGAAGTGTGTGGGGTAGCTTGGGCCAATGCAGTTTTCAGCGGCAGGGTTTAGCCCTGGAACAAACCAAGTGGGCTAATAATGCTTTGGATATCTTCTGCTATAAAAGAATATTCTTTTGGCCTTTGATAGCATGTATTTGCATAAGTTTCAGCTCTGGAACCATTCCCCATACAAACTGAGTACTTTGGAAATGGCGAGTCACTAGACGTCTTTTTTGTCTGAAAACAATTGTCTGAGACTCATCTTAGAGTATTATGGCATGGCAAAACCTCAGATCTTCCAGCTACTTCTTTATATGTCTTAAGAACATGCAGAAAAGCATAACACAAGGAGCACACAAGCTTCAGGACTTCACCTGGGCTTCTCCAGTTTCCAACGACATGGCAAACCCTACAGATGGCTACAAAATCCTACAAAACAAGCCACGGCTCATTATGATGTCTTCATAGCCACAAGGAAAATAATCTGCAGTGGGTGGGCACTGGGTTCAGACAACAAACCAAGCCACAGTGACTTTGAAGTGTAGGTGCTTTAGCAAGTTGTTTGAATCTAGTCAGTGAATTTTTCCTTGCACTTCTACCAAAAGACCTTGTGGCAGGAGATGCTGGTGCCAAGAAAGACAGGGATCAGTTGGCAGTATTGTCTGGCCGGCAACATTTACAAAAAGGAAGTCTGTACCAAGGAAACCTGAATTCCACAAACTGCATACATTATGCATATATTTGCTTATTTTGCATAATTAATTCTGTTTCTGCTCCTTATGAGGAGTAGCAAAGCATTGTTCAGCCTCGTGCTCTTCTTCTGAGGCTTTACCAAGCGTTGCTCACGCATTCCTAAACCATTTTTTCTCTTGAAAGTTTGATCTTGAAGAACCCTCCTTTTGTGCTGACGTATCTCACGTGTCTGCTTTGAAACCCCATGCTCTGCTCAGGACACATGTTCAGGTTGCCTGGGGTATTGGTGGAGGAAAGAAGGGCTGGCACCCAGTACAGGAGTGGAAGGGCGGAAGACCTCAAAGGTGCACTTAGAATACAATTTATGGCTAGACATGTTTTGAGTGTTAGAACACACTCTTAAAGCCTACGCTGGTTTTGAAGAGTAAGCACATCTGTTTGAGAAGCCCACCCTACCCTTTCCTTCTTTTTATGTTCACACACAAGGCACGGATAAGCCCTGTTTGGTCTCACTGTCACCCAGTGTGCTGGGTGTCTCTTAAGCATGTCCTACATGGCTGGGAACTGCAAGGGGAGATCCTTAACACCAGGCAGCCTGCCTGCCAGGATCACTTGCCTTTCCTCATCACTGAGCGAGCCCTGAGAATTTTGTTGGGCCACCTGAAAGGAGAAAGTTTGGAAGCCTTTCCTCTAGAAGGAAGAAAGTCACTGCTTCCAAATGTGAGATACTTGTAATCAACTCTGAGAGATGGGTAGTTCTTCAAGGCTTAGCTTTGGGCAGAATTCATGGGTTTTAACCACAGCTTGAAAAGGCAGAGGGAACTTGGGAACTAGGGTAGCCTTTACTTCCCCATCTTACTTCCTGCCTCCTGCTAGGTACATGTGGGAGAAGGATGGAGGGCCACTGACTGTGGAGAATGTGCCACGCCTGCGGCTTGACAACATGGGCACTTTGCACATCGCCCAAACCTGGTCAGGCGATATTGGCACCTACACCTGTCGCGTGGTGTCTGCTGGAGGCAACGACTCTCGAAGTGCTCACCTGCGAGTCCGGTAAGGGCCAACTCTGAAAGGCAGGCATTAGGACCTGCTTCTGATTGGGGGACAACTTCAGCTTCAAGGAAGGCATTTGCACTTTTTAAAATGGGGGTAACTGCACAAAAGCCAGAAAACTACCAAAGTAGTGGTAATTGGGGGCAAGCATTGCAGTCATCTGGAGAATCCTACAGGAGCAAACTGGAACTCTAGGTGGGCCAAATTTGGCACCCAGACCTGAGCTTCTGCATTCCTACACATGTTTAGACAGAAAAAAAAGCCCTACCTACAACTCCCAGCATGGCTCAGCCTGCCATGCTGGTTAGTGCATTGTAGGATTTTGCTTCTGTCTAGGCATGTGTAGGGTCACAACTTTAGTGTCTTGCATCTATCTGCACTATGCAATTAAGCAGGATGGCTCCTCAGGGCATCTTCGTATTCCAGAACTGTTGCTAATCCCATGGTGGCACCAGAAACTGCCCAGCCATGTATAAAGTGACTTAGATTCCTCCATGGAGATCTTGTCTTTCAATACCAAAATGTATTGTGCAGCTATTCAGTCTTTTCTTGCCTAGCAGATATGTTTCTCCTAAAGAAAAAAAAACTTGGAATAGGCAGTGGGAAAACATGGGAGGGCTACAAATGGAAGATAACATTGTCTGGACCCCCGCACTAGTCTAAAATTCACTGAGTGAGGCATGATGATTGCACAATAAAAGTGGCCCCTAGAAGCGCCCTTGGTGTCCAGTGACACCAAATCGCTTCTGTTCTCCAACGGGTGCCATCTGTATTTGGGGCGCTCCTTTCCTCGCAGCTTCTAAGATTGGTTTCTTCTACCATCCTCCTCATCAGGCAGCTCCCGCATGCACCTGAAAACCCTACTGCCATGCTGAGCACTGTAGAGAAACGTGCCATCAACCTGACATGGACCAAGCCTTTTGATGGCAACAGCCCATTGCTGCGTTACATCCTTGAGGTCTCCGAGAACAGTAAGGCACTGCTTCTTCCTGCCATAACGAGATACAAGGTACAGCCAGAGCAGACCAATCCATGGCTCAACAGACCTGGGCTGTTATCCCTTTTCGAAGCTGATGGGAGAGAGGCTGGGTGGGAGTCAGAGACAGCAATGCATTCAGCAGGTCCCAATTTCCTGGCTCCAAAAATCCTTGCCTGATGCTCTGGAGAGTCCCTACAGTACTGGGTTGGATGGACAAAGTGTCTGACTCCAGTTAAGGATACTTCTAGGACTGAGATGAAACGCAGTAGAATCCATCCTCTTGCGCATGCAGACTGCCAGCCTCGTCTTGCAAAGCAAGCTGAGCCAGGAGGAAGACCCCAAATGCTCCCCAAACAAAGGTTGCACAACTGGCAACCTTCCACATCTGGTGGAGCTGCACAAAGGCTGCTGCAGGTGGTATAAAAGAGGGCTGCTGCTTGCACAGCAATTGCGCAGGGCTCCATTCTTGGTGAGTCCCGTGTGAACAGACTTCTTCCATGTCAATTGCAGCAGCACAAACAGCTGCTATATGTGGCACAGAAGAGGGACCCTGCTTGTGCACTGCATGGGCCTCGATTCCTGGTGGGCACCCCACAAATGTTGTGTGTGCTTGCCAAGAACTCAGACTCAGGGCTGTGACAAAGCAGACTGAAATCTGGGGAGCCAAGTCCAGGGAATCCACCAGATTCCCAGATCCAGTACAGATTTCTCCACAGCCCTAGTTCCTACCAGTGGATTTTATCCAGGCTTAATCTAAATACTTTTCCACATGCACATTTACTGCTCCTCAGCTGTACATGCTGGTATGTTCTGAAGGCATGCACCACCATTATATCAGGTTGTGTACGCTCCTAACTGCAGCTGAATCGTAAGCGAGCCTGTCGCAGTAGAGGGCTCTGCAGTGCCGAAAGGGCAGCCTCTCTCCACCCTGCTGCCCCAGCCAAGCTCTGACCGCATAGATTTCTTCCCGGATGAAAATGGCACTGCTCCTCCCATATAGCAGTGCTGCTTCGAGAGCGGTGAGGAGCAGAGTGGGCTCCTAGCTGTACGAATAGGGAGGCACTTTTCACTCCTTCGGCAAGATTGGCAGGTTTGAGGATCTCCTCCTCCAACTTGGGCCGTCCTGGATAAAATCCAGTCCATGGGACTCCTGCTGAGACAAAGCTGGCTATCAGAGGACAAGGACCAGAATACTGGGAACCACCAAGAGAACGGAGGCCATTCGGATTCCTCTGTGATCGCCTTCCCCAGCATTGCTTTTCTCTGTGCCTAAACAGATGCTCCCTGGACAGTGCTCATGGCCAGCGTGGACCCCGAGGTGACTTCAGTGCTGGTGAGGGGACTGGTTCCTGCCCGCTCCTACCAGTTCCGACTATGCGCCGTCAATGATGTGGGCAAAGGCCAGTTCAGCAAGGACACCGAGAGGTGAGGCGGGCCCGTCCTGGATGGGCAACTGCAGGAGTGATTTCTTTGCAAGTGGGAGGGCTGGAAAGGTTGGGGGTGGGAAGGGAGCTGAGGGTGTACCTTTGCAAGAGAGAAAGCCACACATGGTATGAGTAGGTGGGCATTTTCCCTGGCTCTGACATAGCAGGCAGAACGGCGTCTGTAACGGTGGCAAGCTACTCTACTCATGACATGTGGCCTTGTGGCATGGTAGGTTGCATAAAAAGGGCTGACACGTCTGTGCGGCTTGGCTGGGTGGCGGGACATTCATGGTTAGGGTCAATTGTACATCCAGAGCCATGTGGTATGACTACCCAAAGAGCCTAGCATGACCAGAAAGAGTGGCTCCCTTTAGTGTATCAAAGCATGGCTGAAGAAGTCTGGGTGAGCAAATGGACACACCATGCGATATGGATATGTTTGTGTACAGGACAGCATCTGGGCCCCTAGCATGTTATGGCTGGATTTGACATCAGCTGGCAAGGATTAGTTGACACAACTGAATGACGTTAGCTCAGCTCAGGGCCCACTGTAGAACATGTATCCTATGTTACCTCTCCTCCGTTAGGGTCTCCCTACCTGAGGAACCCCCGACAGCCCCCCCACAGAATGTCATTGCCAGTGGCCGCACCAACCAGTCCATTATGATCCAGTGGCAACCACCACCTGAAAACCACCAGAACGGCATCCTCAAGGGCTACATCATCAGGTGGGTAGGCTCAGTGCAAGGTCAGGTAGCTCCATCTCCAGCTGAAGAGACTTTGGACTGGGACGATCCCATGAACCCTCTCCCCAGTACGTGGAATGGAATTGGAAAAGCAGAGGGTTGACACATGGCTGGAACATCCCTGAAGGTGGCATTGGGGTTACTGACCTGAAGCCTGGCCTGTCATCCCTTACCCAGGTTTTGCCTGGCTGGCCTGCCGGTCGGCTACCAGTTCAGGAACATCACCAGTGCTGAAGTCAACAACCTGCTGCTGGAGGACCTGATCATTTGGACCAACTATGAGATTGAGGTGGCTGCATACAACAGTGCCGGCCTGGGTGTCTACAGTGCCAAAGTCACTGAGTGGACTCTGCAGGGTGGTACGTTTTGGCATTGGGACATGAGGGGGGCAGGAAGAGGGGAGGGCCCTGAATTCATTTGGCTCTGCTATACCTTGATTGGCCCCAAGAAGATTAGCAGGGTGCTGTGAATGGCTTGAATAGATGCATCCTCTTTTGGGGTCAGGACCTTAACCAGTATTGAAGGTTCAGGACACTGATGGCAAGAAACAAGGAGCCATATTGGCTGCACTGGCCCTTTTTATTAGCCCAGATGTGAATCTCTTGTTCCCTCTGAGCTTAAGTACAATCTTTATAGTAGCTAGGAAGAAATGAATTGTCCCAGCAGCAATGCATCATTCTTCCTTGCAGTGAAAAGAGTTCTGGCATGGCTTGGTCTTGAATGGACCATGGGACCCATCCACCTCACAGCAGGTGGAGATGAAAATGTTAGACCTGGTTTGTTTCTATGACCCCCATTTGGGGGCTTTCCTTGGGGCATGGCCACAGGGACATGCCAGCATTTCACTTCACCTGTGCACCACTGGAGCCTTAATTCTTAATACAGTGTTGATGGGCACCAAGTGGGTGGGATGGGGTTGTCTAGCTAGGGAGATGTTGGCTCTTCCCATGCTGTTTCCTGCCCCGCCACCCATTCATGCTGAGGTGCCTCCTTTCCACTTCCCCTCCTGCAGTCCCCACTGTCTCTCCGGGCAACGTGCAGGCTGAAGCCACCAACTCAACCACCATCCGTTTCACCTGGAACCCTCCCAGCCCCCAGTTCGTGAACGGCATCAACCAAGGCTACAAGGTAAGAGGAGAGGAAGAGGAAGGAGGCAGCTCTCCTCCAAAGCTGGAATTACTGTCTTGGCCCAAACACTTCTGGTTATGAAGCAGAGGCACAGCTGTTGTCAGAGAGTTCCAGAAGGAAGCACCGGGTGGAAGGACCTGGAGTGGCTGTGTGCCCTTTCAACGTCAGTTAGTGGGTAGTTATCCCATCTTGGGAAAGCTAAATGGGTCAGAAGGCGCATAAGCCATTTTGGGTGTCACCTTCACATGCCCCATGTGTCTCTCTTCCCCACAAGTGACAGTTAAATGGGATGAGAATCTCTACTCATAATTCCCTCATGGCCGAGAGGTTTGTCACTCTGTTGCCTCCCCCAGGAAGGGCTGCGTGTTCCTGCTGTTGACTGTCTGCACTTCTGTCTGTCGCCTTTCACTAGCTGTTTTAGGGGTGTTCGTCATTGCATGGGGTGGTTCCCAGGTCACCCAATTACTGTTGCATGCCTGTGCATCTCACCTACAGGGGTCTTCCCTCCTCTCCTATCTTGCTTGTCACAGGCCGATTTACAGAGGGCACAAGATCCAGCTATTACAGAGTGTGAAGCCCCTTTGTTCCTCTTTTCCCTGAGCCATCAAAAGAGCAGGCAGACTCACTCCCTACAAACAGCCACACAAAGTCAATCGGCTTGCTAAAATGTGCATTCACTTCCAGTCTCCCTTCCTGTCATTCCATAGCTAGCTACAGAACACCAATTAAATTATACAATTCCATAGCTAGCGGCTGCATTAGACTGGAGTCTTCATGGGAACCAGCTCTATTAATGGTCACTCTTTGATGTATGCGTAAAGGGAAGCTACTGCACCCATGTGGCAACTCAGCTTTCAAAATAAAAGAGTTTATGCTTTTCTTGACAAAGCAACACTACTTTGGATTTAATGGGCCAGTGGATGGTATACAATCAATAGTATTTAAGCTGCAATTTCATATTTCTATGGATTTGTAGGATCCTCTTAGCTCACAGCCATTTCATAATCTGCCCCTTTAAAATTAGACTTTACTTAATTCTTTTTATTATTATTAAAACAGTTATAATCATTGCTTCAAGCTTGTCTCTTAAAATATATTTGCTAAGATATAACTTTTATAAGAGAGCTTTGCCTTGTGTGCTCAATTCTGTATTGTAATTAATTCAAATTTGCATTAATTAAATTGAATTGAAACATTAAAACTTGTTTCATAATCTACTCTAAAGAAGTTCGAGAGTTTAATTGCTGCCAAACAAGATAACCAACGTTAAGAAGGATACTTAACATACTTATTAAATGCCACTTAGTATTTTTGATTAGTATTTTTGGAGGCCTAATTAGTATCTAATTAACTTGCTATAGGCTATCTTGCACCATGCCAATTAAACATGCAACATCCTTGAATATAACACCACGACAAAGTAGCTGATTATGCATTGTTATCAGCATCAGTTAATCAAGCAGCCCGTGTTGAATATTGTTTTGGATGGATAAGTACGCACACTTATTAAAACTCAGCTATTCCTTTTCCTCCGGTTAATTGATATTTAATCAACACCAAATAAAGGAGAGGATCTGAATAGAACAATTTAAGCTTCAACAGCATACCTAAATACTTTTCAGATGCTTAAAAATAAATGAGTTTATATTAACCATGTATGTAGTAGCTCTCTTATCTGGCCCTCCACTTGACAGCTCCTACGGTATGCCATTCGGTGAAGCCACAAGATGGCTTTGCATGGCACACTCAGTCGGAAGGCTGGAATCTGGCTTGGAAGGCACTAGCCATGTGTGAGGAATCTGGCTTGGGGGTGGGGATTTTCTTGGCTCAGCTCCCTGGACTCTGGCCTGCGTTCTCTCTGTTCCAAGCCTGTACCATACTAAACGTTCACATGGGGGTCTGGAAGGGAGGGAGTCTAATTGTTGCGCAGGTAGAACTAGCTAGGCCACTGTGTGCACTTCACCTGCATGCCCCCTGGGCTAGCAGAGTTCTCTTTCCACATGTGGCACTGGTGGACTTTGCACAACAATTCAGGACAACGAAGGGGCTCTCTAGCGTTCCAAGCACAGTCTGCCAAATAAGCAAGCAAACACCACCGCTCCGTGGATGCATGAACCTCGCTCAGATTCTGTCCTATGTCTTGCTTGCTTAGGCTCTTGCTTAGGAATCTTCCTAAATTCTACCTTACATCATCTGAATGTAATGGTGCTTATTCCTGAGTCGACTTCCAGAGGATTGCTCTGTGTTTCTATAGTTTCTATAGTGCCCAACAGCTGAAGCTCTCTGGACAGTTTACAACAGTTCATAATCAAAGGTACAATAACAAATTACAAATACAATAAAACACAGCATAAAAATTTCAATATACACAATTTAAAGGAATTAAAACAACTAAACCAATTTCAGTAAAAAACTAGATATATCCCATCCTATGTCATTAAAGCTAGATGGAGTCACTGGGGAGGTGGGTGTGTGCACCTTACCAAGGGACTGCATTTTCCCGAGAAAGAGACAGGAAAGTACAAACTGAGTATCTATTTAGTATTCTGCAGAGTATCCAATTTTGTTCATTATGCTGTCCTGAGCTCCTTGGAGGAAGGATGGGATAAAAATGTAATAAATAAAAGTGCAGCACTTGACTTTTCTCCACAGGCATAAATGACAGCCCGTCATTTCTGTGTGAGAAAGTGGGTTCTGCTTCCAAACACAGAGAAAAATGCCTGGTGGCAGATCCAGGTTGCAATTAGGCTGCTTTTAGTCAGGCTTTCTTTTTAATTGGGTTCTCACATAGCCTGGTTTTACAGATCCAGTCCCTTGCAGAAAAGAAATCACCCTCCGCACATGGCCAATTCTCTGCCCTTTCCATACATGCAGAGTATCTGCTTCAGAGAAACAATTGGCAGCCTTTAATCCCAGCAAGTTTCTTTCTACATGTCTTTGAAGAGACACAGATGAAGGGAAAGAGATCAGAGGGGCTGAAAACCATAGAAGAGGATTGTTAAAACCCCAGGTGGCTCTCCAGCAGCCCTCTAAATTACAGTGCAAGAGGGATTCTGCCCAGAATTAATCTGCATGTGGTCGCATGTCTCCAGATCCGGCCAAACTCACGCAGGCATGCAGGCGTGTTCAGCAGGCACCTGCCAACCCCCCTGGAGTGCGAGTCCTGTCAGTGCTGTGAAGACAAACCAGGAGCCCTTCCCTCCAGAGCCTACGCCAGACTTCCTCAACCTGGTGCCATCCCAATTTTTGGACTTCAGCTCCCATCAGCCCTAGGCCTTATGAGCATTGGAAGTGCACCAAACGTGAGAGGGCTGGCCTAATAGTTTTTCCTGGTTGCCTGTTCTGCAGAGACACCCTGTTCCAGCTCCCAATTCACAAGAGCACTTGCAGAAAGGAGCTAATTGGACCTCAATCAGCCACAGAGCTAGATTTGACTGGACCTTCTATGCTCCAACCGCTTTCTTGTCCTTGCCTTCTACTTTTGGGCTGACACCCTGTCTCTTGCCCCCTGGATTTCAACTCCATGCTTGATGAAGATGTGCCGATTGCCTGGAATGCCTTTGCACCCTTGCACTTCTTCCAGTTTTTTGGAGTGACAGCTCCTCTAAGAGAGTCCCACCAGTCTGAGATCCACCTTTGTTGGTACATACAGCACACAGCGAGCAAAGGAGGAATAGGCCTTGATAGGCCTAGCATCTCCCTGTCTGCTGCAGCACTCGGAGTGCTGGGCAACTCTCCTTTGTCTGCCGAAGCATGTCAGCACTTCCAAGTGTGAGAGGAAAGCCGTGGGCAAGAGCAGCGGTGTCCTCTGTATGCAGGAGCTTGAGAGGAAACATGGAAAAGCAAGCAAGATACATTTACAATGGTACTCTAGGACTCCAGTCTCCAAACTCTTGCTTCCCAAGTAATTGCACTGCACTGCATCCGCCAAAGCACCTGAAAGCACTATGTAGCAGGTCTCCCAAAGATGTTGGTTGTTCAAACTGAGAACTTTAGTTCAGTAGTCCGGCTCTTGCTTGGCTCTTCAGCTTCCTTAAGAATATGCTCGCTTTTTGCATTTTGTTCAGTTTGAGTGCCTCCCTTCAGGTTTTTGCATCTCCTTTTGGCCTCCCACCGACAATAAATGCGGCCGATCCATCTCTGACACCACCCCTCCTAATTGGTCTGATAGACCAGGGGTACCACGTGGCCTCCCAGCCACATTCATGGCTCCTTCCTCTCATCACTGTGCCCTTTCTACCTTCCAACTGGCTGCCACCTTGCTTTGGCAGCCACCTCACTTGTAGGCCCTGAGAGCCTTCTGCCTCCCAGCCCAGGGAAGATGAGTGAGTTGACAGTGGAGGCATCGCTCATTCCAAGGCCCTCAGCCTCCCTGCTCACCCCTCAGAGGCTGATCCAGGGACTGGCTGCACCCAGTCATAGCCCCATATCCTTGTGCCCTACCTTCTTGTGCCTAGTGTGCCTCTGTGAGGTGGTGGTGTGCTGTGAGTGGGTGCTGATGTGCCGTATCGTATGCTTTCCTGTAGCAACATGGCCGAAGCCATTGCTATGGAAGAGGATTTTTTTTTAAAGGAAGCATTCCTTCCCACTGCCCTCCATGGGAGGAAAATTCCTTGTAGCAAGTGAAAAGCTTGAGTATGGTTCTGCCCCTGCTGGGGACATGCTCCATATGGGATGTGAACTAAACATGTCCCTTCCCTGCTCCATTTTAGCTTTTCCACTGGTGCCGTTGTCACGGTGGCAGCATGCATAGCAGGGCTTCCAGCATAGCCCCTTAGCTGCTGCAAGTGATGTATAGGATCGCTCTGCTAAGGTACTTAGGTTGCCTTGCTAGGGAAGAGGTAAAGGCAGCTTGGCTTAGATCAAGGAGAATCCGAAGCAAGCAGTGACAAATGCTCAGTGTCTGTGTACTGAGGCAGAAAACAAGAAAGGCTCCAGGAGTGGCAGACTCAGCCTCACAAATCATCAGCCTTTCAGTGCAAGGCCACCCAATGCTATAGCATTGTTGAAGCTAGGAAAGTGTGGACCTGATCAATGTCAGGAAGTGAGAAATACTGATAGGCCTGTGCAAGCTGCTCTGAGCTTCTTAAATTTAAGAAGGGAAGGGGGTAAACCCAATACCCTAATTCCAGACCTTCCTAGATCTCACTTAATTAGCTGGCACAGCTTGCTGAGGGATGCAATCAATTGTTTTTACCACCTGGGAGTTTCTAAATCGAGACTAGTATCTCCTCTTTTTTTGCCCTACTATTTTGCCTGCAGGTTCAGTGACTCACAGACTATCTCTTTCTTGTTCCAGGATGATGCTCAAGCCACTTTCTGTTCTCACCATGAAGCTGAGATGTGGCTGGCAGCACTTGGAAAAGACTTAAACAGCCAGACAAATAAGAATGAGCTTAAGTAATTAGGGGTTTCAAAATGCTATGTCAGTTTTGTCAGAGAAAAGTGCCCTGCTGTTGCTCGTTTTTCACATTTTCCTATAACAAGGTGTAAATTAAAAACAGTTAGAACAGAAAGGCCAGCCAAATAGCAACTGCATTCACACATACCTTAAAGGTCACATGCACACCTGACTCACTCTCACTTGTCTTTATTACTATTTTATTTTTATTTTGTATCTCATTTCTGTACTGCCTGCAGCCAAAGCTCTCTGGGCAATTTTCAGCAGGAAAAAATAAATTAAAACAATAATTTATTGTAAGCCTCCTAGGAAGGCCTCAGTAGTTATAGACAACCTATAAATATGCGCATACATACACACACACACACACACACACACACACACACAGAAGACATATCAAGAGAAAGTAAGATCTCTACAACAGATAGTCTTCCACTGCTTCTTCATGTTCAAACCACAATGTTGCTTGTTTTCCCTTAGCTGATTGCCTGGGAGCCAGCCCAAGAAGAAGAGATGACGGTGGTGACAGTGCGGCCCAACTTCCAGGACAATGTCCACGTGGGTTACATCTCCGGCCTCAAGAAGTTTGCCGAGTATTTCACCTCCGTACTGTGTTTCACCACACCAGGCGACGGACCCCGCAGCCCACCCCAGCTGGTGCGCACCCATGAGGATGGTACGGCCCTTCCCTTTGGAGCTGGGCACAGGCACAGCTCTTGGGTTCCTGTATGTCCATGAAACTCTGGGGTCCACACAACACACACTGCTCGGCGTGAGTTAAGCAGCATCTTCCATTCTGGAGGTCTGAGCAGGTTTACTGCCTCCATGATAGGGCCAGACACTTCACTGCTGGGACTGCAGTGCTGCTTGCAGGCCCCCTGGCTGCGGCTTGGCTGTGTCTGCTGCAGTCGTGCGTGATTTGCAGAGCCCCATCACAGGGCCTTGGAATGTGTTTCCCTGGGAAGAGTCAGCGAGCAGCACGCTCTTTGTTAGACCCCTTTTGTGTTTGTCCTGTTGTAACTTTCTGGGTGGTGGGATTGTCTGTTTGTTTGTTTGGCTAGTTCCGGGTCTGGTGGGACACCTCAGCTTCAGTGAGATCCTAGACACATCTCTGAAGGTCAGCTGGCAAGAACCTCTGGAAAAGAATGGCATTCTGACAGGTAAGGGACATTTCCCACCTGGGACAATTCTGCTCTTTATGTCGTCGTCCCTCCACTACTTAAGCAAGCTTCTCCAGGGGCAATGAGAGTCTTCAGAACTGTACTGTTATTTGCAGAGACACAAAACTAGATCCTAGCCTAGAAGCCACATTGGCTTCCACTCTGCATCAGGAACACTACGGGAACTAAAATGATGGCGTCCATTTGTCTTAAGCTTCCTAGAGCTTGCTTGCTTTGTAGTGCACAGATTTCAAAGAAGCTTGATGAATCCGTGGACATGCTAAGGCAGCATAAACCAGAAGCCCCAAAGGCCAGCTGATAAGGCCTAAAACTCTAACTTATGGCCACAAAATTAGTTAGACTTGCTTGCTTTGAGCCCTAAGTACAAGTAAAAGTCGTGTCGCTTCATATGCCTGTGTTGGGTTCTCTTAGGCTACCGTATCTCCTGGGAGGAATATAACCGCACCAATACGCGGGTGACACATTACCTGCCCAATGTCACACTGGAATACCGTGTCACGGGCCTCACTGCCCTCACCACCTATACCATCGAAGTGGCAGCCATGACCTCCAAAGGACAAGGACAGGTTTCCTCTTCCACCATTTCCTCTGGGGTTCCTCCAGGTAAGCTTGTCTTACAGGCACTTCCTGAAGCAGAGTAATTAGGAGAGGGTGCAGTTCAGAGGCAGAGCATGTGCTTTATAGAGGTTCAGTCCTGGGCATCTCCAGGTAGGGCGGGGGGTGGGGGTGGGAATCCTGCCTGAAACAGAGAGCCACTGTCAGTCAGGGTTAGCAGTGCTGGGCAAGCTGGCCCAAGGTATAAGCCAGCTTCCCACGTTCCTCCCTTGCAGGAAGTATAGGGACCGGCAAGGGGTGCTGCAGCTTTGGCCCTTCTCTTGCAACTGCACTGTGGTTGATGGGTTTTCATGTCACGTATATGGATACATATTTGAACACTCCTGTAGACAATTTAGTGAAAAGCAGAGTCTGCTAAGTAGGACAGCATATGTAGAATCACATTCACTATAGCACAGATATGAATTTATTGAATAACCCAGTGTGCTCAAGCTTTATAAATACTGCATCAAAGGTGATCATGATTCAGACAATGTGTTTTATTCAGAAGTCTAATCAAATCCTTCCGTGATATTTGGTGAATCTTTATTTGTGAGGGAAGCAGAATTTTTTGGCGACCATGCAGTAAACTTCTCCTTTATTGGGGCTATTTTCTAAAATAGGGTGGGAAGAAGCAGCAAGGTTATTCTTAGTCCTCTCCCACAATATCTAGTAGGGGAACTGTGCATAAGTCAAACTGTGATTTGAGTGTCAGATTGTGCAGAAAGGCTGTGACTCTTCATTCATAAATAAATGGGGTTTCCAAGATCAGCACTCCTGCTCTTGCTTTGATTGCCTGTACTGTTAATCCTGGTGTGTTGCAATTGGATTTTCTTGGCTCCTGAGCTGTGGGTGCCCATGGTGAAGGAAGCCCGTTTCTCCGAAATGATGACCTTTCGCTCCCTTGGACATGGAACCAGGCAGCAGGTCAAAGCTGGGCAACATGTGACCCTTCAGATGTTGCAGGACTGTAACTCCCATCAGCCCTAAGCAACATAGCGAGTGGTGAGGGCTGATGAGAGTTGTAGTTCCAAATCTGTGCAGCCGCAAGTTATCTAGCCCTGCCCTGGCTGACGTGAAGCAAAGTCTTGGGATGAGTGATTGGGAGTAAATATGCAGATTTCATTCTGAGTGCCCCAACTTGGCTTAATTATTCACAGGAAGAATTTCCATCTGTACTTCACCTGATCTCTTAGCCAAACCTGTGAGGGGCTTTAGGCAGAGTCACTCAACAAACAGAGCTTTTCTTTGGTGCACGTAAGACGGGGAGGGCAGCCACTATGGATCTTATCATCTGAAGCCCTTTTCTGTATATTTCTGCTGTTTCCCTAACCTTCAAGCACCAAACCATATCTCAGGTATTAGGAATATTAATTGGAACAAGGACTGCTCTTTTGTAAGAGGTCCCCCTACTAAAGATAGATTTACATCTTGCTTTGTCAAGCCCTCATGAACAGAGTTTTGAAGATGCATCTTCATGAACAGATCATTCTCCATATTTGATTTAATTCAGTTTGCTTGCGTGAACTTTGACTTTGCCAAACTCAATTAGTTTCAATATTTGTCCTTTTGAGTAATTCAATTAATTCAAGTGTGGGTCTCATTTGTGCAGACAGATAACATGCCCCTCACAATCTGACAACAACCACGCTTTCACAAGCTTCAGCATTATTAAATTAACAAACATCAAAGTAATGAATATGAAATTACAGAAAGCACTATCGGCTCTCCTTGTGACTTTCATGAGATGGGAGTTTTGAATTTGATGAATACTTGAATCACTTCAAATATTTGTTTTGAATCCTGAGTCGTCGTCAGGGCTAATCCAAGGATGAGGCAGTCTTACAATGCATCATGAATCTGCCACCGTGTGGGCCACTGAGAATCATGGGATAGTAGAGTTGGATGGGGCCTATAAGGCCATCGAGTCCAACTCCCCTTGTTCTCCAGTTCCTCTCCCTCACATCACTGTTGGATGGAGTTAAGGTTATTTGGATTCGTCCCTTTATGCTTGAGAATTTTTGGCTTTAAAAAAGGAGCAGTACAGGGATGACTGATATGAACACATTACACCAGTCCTCCGTCAATTACTGTCTGAAGTCTGGGCCCAATTCAAAGTGCTGACATGAACATTCAAAGCCCTAAATGGGTTGGGGCCAGGCTGTCTGAAGGAATGCCTTCTTCCGTGTGTGCTTGCCCAAACCCTGAGAGAGAGCCCCCTCCAAAGGAAGCAAGGAGAGTGGCCACTAGGAAAAGGCCTTCTGGGCTGTGGCACCTCCTTTGTGGAATCAGCTCCCCAAAGAGGTGCACCTGGAGCCCATTCTCTGTTCCTTTTGGTGCTCGGTGAAAACCTTTTTATTTACCCAGTATTTTAACATTTAGATTTTTATGCTCCTGTTTTGCCACACCTCTGAATGAGATTTAACTGCAATGGTGGTGGTAGGATTCTGTATTATGCTTTAGTGTATTATGGTATTTATTATTGGGATTGTTGTGTTTTTATTATATGTTTCTTTTATATGTGTTTTATATTAAATATGGTATTTCCAATTTTGTAAATCACCCTGGGAGCTGTGGGCACTGCAGACATGCAATAAATAAATAAATAATACTGCATCCCAAATAAACTCCAAATCGTTACTTTTCCTATGGAGTGGGAAACGGGAGATACAGGAGGGAAGGTCTGCTTGCAAGAAGAGCCCTGCTGGATCACACTATCCATTTTCCTGACTGCACAGTGGCCAACTAAGGGTGCCTCTGGAAACATGGGGGCGATGGCCCTCCCCTGCTGTCGTTCCCCAGCAGCTGGTGTTCAAAGAAATGCTTCCTCTGATCCTGGAATCTTCATAACTAGTAGCCTTTGTTAGTTGTCTGCTTTCAGGGCCATCTCTAAGAACTTCAGAACGCCGTTCTTTCATTGTTAGCTGTTTGTCCTCTCAAAACCATGCTCTCATGTTGTCTCTCCTGTTCTGCCTTCCACAGAACACGCTCCCCCTTGCCTTATGACCCCTTCAGAACTTGCCTTGCGCTTGGCAGTGCATGGGAGAAATCATAACCAGCAGGGGGGTGTGCAGGGGAGGCCACACACGACACAGACACAGCTGGCAACCAATGGTGTGAAGTGCCCCCATACGCCAGCTCTTCGCTCCAAATCACCTCCTCCTGATGCAGCATTTCTGGTTTTGTCACACATCTAAGCATGTAAGATAGAGCCAGGCCCCATGAAGATAATGCAGAATGACACATGCTGCTTTTTTACAGCATGGAAAAAGAGAGCACAGAAGCCATTGCTGTGTTGTGGAAGGATAAAAAGGTCTCGATTTGAATAGCATCTTTTTCAGACTATTCCATAGCAGTGGTTCTTTCCTTGAACCTTCAGGAACTTTGGGAGGCAGCGATCCCTCCCTTTAGGGTTTGCTTAATTTATATCTGAAGTATCAGTGATGGCTATACTTGGGCATGGGACTGCAGGTTGGGCAAAGGGGTGTACAAGAACTAAAATATCTTTTTTTTTCTTGATCAGGAAAGCAAAACCTACCTGATATATGTATCTGAGTATAGTGGGCTTTCTTATCTCTCAGACATTAATCTTCATTTATACAAGTGGCATGTGCAACTTTTTAAATCTATGTTGGTTGTGAATATTTTTATCATTAATACATTTTTGGTATAGTGCAAAAGTGCTTCTGTCTCTCCAGCTACTGCCTGTTCATAATACACTACAGTTAACATAATCAAGTGATACTTTCCTTTTAGGTTATTCTATTAGGACCTTTCCTTCCCCAACCTGTTACCCTTTGGATGTTTTCAACAACTCCCAGCATTCCCAACCACTAGCCATCCTGGCAGGGGCTGATCAGAGTTCAGGTCTAAACCATGTGGAGGGCACCAGGCTGGGGAAGCCTGAGGCCTATTCAATGGAAATTTCCTCTTCAGAACAGGCTTTGAACAGAATGCATTTGTGTGAAGGGCAAGGAAGAGCTGGGACAATGTGCATCTTCCTTGAGCTATAGATAAGTGACTGCCATCTTTGCTCTCTCCTTGTTCACAGAACTCCCTGGGCCCCCTACTAACCTGGGTATCTCCAACATTGGTCCCCGCTCAGTCACTCTTCAGTTCCGTCCAGGTTATGATGGCAAGACATCAATTTCCAGGTGGCAGGTAGAAGCACAGGTGAGGCTTCAGCCAGCGCTTATTTTGTTGTGGAAAAGGTCCATAGCAGAGAAAGCTCTCTATTTCAACCCTTCTCTAATCCTTAAGATAGCAACTGCTATACTGAAGAAGTCGCTGTGCGGACAGGCTATGCGTTAACTCTGTGACATGATAAAAGCAATGTTCTCCATTCTTTGCATGCATGAACTTTGCTAAATGTTAGGAAATGTAAATGTTTTAAGAACTGCAGTGGCAGAGGACAAGGAGGAAGAGAAGAACGCAGCAATTTAAAGCAGAGAAAACAGTAAGTAAAGAATAACAGAAAATAGGCACCCTAGTCAGGACTTTGTATAGTCCACAATTGCACTGGGTAAGCACAGAATTTGACACTGGAGCAGATTTGTCATCTTGAGAATGTGACCTTCAATTTTAAAAAATAATTTTGTACTTGCTGCAAATATAGGTTTTAAAAGATCCGTGCCGTGGCTGGTGAAATCTCAGAAACTGGGGGAAGGTTTTGTGGTTATTTTCACAAAAGGATGTCAGCATATTGCTATGATGCCCCCTTGTATACAGTGTGTTCAATTTATATTTCTCTTTTGTATTTTTGTGTGCGTACTGGACGATGTCTTTCTGTACATAGTTTTCCCACAGAAAAGCAGCCACCAACTTCAGTGAATAGTCATGAAAACAGAATAAGACATCATAAAATGGCAACTCCTAAAAGTGAAACCCCCACAGTGATGGGGTTTCTGTGAACTTTTTTATAATTTGCCAAAATATGTATTTATGCTACAAAAGTTGACCTGCTTCTCAGTGTCTAAGAACAGCAAACGGCAAACTATAGCTTCGGCAACCACATTTTTACAAAACTGGAGGAGGAGAAGCGATTCATGGCCTACAGAATGACAGCACTGCCCCAGTCCTTCTCATTGCCTGATTTGCCCCCAGGTTGGCCAGACTGGTGAGAGTGAGGAGTGGACCCTCATCCATCAGGTGTCTAATGAGCCAGATGCCCGCTCCATGGAGGTTCCCAACCTCAATCCCTACACACATTACAGGTTGGTGTTGGGTCGGGGCAGAGGGGAGAGATACTGATAACATGCAAGCAGTTTGATTCTGCTGCTAGACTTCCATAAGAACATTCAAAGAGCCCTGGGTTGATCCGAGAGGGCCTAATAAAGCCATGTTTATATGTTAGTGGAGGTGATAACGATGCACTTGAGAACTCTTGTGTTGAAATAAAAAGGAAGGGGGGAAGTGAAAGCACCTCTGAGGCCACTCAGAGCAAGTTCAGAGTCTGTGGTTATGGTAGAAAGATGCTTTCTTTTGGCGCCTCACTCTCTTTCCCAACATCAGTCTTGTTCCTTTGTTCCTTTCTACTTCTAGCTTCCGCATGCGGCAAGTGAACATCGTAGGCACCAGTCCACCCAGTCTTCCTTCCCGCAGGATCCAGACCTTGCAGGCCCCGCCTGATGTATCTCCTGCCAATATTACACTGAGAACAGCCAGCGAAACCAGCCTCTGGCTGCGATGGATGGTGAGCAGTGGCATAAGGAGGCACTCGGCCCGATAATCGTCTCTAGAAGGAGGAACCCAGGGAGGAATGAAGCAGAGTGGGGGCTAAACCAGACCACCAAGGATCAGTCTCCCTAGCAGTGTTTACCTGTTGCAAAATCTTATAAGATAGATCTGAAATCCTGAAGAATGAAGGCAGTCAGAGGGGGCTAGCAGCTTCAGTCAAGGAAGGATTAGATGCTGGGCATAGATCTACAAGGAGCAGGTATGTGGAGAAGATGGGACCACACTCCCATCATCTTTCAACAAGATAGACCTGCTCAAAGGTAGGGGCCGCTCTACTCTCTCACTGTGGATAGGGCTGATGTGTCACCCGCAACATGATAATACAAACTATTTTGAATCACTGCAACTACTCAGATCTTACTTTCTCCAGCAAAAATGAGAACTCCCTCATGGCACAAGCTCTGACCAGAGCCATTCCTACCACTGCCAAGGGCATCAGCAGCAGCACTAAACAAGGGAAGGACTGCTAAGATCAGACAGAGATGCCCCCAGATTCCACCTGAAACCAAACTGGAAGTGGAGTTGTGATCCTGCCCGCAGTGGCATCACCTCATACTGGACAAGAAACTTCCTGCTCTGCTTCTGCAAGGCTTTTCAGGAATTGTAGCTTACTGTTCAGACATAAATTATCTGTAGGCCCAGGATGATGAGACAGGAGTTGGAAGAAAGGAGGGTGTGACTATGCACAAGTGAGGAACATGTGGCCCTCTAGATGTTGTCAGGCTCCTGTTCTCAGCAGCCCTGAGCCAGAATTGGTCTTGATCAGGAATGGCTAGCTGGAGATCCATTGCTGCCCCTTCTCATCTGCGGCATGGGGGGTCCAGAAAGGCCTCTGTTCTATATATGTTAAGGCAGAAAAGTCCACTGCAATGATAGTTTTTTATTGTTATTTGACATTTGAACAGGAAAGTCAGTGTTGTATTGCCTTCTCTTTCCGAATGCATTTACCCTGTTCAAACTTCATGCTAATCTACAGTGTGGTGGTTAAATCCTGGGTTGTCATGATGTATGAACATGTTTGCACTCCAAACCATGGTTTCTTAATAATGGACAACCCAGGAAGAGAATCCATGACTGGGTCGTGCATTCTTGGTTGTCTAAACGATAGGATGTTGTTACTTGTGAACCCAAAACTGTGGGTTGTACATGGGTGGTTTTGCCAGGATACAGAGGCAGCAGGCAAATGTGGTAAAACACAGAATGAGAGAGAGAGAGAGAGAGAGAGAGGCCAACAAGTATGCCCTTTTTGTTTTTGCCAGCCCCTGCCAGAGACAGAGTACAATGGCAGCCCTGAGTCTGTGGGTTACCGGTTGCGTTACTCACGCTTAGACGGTCGCAGCCGGACCTTGACCAACACCATCCATGACCGTGTGGAGCGTGAATTCACCATTGAAGACCTGGAGGAATGGACGGAGTACCGTGTGCAGGTGCAGGCCTTCAATGCCATCGGGCCTGGCCCATGGAGCCAGACGGTGGTGGGGCGAACCCGGGAGTCAGGTATTCTCTCCACCCCCAGCCCTACCACTAGGCCTTGAAACAGTTGCGCAGGGCTCTGCCCATCTGCCTGCCTGGAACTTTGTGTGTGGAGTTCTGGGCTGCGGGTCGTCTATTACAGAACCATCTCAGAGGAGCTTGTCCGTTCAGCACAGACTCCCTTCTCTTTGTGCACACAGTGCCGTCATCTGGGCCCACCAATGTGTCAGCCCTGGCTACCACTTCCACCTCAATGCTGGTGCGGTGGAATGAGATCCCTGAAGCCGACCGGAATGGGCTTGTCCTGGGCTACAAGGTAAGCACTAAAAGCACCAACCCCTCCTCAGCCTGCTAGCCTCCTCTCTTTCACCACCTTCCAAACTCCCAGATTAATTGGTGCTCCTCAAGTGCTCCCTCACTCCGAATCAAGCCTCACTGTCTTCTGCAGTGCCTTGACCCTGCACACCACAGTATTTTATTATAACCCATCAGAAAGCCTGGGGGAAAATATTTTTACATTCTTCACCTGGCACCAAAAAAATAAAAAAATCACCTTCAGGTAAACTTTGAGGCGGGGGTTTCATGACTGGGCGTCACATCATGCTGTGTCTCATATCTGTGGTTCAGAGTACCTCGTGGTGGCCCCCAGGCTGAAGGATGCACGCTTGACTCTCCAACATGGCAGCAAGATGCACTCTCCCAGTTCCTGCACTTTAGAGTCATAGAGTAGTAGAGTTGGACGGGGCTAGAGGGGCACTCGATCCAACCCCTTGCTCGGTACAGGACTCCAAGTTAACCCACCTTTACACAGTGTGACTCTGAAGTCACTCCACAGCGGTGAATTCCTCGTCACCACACCCACAAGAACCCAAGCCCAGAGTATCCGATGTTTACCAGAATAGGCATATTTCTGAAGTAGAGGGGACAAAACAGTCACAATAGTGAGCATTTTTATCCCTATAATTGTTATTGTCCCCAGAGATGGGCCTCACAATGCAAGCAATGTGTCCTTCTCCACCCTTCTTCACAGCTACCCTCACATCCTGAGGCGTTAGAGGGACCTTGGGCTGGCCAGCTTCAGTAGGCCCCCTCCCTTGGTTTAGCTGTCTTCTCACGGCCATGGTCTCAGCTCTTCCTGCTCCTCACTCTCTTTCTCATCATGGTTGCCATTAGGAGTTTGAGAAACAGTGAGCTGGGGAGCAACGCGTCAGTGAAATCTGCTGCTGCTGCTGCTCACCACCAGATCTGGAGCAAAATGCTTGCAGTGGTTAAGAGGAGCAGCCATCTCAGGACTCTCCTGTCACTGTATCCAGTGCCTGACCATGCCTTGATGTCAGCCTCGATATCCTCCCTTTTGCTTCTGTCCAGTTTCCCCCCTTCTCCACTCTGTTCCGTTTCTCCAGTCCCGTCGTAAGCCGCAGCCACTTGGCAAATGCCTTCCTTTCACAGCCTTTCCACACACAGGGGCTGCACCTCAGCAGCTCTGTAAGACAGAGGCCTCCTTCCCAGTGGTTGGCCTTCCCCTGAGCAATAATGAAGGGACTGAAGAAGGGAGACCCAGTGCCTTTCCTTCACCGGGACCGTTTGTGTCTCTTCTCTTTTAGGTTATGTACAAGGAAAAGGATTCAGATGTGAGGGCCCAGTTCTGGCTGGTGGAAGGCAATGCTTCGCGAAGCGCTCAGCTCACAGGCTTGGGCAAGTATGTCCTCTATGAGATCCGGGTGCTGGCTTTCACTCGCATTGGTGACGGCGTGCCCAGCAATCCGCCTATCCTTGAACGCACCCTGGATGATGGTAGGTGTCCAACAACCACGGGCCTGCCGACCACAATTATAGCAAGAGGGAATGGGAAGGGAAAAGAAGGAAAGTTTTGCAGTGGGGGAATCTATGTAGTATTCAAAGGCTGTGCTAATCAAAAAGAAAGGCCGTTCCTCAGAACAGACACAATTTGTGTTGTGGATAAATTTAACCACACATTATTAATACAGTTTGTTGAGAAAATGGCAGAACTTCACATTTATAGTGTTTTCACACATTCACATTAATTATTTGGTTGCAATTCTCACAAGAAACCTGCAAGATAGATCAATATTATTATCCCCATCTGCAGAAGCAAGATTAGAACTAAGGCCTAAATACAGGCCTTTAGGCACTGCACAACATCAGATCTGTAGATTATATTTTTCCAAAATACCATCAGCAGAGACTTATCCTAGAAATTTACAAAGAGAGAGACTTCTTTGTGGTGGTGCCCTGAATTTGGAATGCAGTCCCAAAGAAGCTTTCATTTCAATGCTAAATTAAAATGCTTATTCTTGTCAAAGAATTTTGACAAGTTACTACCTTAGAATTTTTAAAGTATTTTAATTCCTCTTTAAGCAGAATTGAATATTGTGTTTTTATTTGGCCAGCTGATCAAAGTGTTGATGGTTTAATTTGTGTTTTTCTCTGTAATCATATTGTTTTTATACTGAATTTGTTTGTTGGTTTTAAGATTGCATTTACTCCCTTGTGGGAAGAGAGGAAGGGTGCTTTATAAATGTTAAAAATAAAATAAATACATGCATACAGTACATTGGTGATCGTTTTAAAACCTTATTATCAGCAATACCAGCACCTGAACTTGACTCAACACAACCCCAGCCTCCAAACAAATGAATAATGCAACCAAAGTTAGTTTTGTGTCGCATGCTAGTGTGTGTGTGTGTGTGTGTGTGTGCGCGCGCGCACATGCGTGCATGCACAGATTTCTGTGTAAATTCCATTCTCTGCATTTGCTATGGATGTGGCTGTGTCCCTTGATACGTCCCTCAGAGCACCCATTCTCCTTGTCTTGCTGTATTTCAGTTCCTGGACCCCCAGTGGGCATTCTCTTCCCTGAAGTGAGAACCACTTCTGTTCGGCTAATCTGGCAGCCACCTGCTGCTCCCAATGGGATCATTCTAGGTAAGCAGCTAGCCTCCCCACAGAGACTGTAGACCCGAGTGTTGCCTGCCATGTTGGATGTCAGTTGCTGTCACCAGAGGAATTATGGGAGTTCTGGATGCGTAAGAGTAGAGACCATCCCACCTCAGATCCATGGACATCCTCTCCTAAAGCTACTTAAGTTTAAAATACTGCTCTTTGGACGGCAGCGTCCCCTTTCACTGCAAAAAGATAGGCTTGTGGGACAGTTGTCCCAGGCATTTTCAAACTATCCAGCATTTCACCTGTACGCAGCATACCAGATCACCCACCGTCTCAACACCTCGACTGCTAACTCTGCCAGCGTGGAAGTGCTCAACCCCAGCGCACGCCAGTTTACTGCTACCAGTCTTAGACCTGAGTCCACCTACCTCTTCCGTATCACGGCACAGACCCGAAAGGGCTGGGGCGAGGCAGCAGAGGCGCTGGTGGTCACCACAGAGAAAAGAGGTAATTACCGAGGGGAGGGGAGGGGAGGGGAGGGCCACTGTGCATGCTGGTCTAAGTGGTTCAGTGGGACAACTGAGAGGGAGCAGTTGCATGTTGCAGAGACTGAGATGGTCACAAAGGTGGCAGAAGCCGGTTAGAAGCGCACGCGCACAGCCCCCAACTGTCACATCCCTCACCATCACCCCTCTGCTTCTAGTTGTTCCTCATCACTTTTTATTTTCACCTCTCTCCTATTTTTATTTAATTCTTCGGATACTTTACTTCCTCTTTCCATAAGCAAATGTTCTCCCTCTTGAAAAACAGAAAACTAACAGATACTGTTCATGTAACAAAAGGTTATCCAGTTCAGTCTGTTTTGCGGAATTAATATATAGTTCTGCTTTCTTTTTTATGGAGAACCTTATGGGAGCATCACACTAAAATGCAGGCAGGCTCCCCTTGTAGATTATGCATTTTAAAGAGGAAAACTGTGATTTGTAGGAACCCAGTGAACAAGCTGGATCTTAACCTGGATGCTGACTTCCCTGATTTGTCAGCTAATCCCTTTTGCTCTAACTCAACTGGATCTAGGTTGGATTGGATGAGTAAGGGGAAGCTACGTGACTAAACTCTGCCTGCATAGGATATAAAAGGGCAGGATTCTTTCAAGCTCCTATGCAAAATAGGCTGATGGGAATTCATACGTGTGTCAGTGTACCTCTGCTGTCACAGCCAAGTCTTGTTTTCATCCCGTGCTTCCAGCCTTCCATGATCTGTGCCTCTCTTTCCTCCAGACCATCCCCAGCCCCCCAGCAAGCCAGTTGTGTTGCAGGAAGACGTCAAGGCAAGGAGTGTGTTGTTGTCCTGGGAGCCTGGCAGCGATGGGCTCTCGCCAGTCCGGTATTACACTGTGCAAACTCGGGAACTCCCGGATGGGAAATGGGTGCTGCATTCAGCTTCTGTCAACCACAACACCACATCCTTCATAGTCAACAGGTGAGGCAGCAACAGAAGGGGTGCAGAGCAGCAGGCACTGAGGAAGAAAGGGTGTGATTGCCAAGGGCATGTTGGGGGCAGGTTTTGTTCTGTAGGCGTGTCTGGAGTGCCACAGGACTGTGTTCATCTTCCCATGTGCAAAACGTAGTCAAACTGGAGTTAAGACAAGCCATCGTGATGCACAGTTATGTAACAATGTGCTCTCTGAAGTCCTTAAGAAGAGCTTGCTGGTCACGGAGTGAAAATGTTATAAAATACTGGCTGGCCAAGCTGCCAGCAGCAAAGGGAGTGGGCCTGGGTGCTGCTTCCACTGTTCCTCCAAAACCATGCCAGGGACCATGTGTTCCTCTTTCAGGCTGAAGCCTTTCACCACCTACAAATTCCGTCTCAAGGCCACCAATGACATCGGTGACAGCGAGTACAGTGAAGAGTCAGAGCCGCTCACCACACTGCAGGCTGGTACGTGAACCCTTTGGACTGTGACTTACTCCACAGGGAGGACGCAGCTTCCTCCTTTGGCCTCCTTCAGCTGTCCTGCAGTGGGAAAGGTGCCACCTAGCAAGTGAAGCCACTGCCACATGCATGGCTGGATGGAGTCCTTCTCCCTGTCTAATTCCTGTCTTAGATATTGATTAGTCTTGCAGCTAAATCAGTTGAAAGAAGCAGTCATACCATGTCACAGCTGCTCTTTCCTCGCTCTCCTTCAAGCAGATGAGAACAAAAGCATAGGGACCAGCTTACTGATGGAAGTCTTCCTTCCAAACCTAGAATTGCTAATCCCACTTCAAGATGGATTGTGCTGTTGGAGGGCCAGTTGCTTGGCACATCTGATGCTTCTCAACTGATTCACCTTCTTAACCTGATGCTGTAGGACTGGCCTGTGATGCCTTGTCCCATATCAGCTTGCTCACTGGACTTTCACAAAACAGTCTGATTCTTGGTGTTTCCCTGGATTATTCTTGGGTCTGCTAGCCATGGTGGCTGCAATTGATTCAAATGAATGTGGATTTTTATAAATCCCACTTGCACATTCTGCAACAAACTGGGTTTTTTGAAGTCATGTGGATTCCACAGACTGGTGTTTTACTTTGGGGGAGTGAATTTACACACTCACACTTGTGCTAATGCAAGTGGAACAAAATGTGCATACTTTCCTAAAAAGTGGATTGGATTCCATTGATGGAATGAAAGACACCTGAGAATCCTTGAAACACAGAAATCCTTGAAAGACCTGTGCTTCTCTCCTCCTGTACGTATTCCATGCACAGCTTTGGCAGTGGTGGCACTGAAGGTCTTAGAACAGGAAGACAGGAGCTGTAATTGAGACTGGCTGTTGTGAGCTTCAAATCCAGTTCTGCAGTGATGCAGACTGGCGGCTGAAGAACATTTAAGAGGATGCATGGATGGGTCATAGAGAAGTGGAAGAAAAAGATCAAGTACACAAAACAAATAACGCTAAAGGGGATTGTGATATTTATTTGTTTGTTTGTTTATAGAAGCTTTTGTATGCTACCCTTTAAAAGTTAAAATGAAGTACCACTGGACCCAAGTTATTCCACATCAAGGCAGTATTCCATTACTAAAAATAGTTGTCTCCCTACTTCAAATCTACCAGCAGTCTATCTTCTTTTTTTGGCCTTTGCCACTAACACCAAGTTGTCATTGAGCCAAGTATCCAGAGTGAAGCAATGTGCCTGTATCCCATAGAATCAATTAAGAGGAGCTTAGGTATGCCTGTGTCTAATTCACTTTTTTTCCTCTCCTCAGCCCCAGAGGAAGCTCCTACCATTGTGTCAGTGATACCGCACACCACCACATCCGTCTTAATCCGCTGGAAGGTAGAGTAGAGCTTACTTGCTAGTTTGCTTTCCTGTTGAAACTCTGCAGTAGGCCAGCTGGAATGTTCAGGGGGTTTTGCCATCTTAGGAAAAGATTCTGGCCAGTGAAACATGTTCCATATTGCACAACAGTTCTGTGGGATGTCTTCCTCTTATTTCTGGTGATCACCAAACCTAGAAGTGGCTCAAGCTGGTCTGTGGCTTTAGAAAAGTGAGCTTAAACATGGTCAGTAGGATTGCAATCAAATCTGTGTACACAAAGATATTTCTAGGCTTTACCTCAACATTTTTTATTCAGTCTGCTGGTTACCACAAAGGACAGTTCTGCAGTCAGAATGGAATCGAGTGATGTGGATGTACATGAGGGCACCAGATGTGGAATACAGATGTTTATTAAATAACTGTGAAATTGGGTTTGAGGAAGAAGGAAAGACCAGAAGGGCTAAAATGGATAGTACAGTTATAAAATGCCCCCCTTCCTTTCTTCAACATCTTGATTCATGTAAGGATTCTGAGGCCTACCTCACTCCCTTGACTCCAGTGGGGGCCATGGAAGCCAGCTCGCCACTCGGCTCTTGCAGCTTTTGACTGGGCCATGGAAGGCGACAGTCTTAAAAGGCAATCACAGCACAGAATCCTTGTGTCAGAAGAGAGTGGCAGGTGTCAGCCATGTGGGGGTAAGTGAATGTCACACATGAGTCCCTCACGGTTCATCTCTTTCTCCTTACACAGGCTCCACCTGAGGACAAAATCAATGGCATCTTGCTTGGCTTCCGCATCCGCTATCGGGAGCTGACGTATGAAGGGGTGCGGGGTTTTACGGCCCGCAGCATAGGCAATCCCAGCGCAAAATGGACTGAGCTAACCTGTGAGTACGCTCATGGGGAGTGAGGTTGCAACCACTGTCTTCAAGCAGTCCTGCAGCAGCAGCAATATGGCCAGCATTTGGGAGCAGTCCTCCAGCCACAGGCCCTGGTGCGGAGCACTGCCTCGGGTGCAACATGAATGCTCCCAGCAAAGAAGGGGCTGGCCCAGCAATGCCCTTCGGCAAAAATGCAGAAAGGGCCCTCGAATGATAGACTGCATGTCCTTCTGCTTGGGGTTGTGCTTGCATTGGAAATGCTGACCCCAGGCTGTGGGGTCTTCCCTGCTTAGTCCTTTTAATGCCAGAGGACTTCTTCATGGGGAGACTTTCCTCCCAGCCCCAGAACTGCTAGTCAGGGGAGTCTTGAGCCACTATGGTATTCCCAAGTTTCCCAGATGGCCACTGACAGTGCTTAGCCAGTCTGTTTGTCTTTGGTAGCCTTGATTCTCCCCACTGGGTATTTGTACTTGGTTGACAACTCCACAACATCCTTTGCTGTGGCTGTGGGCTTCTCTCCTAGCTGCTCTCTTCCCGCGGTTATGTCTGTCGGCCCTGCTTGCATTGTCAAGATGTCTCTTTACATGTGGCTAACCTGCATTGACTGCTTTTCCCTTCTGACTGCCTCCCATCCCACAGCAGCATATGCCACACGGAACCTGAGTGAAGCCTCCCTCACCCAGTACGAGCTGGACAGTAAGTGGGCACTTGGTCTCTCGTCTGTGCATCTGCCCCTGCAGTGTTTCTGGCCCGTCACAAATCCCAGCCCTGCCTGCAGCCCAACCATGCCTTGTGCTGACACAGAGAAGGAGATGAGCACCTCCTTCCTGTCCTCTCCTGTGAGCCTTTCTGCTCCTGCAGCAGCCTTCCACATCCTGCTGCCTTCCAGATATGTTAGACTACAACACCCTAACCACTTCAGCATGATAGGAGTTGTAGTAAAACACATCTGAAGAGTGTTCCAGCTGTGGGAAGGCTGCTCTACAGTCTGAGATGTCTCCCAGGTCCAAGGAGAGTAGCTTTTGCTTCCAGGCAAAACCCCAAGTCAAATCATTAGAAAAGACTGACTTGAACAATTGACATGAATTATGTGCCATTGTCCAATCACTTAATAGAATTAAATCATTCTTTTGAGTTTAGGTGCCTGATAGACACAAACTGAGAAGAGTTTATTCCATGTTAGATTAGATGCCTATCAACAAAATGATGGATGGAAAATAATAGGGGAGGGAGGGACAGGCCTTGTGGTAAATTGGAGGGCATCCAATAGCAGCCAGAAAGTGAAGACCAGGATCCATGCAGAAGAGCAGAGATGCTGGAAAATACGTCCCTTTGAAGCCCTGCTGTAAGTGCTGTTCAGACTCAGCAGTCTTCAGCTGCACATTGCCTTCATCTGATTAAGCTGTTTTTCACAACCACGAGAGGGCTGGAAGCCTTGCAGGGAATGAATGGGCTTGCCTTCATTCCATCCCACATTCTTCTGGAGGAATATCCTGGAAAAGGTTGTGGCAGGCAGCAGAAGCAGTATCCTTTAGGAGGAGTGTCAGGCAGGATCTGATGAAGGCTGGAGGGGGGCTGGGGAATGGGAGCAGGTAACACAGACTGTGCGCACTCCTCCCTGGAAGGGAGCCCAGGATTTCAGAGGTGGGCTCTGCCTCTTCTTCCCTAACCATAGCTGGCCTTTTCCATCTTGCCGCCTCTACAGATCTGAACAAGCACCGCCGCTATGAGATCCGAATGAGCGTCTACAATGCTGTGGGGGAGGGGCCCACCAGTTCACCACAGGAGGTCTTTGTGGGTGAGGCTGGTAAGCTGAGGATCTTCTCTCCAGGTGCCATTTTCTCTCAGGCCCCAGTTTTGCTGCAGGGCTGCCTGTGCAGGATTGCTCAAGGCCGAAATGAAGCGTGGGTGCGTTTCGCAGGCTGAGAGAGCAGAGACACTGTGTCACCTGCTTCTCCTGTGCAACTCTTACTCCCATCAGCTACCAACCTCACACAGTAAGCCTGCAGATTCATGCGTTTAGCCATGAACAGCCAGCTGCCCAAAAGAGACCAGCAGGCCCACAAGACAGGCACATCCATGACTAAAGTCAGGAGCATTCTGGAAACACACATCTGCCTCAGACAAGAGGATTCCTGCCTCTCTGTGGGCTTGTGAGAATGTCACTTGCCGGCCGCTCACATCCTGACTGCCTTTCCCTCTGCTTTCTTCAGTCCCCACAGCTGCACCCCAGAATGTGGCCATCCAGAGTGCAACGGCCACCCAGCTTGACATCACTTGGAGCCCACCACCTCCTGAGGCACAGAATGGAGACCTCCAAGGCTACAAGGTACTAGGAGTCTCGTACGCTTATGGATGAAGGCTGCAGAATGGCTGGGGCAGGGGGCCAGGATCTTGGCGGACGTGGATGCAGGCTGCAGCTGTGCGTGTTCTTAACAAGAGCCCTGCCAGTTCAGGGCAAGGTCCATCTGCTCCAGCATTCTGTTCCCACAGTGGCCAGCCAGCTGCCCATGGGATCCCACGAATAGGACGTGGGTATCGCAGCAGCCTCTCGCCCTTGTTCCCCAGCAAATGAGGTGCACACAGGCTCTGCACCATCAGGACAGGTAGCCATAGTTAGCCTTATCATCCCTGTGTTTGTCCAGTCCTTTTAAAAAACCATTCAGATCAGTGGCCATCACTGTAACTTATTGTAGTGAATTCCATAGTTTAACTATGTATTGTGTTGAAGAAATAACACCTTGTGTCTGTCCTGAATCTTCCACCAAGCAGCTTTCTAGGATGACCCTACTTGCTTCCAGTAGCTTCTGCCACTGTCACATAAGGACACCACAAGGTATCCTTCTTTTTCTGTACAGGTAAATACAATAAAGAATTTGCAGTGGATGACACATTCCTTACACCAATTGTCTTGCACATGTTAAAAGAGCACATTTATTATGGCATAATCTTTTTGCTTATCATCAGATGCATAAGGCACTGACCAGAGTCACAAGCTTCCTGGGGAAGCGGAGAAGGGTTGCATACAGTGAGGTCCAGGGGAAATGGAAGCATAGATAGGGACGGTTAACAGCAAGCATGATAAAAGAGACATTCTGGCATTGGTGAGCTGACTTATCAACCTGGAAGGTGCCACAGTACCAACATGGCTATCCATCTGGGAATAGACACCTTGTTTTAGAGTCTACAGTTTATTTTTAAAGGGAAGGGACAGAAATGAATGAGAAATAGCCACCTTCCACTTCTGGAAAAAGCTGCAGTTCCAAACTCTACCAGCAAGTGATGCTGTTGCACCTCAAACAGAACAGCAGAGCTCTATGTATTGTATCTTGTTGTGGTGTTTTGGTTCCTTAGGAACCAAGAGTTGCTCTGCACCTCACGTTTGATGGGTGCATGCAAAACGTATCTGCATGTTCCTTTCAAGCCAATGTATCCGTGTGGCAGATGCAAATCGCTCACCAGGTGTATCAAACAGTTGTGTGCTTCAGAGACCTGGGCTTAGCTGTATGGCAGACACACAGACACGCACGTACTCTGTGGACATGAAGTGGCCAGCGTGAGGCAAGTGGCACTGCTCTCATTCAGGGCGGCTGATGCACTTCCCCCACCCCAGCATATCCTTTCCTCCTCATGAAGGGCTGCAGTGGTCTGTGCCCGGATGGTGGCAGTGGACCGCATACCCAGCCATGGCACCGTGAGCTGGAACGAGTCTCCTGCCAGTCCTTGCACAGCAGCCGCTCTTCCTCTTGGCTTCACACACCCCATCAGTGATCAATGGGGCATTTTTACAAGCCAGCAGAGCCGCAGTTTTGGAAAGAGGCTGCCCTGTTTCCTAAGAAACCACAAGGGTGCCAGGCCCTATTGCCATGGAGCCTGCTTGTTGCCGTCCCTTAGGCGCCTTGACTTCATGGCTTGGGTCAGCTGGTACAGCCTCTCTGTGGAAAGTCTGGACCTCACCCAAGAATGACTTCAGTGGCGTCTCATTCACCACCCAACTCACCCCCATAAGCCAAGGCTGAAAACAAATTGGCTGGACTGCGTTGTGTAGCTCACGGGTGAACACGCCCGAATCCTTGCCTGTTCCTGCAGTGGGAAGAGCTCACCTTCCCCACTGAGGTCCTCAGTGAAACAGCTTTGTGGTACTGAATTCCTCTCATGTGCCCTGGGAATATGCTTTCAGCATCTCATGTGCTTTGCACAGACCAGATAGAAGCTTTCAGAACAAAGTGTTGCTGTGCACACAGAGAGACAGCACACAGCATCACCACCAGCCTTCTCTCATCACTCAGAAAAACACAGGCTTGGACAAGCCTCCTGAGTGCCTGCATAGGCAAGGAGAATGTGGAAAAGGAAGCTGGGGAAAATATGCTTACAGAGTCACTCTCTGCATCCCAAAGAGGCATTTTCATTTTAGCATGGACTGTTTCACTACCCGTGACTTGGGTCCTGTGTAGAACACACAGTTGCAGCCTCTGACTTTCTGGGCTCCCTGAAAGACTAGGCAGTTGTGAGATGCAGCAGGAATGTGGCACTGTGCCTGGTTTCGGTGGGGATGTGTTGCATTATAAATAATCGTAGTAAGAACGGAGAGAAGAGTTTCACCAGTACTAGAAATGGGTTTTTTCAGAAGATGTCTTTTAAAAGGATTGATTTCCTTCTGGCTACAAATAACTGCAGGTGAAGAAGGCTGAAACTTTCTTTCTCAAGGGACAATTCTCCCGCAAGACCTTACTCCCCTTTGAAGCTCATAGGGGACTCAGCGGGAGTGATTTAAACCTGGGAAGGGGTGTTGGGAGACAGGGCTAAACCTCCACTCTCCCTCACTGGAGCCCTGATTCAAATTGCTGCCTGGCCCCATTAGCTGCTTCTCATAAAAATATATCATGATATCTGATCACAGATATCTCATGTCATATTTAGTTTGGATCTGAAGGCTGGAGATTTTAATCAGTGATTAATCATTTAATCAAGGGAGGGTGGTCTTTTTTAATCAGTACAGAAAAGTATTAATCAGGGGAGCTGAATTTTATGTGCATACTTAAAATATTAAGAGCCTTTCCTTCTAGCATTTAGTGTTGGCTTTCATCAAATTGCAAGTTGTCTTAGATTTCCTATAACATCATAGAAAAGCACCTTTATCCAGACTATAACTATATCCACATTTATTTTCATTTAAGAAGCAGTTAATCAATTAAAGGATTAAAAGATGGATCACCTGTAATTCTTGCAGCAGATGGCAGTCCCCCTTGTAACACTGAGTGTAGTGATGAGCCAGCCCAGTTTATTAGCTCTCCAGGCCTGGTTCTGCCTGAGAGTCATTAAAAGCTCTTGAAACTGTGGGACAGGTGCTGAAGGATCCAGATAGGAGGCCTGGGATAATGAAACACACCCAGTGTAACCGCAGCCAGCCATGCTGGGAGTTTTAGTTCAGCACAGGTTGGGGAAGACTGAACCATAGTAACAGAAACAGAATGATTTCAGGGAAAAGAACATATTAATCTGGAAACTTTTGACTTCAACTCTCCATGTTTTGGAGTGGAAAAGCAGCATTAAAGGCACCATGTGATGAGCACAAAAAGTGAAATGAGTCCTTTCCTGCCATCTTTTCTTCCCCTTTACCTTTTTCTTCACTCTGTCTTCTGCTTTCATCCCACTTCATCCCCACAGATCTATTTCTGGGAGGCCCAGCGGCAGAATGAAACTGAACGGGTGAAAACACTCTTTCTACCAGAGAACGGCGTCAAACTCAAGAATCTGACTGGCTACACTCCCTACCTTGTCAGTGTCCTGGCCTTCAATGCTGCAGGCGATGGGCCCCGCAGTGCCCCCATCAAAGGCAGGACCCAGCAAGCAGGTGGGATACCTGAGGCAAGATGCATGAGCCCCTCACCTTTCCCTGGCCATGGGAGGGCCTTTGCTCTTTCACAGAAGGTCCAGCAGCAGGGACTGTGCTGAGGGAGGGAGATGCGGGGAGGAACTAGAGTAGGAAGCAGAAGAAAAGACATGCTCAGTTACTGTTTCACCAAATATGGCTTTACCCAGGGGCAGCATTATCTAATGTCAGTCTAATACCATCATAATGTCAGTAGCATCTAACAGCACTAGCATTTTCCCATCTCTGCTATTTCCTTGCAGTTCTGATTCAAAAACTGCCAAAACATTGTGAAAATAATAAATTTTTGCCACAAAACAGTGCCCATAGCTGTGCTTCCAAGGTCTCCCAAGCTGCCCTATCTGTATTGATCCATTTCTGTATATCTGAATGTATATTTCACATGTTGGTATGGGATTCCTCACAAAGGCATTGTTACTAAAAAAAACCCCATGTGCCCACACCCCGTCCTCATTTAATGAAGGAACTGCAGCTAAGCTCAGAAAGAGCAAGAAAATCTCAGGGGAACTGCAGATGATGCTCTTTTCCCTGCTAATCAAAATGTCCAAGTGCTTTGACGCTGTGAGCCCTGACCCCACTACACCACCCGTGAGATCTGTTTGAAAACGATATGGCCAGCCATGTGCAGTAGCTCCAAAATAATTCATGTAAGAAAGCACTCCCTCTGTTCATTTAGTCCCACAGGGGAGATGGTGCTTTCATTTGTGTGTGTTGCTTACTCTTTGTTAAAGCAGCAGATTTATGTCAGTGCAGTTCGACTGGCAGGTCATTGCCTCTCACACCCGACTTGTGTCCCCTTCCCTGCTCTTCTAACCACAGCTTTAGGCTCCCTTCCTCAACCTCTTCATTCATATGTGCAGACCACAGTAGACCACATCTAGCCTTGCCCCACACCATGGCATCCTTGGCCTGCACCCATGGTCCCAGCTGTGCTCCAGTCCCAAGCTTCTGATGCTTTGGAACATCCAAACCGCTCTGACCAGGAGCTCGGCTAATGAGCTGAATCGCGCTGCTGAGTGTCATCACTGACCAATCCAGGGCCAGGCTGAGAATAGCTGAGCAGGTGACCTCAAGTTGTGTTTGATGCCTGGCAAAAGACACATGTGCCTCTGTTGTTTGAAGGCCTCCGTGCTCCATCCTCAACAGACCTTGGCTTTGTTCTGTTGCATCACCTGCTCCCTCCCTTTCCTTCCAGCTATGCACTTTCAAACATCCTCAAGTTACATGTTTGGAGATCAAAGCCAGCAAGAAAGGAAATGTGGAGACACTTGTGGGCTGTACCCACCATCAGTGACTTTGGCTAACAAGCCCTTCTTGAAGCCTAGAGTCTGGCCTTACATCCTTTGCTCCCCCTGTGCAGAGAGGAAGTGGGGTCTGTAACAGACTCTGCCTGGCTAGCTTCCCTCTCCTTGAATCACTGGGGTTGCTTTTGGCACAGCATGAGAAGAATCTCAGCAATGATTTTGGCTGGAGCGGTTGAGGATATTTGCTCCCGTTTCCTCCCTTTCCAGCCCCACTGCTCAGCTCTCAAACTGCGCTCCAAAGGTTCAAGTCCCTGATTTTGAATGGACTCGGCAAAAACAAAACACCACATTCTGCCTGATGCCTTGACACACAATAGTCCCTCTGTTCATAGTTCCCAATGTCTTGGTGGGAGAAAAGTAAGAGGGTTCAGGATGTTGCCCGTTGGCAAGTGACTTTCATTGCATAAGGTGCTATTGCAGGAGTTTCTTTTCTTGGAAATCCTCAAAATTACTGTTCCCAGTTATGGGACTAATTCTTTTTCTTTCAGTTAAAGGCTAGTTCAAACTGTCAGTGGACCCTAAGGATGAATGTGGACTGAAGTGGAGGGCCATAAGGATGGATGGATAACTTGGATCAGCTTGCTTCCAGTGGAGTTGTCAGTGGCCATTTCACACAATGATTGACCTCTGTGCGATTCATTATAGACACAAGCTGATGAGGCCGCTTCTGTGGGCAGGCCCCTTCTAAAGCTTTTTGCAGAATTGTCTGAGGCTGACTTCACACATTCATTTTTCCTGACTTGAATGCTTAACAAGGCTGGAGGGGAGGCAGTTGAATGGGAATATGTGCTAATTTTGCTCCCAGTTTTAAGACTTTTGTTGGGGAAAACATAACAGGCATCCTGGCACTGAAAGTTAAAACTGCGGTGATTATATTTTTCGAATACAACATTGAGAACCGTGCGCTTCAAACTTGAATTTGAGGTGCATCAGGCTGCCATCCCTTGGGTTTTCAGGTGAACCAAACCCACTGGCACCTTCTTAGCCAGATCATGGCATTTGGATCTGGAGCCACACAGTTGGGAGTGGTGGGGGGGGGTACAGGCAGTGGCGCTCCTTCCCCTAGGTAAAGGGAGCAGGGCCACAACCAACTGGGCTATCCCCCCACCCCCGGCTGCTTTTGTGCCCTCATTGGCAGTGTCCCGCAAAGGCAGTGTCTGATTAGTTCAACTTGCTGCTACTCAAACGATAGGACAGACACAATTTATTTAACGTGGTGTGCCATGAGACTGCTGCTTTGCCCAGGCAGCTGCTATGGTGCTTCCTTTTGCTATGGTGCTGGCAAGAGAAGGATGCATAGTCACAGCCCCAATCCTGGACCCCCCTTCAAGGCCACACATCTGCTATGGCATCTCCAAATTCAGTGGCACCGGTAACCAAAAGCAAAATCGAAATGTGTGATTTCTAGGTGACTAAACAGCCAAATCTAGCTTGGAAACAAGCCATTTCTTTTGTCATCACCACCAAATTCAGTGGGGTGCAGGGGGACACATGTGGCCTGCAGACGGCCTGTGACCCACTCCTGCTATAATGCCTCCGACCTGGTTTACTTGCTTAAGCCAATGGGATAATTTAACACAACTTTATCTCATTAATGATTTTTATACAACTGTGAGTTGTGCTCTGCAACTCTACAGCACAAGCCAGTGGCTGCCCATAACCCTCCCATCTTAGAGGATTATAGGCATACACTGGAGGGCAGAAGGGGTTTCTCCCATCTTGCAAAAGACTTAGCTGATTGATTTGGGCTGCCCAAATAGTTCTGTTCTGGAGCCCAAGAAAAAGAGGCTGAGGTGCCACCAGAATACTGCATGATGTGATGGAGTCTTGTTCCATCTCTCCTCATCCCCAAAACACCCCACAAACTTCTGTGTTGACTTTGGGGGCAAAGCAAGGGTACTCCTGAGGTCAGGGTCCCAGCTTTGACCATGGAGCATGTTTCTGTGGTCAGAGCTGTGGCTCCAACCTCTCCTATGGCTATCTAAACTCTGTCTAGATGGCCATAGATCCTTACAGTCTTTCTCTTATCTTTCTTTACAACCAGCATGTTAGCTAGATGGTTATCACTTACGATCAACACAGAAAGCTGAGAATGGAAAAGAATTCACACAGAGAGACAAGCAGGATACCTGGCATAGTGTGGATAAGCGCTGTGTAGATTATACAACACATTTGCTTCCAAGTGCATCTCCTTTTGCAAGCGGACAACTAGGAAGAGGTAGCTTGTCAGGAGTGCTACACACTGAGTCCTACACACTATCCAGAAAGCAAGCAAGCCCGTCCAATATGGGAGCTGACCTACTAGCTAGAGTGCTTGACTGGGATTCAGGAAACTGGAAGACTGGCCCAGTCACTGACTCTTGGCCTAACCTACCTCACAGGACTGTGGTTGGGCAGAAGAAACTGAGAGGAGGAGGAGAACCGTGGAAGCCACCTTGGGTTCCTTGCCAAAGGAAAAAAAGGAAGGATAGAAATGCAATAATAAAAATAAAATGGCAAACTTAATCTGATGTTCCTGCTTTTGGGGAACTGGCTCATGGCCTGTACTCTGGCTCCACAGCAGGTTTCTTGCTATCTTCATTTATTCTCTCATTCCAGTATTGCATGCCGTCCAAAGCAATAACTGTTTCCCAAGATAAACCAGGCATATGAGGTACCTTGCTTGTCAAAGAAAGCAGCAGCAGAGCATGGGTTCATAGATGGGGAAACAGCAGAGTCTCAGCACACCTGCTGTGTAAGTTTGCTCCCAAACATCAGGCATGCGATAAAGCCTTATTTCTATGCCCCTCAGAGTCACCAGCCCTAGGCAGATTAAAATGGTGAGCACAGTTGGAAAACAATTGAAAATGTTCTTTAAAAAACCCTAGAAACTCAAGATCATTTTTTGTCTGATGATTTCAAGGTTTATGTTTGCTTATTTGCTTGCTTGCTTGCTTGCTTGCTTGTTTCTGTGGCTTATAAAAGGGAAAAGCTCTTCATATGTCCCATGGGTGCTCAATGAGAGTTTTGAGGACTCGCACAAAGCTGGCCTAGAAGAAGAATTCCATCTCTCACATGATAAAACGCCATCACGGAGTAGCAGTGAGCAGCTTTCATGTCAAGCACTCTGTGATGGCCAAACTCTGATCTTCCTTTCCCCTTCAAGCATGACACAGGAAGGGACTCATGGATCTTAAAAGAGACAACAGGACCCCTGAGGTCACAGAACTCACCCTGTTAACACTTCTTCTTTTAAGGAGGAGTTATTTTCTTTTATTGGCTGTGCAGACAGTCTGCAGTGTTTGAGCTCTGATAGAATCTGCTTTCATGAAATGGCTCTTCCTTTGGTCTGAGTGGAAGAGGCCACTTCCATCTCTGAGGCCACGTCATTCATTGGACAACTTAGCATGTCTCCTTGCTTCTAAGGCCTCCCTTTCTCTTCTCTAGCTCCCAGCTCCCCTGGTGCCATCAAATTCAGTGAACTGACCACCACCTCGGTGAATGTGTCCTGGGAGCCACCGCTGTTTCCCAACGGGATCCTGGAGGGCTACCGACTCATCTACGAACCCTGCATGCCTGTGGATGGTGAGGAACTTCGAGGCAGGGGACATATTGCTGTATAAAATCAGGCTCAATCCTGTGCAGGTTTTCGGTAGATGCTGGGGTTTGTGGGCCTTCTTTCTGTCCAAACTTGCATAGGATTGCAAGACAAATTTAATGACCAACTAAACTAACTTAATGACCAGTTAAGACAAATAGCACTCACAAACACCCATGATTGTCTTTCAAGTATGTTTTGAATCATGGCAGAGTTTAATTTCTAAAAAGGAGGATGCTGTCTGTTACCCAGGGCTCCCTTTGAAATCTGCAAATTGTGTTTGCTAATCTTAGGTCTGCAGGTGAGGTATCACAATTACTATTGTTGTTATTTTTCTTTTCCATTTGTATCTTCAGTAAGTGAGTTGTGCATACTCTGTAGTAAGGCATTTTGCACATCCCTAAATGCACTGTTTGGTTACTTCCAAGTGCTACAAATAGGTCTGAGTTGGTAAGTTTGTGGAGTGTTGAGTACTGTTTATTTAAGACTGACATGAGGTATTTAAAAAATGTTAAACCATATGCTCTTTTTTCCTTGCAGTAAAATGAGCTCTTATTATTTTTTTCTCTCTTCTGTTTCCTGAGAATCATAATTTAACAAGAAATACTAATGCAATTAATCAGTTCCAGACTCGAATGACAATACAGCCAATGTGCTGCCACATCAAAAGGCCGTATGCCTTTCCTAGTCCTCTAATAGGTCTCTGATCCAATGACTGTGTGGACTCTCTTTTATATTAAAGATGAGATGTAAAATTATATATGCCTTTTCTGAGGATGAGCAAAAGCATAAGACACTGGAATGAATGTAACCCCAAGGGGCTGGGCCTGTACCCATAGTGCCAACATAGCTGCAACGTAAGGCCTCTGGACATAAGTGGATATTGATGGGTTTAGGCGCCCCATCTCTAAACATCACCTCTTTGCCTGCAGGTGTCAGCAAGATAGTAACAGTGGATGTGAAGGGAAATAGCCCCCTGTGGTTGAAAGTCAAGGACCTGGCAGAAGGCATCACTTACCGGTTCCGAATCCGAGCGAAGACCTTCACCTATGGGCCAGAAGTAGAAGCCAACATTACCACGGGGCCTGGGGAAGGTACAACAAGGCGCTGGGAGGGAAGCCCCCTTTATCTACCACTCTATGTACTCTCATAGGTGTAGGAGGAACGAGCAGCGGGCCAATGGATACTTTGTGTGGAGACAGTCCCTGGTGCAATCTCCAAGTATGGCTGAGAGAATCGTAGAACAGTTGGATGGGGCCAGAGGGCCGTCAGGTGCGATCCCCCGCTCAGTGAAGGACACCAAGTTCACCCATTCCTCTCAGACGGCTGTCCGGTTGCATCTTGAATGCCTCTAGTGTGGGGGAGTCCACAACTTTCCTAGGTCATTGGTTCCATTGCTGTACTTCTTGAACAGGTTATATCCTTCATTTCCTGAATTCCAGTTATGGGAGCCATCCCACCAAGTTTCAGTTATACCTATCAGGTCATAATCACCCTCTTGCATTAAGAGGTCACGTTCATGCTGTCTGTTTTCCATACTCCAAGCATCCGTATATAGACATCAGAGACCACATGCTTTATACTCTAGCTTTATTTCTAAATCTTTTGGAAGACTATTGTTAGAGCTACGCTCTTGGGTGCAGTGCCTAAGCCTTTGTCTGTTGTTATGCTCAGGTGTACTGGTCCCTCCCCTGCAGGGTTCAGTTTAAAGCCCTCCTGATAAACACCTTCATACTGTGGCCAAACTCATTCTTGCCAGTCCTTGTAAGGGGCACCCCAACCCTTGCCAGCCGTCCATCTTCCAGGAAGTGTAGCCTGTGGTCCCGGAATCCAAATCTCTCAAGTCAGCACCACCTTCACAGTCAGGCAATCACTTGGAAGAGGAACAGACAGGGAAAGAAAAATACTCCACGACTGGAAGGATTGAGGAGAAAACTATGTGGGCCCCAGAGTCTTTGACTTTCCTCCCTAAAACTTCAAAGTCTCATGTGATTTCTTCAGCTCTCCCCTTGGCAGTGTCATTTGTTCCCACATGTATAAGAAGGAAGGGATGCGTGTCAGTGGGCTGTATGAACCCTGGCAACCTTTCAGTTATATCATGAATCTGTCTTCCAGGGAGATAGCATGCCTGCTGAGTCCATGGGTCATCCTTACATACATGTGTTTCCATCCCACACAGCAGTCTCCCACAACTAACACTCCTCTTGTTCTTGCAAGCCTCGGTATCATTGCCACTACTTGGCTGACCTTCAGCCTCTTGCTCAGTGTTGCATGGGATGTCCTGCCGTTCTTCCACAGCAGGCTGCCCTCCACTCCCACCCCCAAGTAACTGAAAGCAGTTCCACTGCCGGCACTGGTGCAGAGGGACTTCTCTGCACCTGTCACCCTTTCCCAGGGAGTTTTCTCCTCATTTTCCTTTCCCGCAGAGTTCTCCTCTTCTGCCTCAGCTTCCTGTTATACTTCTAGCTTCTGAACTACTCTGAGCTGTTGCAGTTCCACCACTCTGTCTAAAACTCTTCATCTTCTTTTATTAGCCTGAGGGTGGACACTCGCTGCTCCAGCTCTCTCACCTGTCCTTCTACCAGGTCTAGTATCTTGCCCTCATTGCACATGTAGGCCATGTTGCCCTCAGGCAGGGAAGCAAACTTGCACAGCTGTTGCAGGTCACCACCACTGGGCTACAGAGTGAGTCATATGCAGGTTGTCAAGAAGAAGCAGCCTTCGAGGTAATGATCCCTCTAAATGTATAGTTCGTTCTGCCCATCCCAGAGAGTTGATTCCAAACTGAACTTCCCTCCTCCATTTCCCAAAAATGGAGTTGTGGGAGCCAGTCTGGCAAGCCACCGAGGCTCTGAGCATTGCTGCTAAGATGAAAAAAGTAGAGAAATGGCTTTCTACTCCCTCCCAAAGTGCTATATTTGGAAGTAAAAGGCGATCCATCATAGTTATTCCATAATTGGAAACTAAAGCTGTTGGCCACAAAATTACAACCCTCCACTTCTGCCTCCTCACTCCTCACATTTTCTCCTGATAGAGAGCTTGCTGTTCCTTGCGGAGGTTCAAAAAGGTGTCACAGTGGGACCAGAAACATCCTCCTCCAAATCAACAATCTGGCCCAAGCCTCATGCTCAAACTGCTTTGCCTTGGATCACTCTGGAACCATGTCATCTCAGAAGCAGGGATGTTCTGCTCAGGCTCACACCTACTCCAAGGCATAGGCACAGTCCTGATGGAAATAAAATCTAGACTTTCTAGAGAGCAACTGCCCAGAGTGACTCCTTTTGTATTATTGTATCAGACCGGAAGGCAAGAGGGAGCATGCTGCAGAAGTGCATGCGATGGCTGCTGTGGGTGCTTTGCATGGCAGTTGTCCTTCTCAGCTGGCCAAAGAACGGTAGCCTGCTGGTTGGATGTGGGGTTGTGGCAACTGATGGGAAAGACAAGTTCCATGCTTGCTGGTGCGGAAAGAAAGAAGATGTAAGGGTGTAATATTAGAAGGACCAGCTATACAAGAATCCAGCTTGACTCTCGATGCACAAGAATCCAGGGCAGCCCTCTGCACCCACTCACCCACCCGCAACACTGCTCTGCTCATGGTGCCCAAATGAAAGCAACGCGTTTGGCTCCTTTGCTGAGTTCCTACAAACCCAACTTTGGAGGACCTGACGTAGCTAAATGGCATTAACCATTTTCTCTGACTAGGGATGTTCCTACTCAGTTGTTAAATCTGGAAAAGTGAAGAAATGATTCCTTGAACATTGGTTCAACATTCCTTTCACACAGAGCTTTCGGTTTGCAGGTGCTCCTGGCCCCCCAGGCGAGCCCTTCATCTCCAGGTATGGCTCAGCCATCACCATCCACTGGTCAAGCGGCGACCCAGGCAAAGGGCCCATCACACGATACGTTATCGAGGCGCGTCCTTCAGGTATGTGCTCAGTCTGTGTCCCCTTGGCTGGCTCACCATCAGCGCTTCAAAAGCTAGGGCAGTGCCTGACACAACTGCCTCTTCCCAATTAGCCTCCTGGATCATGATTCTTGTAGGGCTTTGATTTCTAAACCAAGAAATGCCAAAGATTAAACTTGCGCAGAAGTCTGAGATTAGAGTCCTTAAATCCTCACTCCTAATCCCAGGTCCCTGGAAGAGGCCTGATCGTACTTATTCACTGCTCACAGCCACTGTGTTGATGTTCAAAGGCATTTGCTTTATCCTGTCACATTTCAGCTTATCCAGTTGGTCGTAGCCCTGAAAGAAAAGGGAGCTGCAAAAAGGGCTGGGTCTGGATTATGCAAAGCAAAAAGCCACCTGCCTGCACAGGGTGTCAGGTCCAATGTTTCTGCAAGAGTCTTAGCCGGAGGCTCAAGGGCCAGTCACCTGCCAACTGGCCTAGCATCCAGCAGGGACTCGCGTGCCCTGGCTTCCGCTGATGGTGCCCAAAACAAATGTGGTCTGGCAGCACTTTGAAATGATGAGCCAATCAGGGCTACTGCGCCCCAAACCAGGGAAAGGGTCAGTGCGACTCAGAGAGGCAGCACGCAAAAGAAGAGGGGAAGGGATGGTGCAGCAGCAGCTGAGGAACGCGAAGAAAGAGGCAGCTCTTTTCCGGCGTCAAAAGCCATAGCGGTAGGCCTATATTGCCAGCCTCCAAGTTGGACTACAGGCAAGGGAAAGCAAGCTCTCTTTTGGGGAGGAACACAGAGAGACCTACCTCCTACCCTATACATGTCTGAGAGAAAGGCTGCTGGAGGGATGACAGGGTTTGACTGTGCACATTTTGAATGAAAAAGAAAACCTATCCTTACCTTGAGTGATCTGAAGTGCAGTAAATCCATGGTCTGCCCAGAAGACGCCCTCATGAGCACTCTTCTGAGTGTGCCTACTCCAAAGGCAGGTGGTTCTACTCCTCTGCATTGGGAATCACTGAATGCTCCAATTTCACCCACAGCGGAGATGGGGCAGCATTGCTTTTCCCCAGCAAAGTCTGCCTGGGAGGAGACCAGGCGAAGCTGTAAATCAGGCAAAGATGCCACGAGGTGTTGGAACGGGTGGTGGTGGGACAACTCCAAGCACTCTTGGATGAAACTGATTATCTGGACCCATTTCAGTCCAGCTTCAGACCCAGTATGGTACTGAAACTGCCTTGGTCGCCCTGTATGATGACCTGTGCAGGGAGAGACAGAGGGAGCGTGTCCCTGTTGGTCCTCCTGGACCTCTCAGCGGCTTTTGATACCATTGACCATGGTATCCGTCTGGATAGGCTGGTGGGACTAGGAGTAGGAGGCACTGCTTGGCAGTGGTTCCGCTCCTACCTTGACGGCCAATTCCAGAAGGTGGTGCTGGGGGACTATGGCTCTGCGCCATGGCAGCTATGCCATGGAGTACCGCAGGGGTCCATTTTGTCCCCTTTGCTGTTTAATATCTACATGAAACCGCTGGGAGAGGTCATCAGGAGGTGTGGGCTGCGGACCCATCAGTATGCTGATGATACCCAGCTCTACCTCTCGTTTTCCACCAATCCAGGTGAGGCAGTGGCTGTACTGAACCGGTGCCTGGCCGAGGTAATGGGCTGGATGAGGGCCAATAAACTGAAGCTCAATCCAGACAAGACGGAGGCCCTGTTGGTGGGTGGATCGAGCTCCTGGGTAGATGACTTGGACCTTGCCCTGGATCGGGTTGCACTCCCTCTAAAGGACAGGGTTTGCAGCTTGGGAGTGCTCCTCGACCCGGAGCTGCCCTTGGAAGCTCCAGTGACTGCGGTGGCGAGGAGCGCTTTCCTTCAGCTTCGACTAATCCATCAGCTGCGTCGCTACCTGGAGGAAGACTGCCTAGCGACAGTGACACATGCATTGGTTACTTCCCGGTTGGATTTCTGCAACGTGCTCTATGTGGGGCTGCCCTTGAAGACAGTCGGGATACTTCAGATGGTGCAAAATAGAGCATCCAGGTTGCTGATGGGGACTGGGCATTATTCTCATATAAGCCCAGTCCTCTATCAGCTTCACTGGCTTCCCATCGAAGTCCGGGCTCAATTCAAGGTGCTGGTTATTCCCTATAAAGCCCTAAATGGCTTGGAACCTGGATACTTAAAGGAACACCTTCTTCCATATTTGCCCTCCCACCCCTTGAGATCGGCAGCAGAGGCCCTCCTCCAGGAACCCTCCATGAAAGATATTAGGAGGCAAAGTACCTGGAGGAGAGCTTTCTCTGCTGTGGCGCCCTGCCTATGGAATGCGCTCCCCACAGAGGTCCGCCTGGCGCCATCGTTATTTGTTTTTCAGCGCCAGGTTAAGACATTTTTATTCCAACAATATTTTAATAACTTTTAATATTGGTTTATATATGTTTTTAACTGCAGCCAGTGTGGATCTGTAATTCATTTGTGTTATGTTTTATGTTATTTTATGTATGTAAGGCGTCCTGAGGCCTTCACGACAGGATGGCATATAAATATTCTAAATAAATAAATACATAAATGAGCAGCTGCCAAATGGGAAGGCTCTTTGGGTTCTCAGAAACAATAACAATTTTTCTCATGGCACAGTAACAGTTCTTTTGCAGTGTACCAGTCGACTGTACTCAGCAATCTGCAGTTTGAGAATTAGGGAGTGAGGTTTCCTCTGGGTCCTAATCTCAGCCAGATGTAGACTAATGGCTGCAAGGGGCTGACTATCTAGGCCAGGTGCTCCCATCCCAACACATGAACCTCTCATGGGTCATGTCTCCCCATTCTGCATCCACTTCCCCACCTGCCCCACGTAGGTGATTTCTCTGACAGTTGTGTTCAGTGCTAGCAGATCGCTTGCTTCCAGCCTAAAGGATTGTCCCCAAGAAGACACTGTGGCTTGTGGAACACTCTCCCTGCTTCCCTGGACCCGCTCTGAGGGGCTAACTCTGGGGAAGAGGGGATGATTGATGAATCTGTAGCCAAGAGCAGGGCAGATGCCAGGGGATAAATCACCCTCTGGCTTTGAAATGGACTCTGACTTGTTTTTAATGAGGCTGCTGTCTCTTAGACCAAGATCAGAGCAGCTGGAGTGGGTGGAGGCTGCCGCTTTCCCCTAAGGGTCCCATGATTTAGTCCAGAGTCTGAAAGGATCACACCCTTTGAGCCCCCGATGGTTGCTTTCACACATAATGGGAACGGCACTTTTGAGGCTTTCCTGTGCCATATATTTGCACGTGCAATTCATTTATTTCTGTACTGTCCAATAGCCAAACCTCTCTGGGCAGTTCACAACAATTAATCAAATACAAAAGAGACAATAAAAATACACATGTATTAAAGCACAGTATAAAATTCCAATGTGAAACTATGAAACTGATAAAAATTCCAATATACAAAACTATAAAACAGCTTAATATCTAAAACATTTCCATTAAAAACAGACCTAATTAAAACAGCAGACAGAACCCATAAGTGCTTTCAATACAGTAAAGAGACTGCCAAACCAAATACCGATTCAGCCAATGTATACGGCTTATAGTTCAGTTACTGAAGAAGGAAGGAGGGAAATGTGGGCACACCAGATGCACTATTGGTGTCATGTGTGAAATGAACCATGGCTGGGGATGAAAGTCTCGGTTTAGCTTTCTAGCCTTTCCTCCAGTCTGTTCAGAACATTAATTCTGGCCATGCCCTCTGTGCCTGGACTTCATCCCTAGCTCATCCGTGTGCTCCTTTCTTTTTGTCTTCAGATGCCTCTTTACACCCTGCCTTTCCCATGCAGTCTTGCTCATCCCACTGTTTTGCTCCAGCTGCAATGAAGCCTTAATTATGTGTGAGCTTTTGCTTATATTCATTCCTCTTCTCTCCACTATCCAGTCTGTAAGCTCCTTGTGGCAGGAACTTAAAAACCCGCCCTGGGTGTTACAGATGAGGCAGGGGCCACTTCTGTAACATCCAGGGCTACATCTGGTGATCTTACCAACATAGTGGGAAGAAACAACACACCAGAAGAGCATAAGGAGCGCCCTGCTGTATCAGGCCAAGAGGCCACCTACTCCAGCATCCTGCTACCAACAGTCCCACCCCTGCTTCTTTTCCTCCTTCATCCTTTGTTTGAACTGGTTCCAGCACTTGGAGAGCCCTTAATTGAAAAGGCGACCAAAAACAAAGCCAGGATGACTGTGGTAATGGGTAGCAAAGGCTGGGTGGAATATAGTGGCAGTCCAAGGGTGGCATCCAGGGGTGCCATTCTGCTAGGGCAAAATGGCAGCTCCTTGACGAAACCTTGTTTTTAACCTTGTGCAAATCCAACACTTCGATTCTTGCAGGCACAAGCTGTTGTGCATAACATTATGCACCAATTTGCACATGGTGCTCTGTAAACCATCATACAAGGCATTAGACGGCTCATTGCTTCATTAAACATTGTATGTAAGCTGTCCCGAGGCTCATGCGATGGGACGGCCTACAAAAATTCTAAATAAATAATAAATAATAATCTAGCTAGGAATTGCTCACACTAATTTTAGTCATTCTGAATTATACTCAGTGTTATCATAGCAGAAAAATTACAAGATTTGGTGCTGTTTTGCCAGAGGTTTCACAGGCCTATCAGGATCAGCCCAACTAATGCAAGCAGCACCTAGTCTAATTGGAGTTATAGTGAGCAGAGCAGTGCCTTGCACAACACTTTACAGAACTACTCGTACAACAGGTTGTACAATAGCTTGCACAAGCAGAATCAACATAGTATATGACACTTGTGCAAGATGACAGACAGGGTTTCTGCAAGCAGCAGAAGCTTTGCACTAGTGAAGTGACACCACTGGATACAAGCAAGAAAGAGAAAATGGAAAGCTGGCTGGCTGGGACAAAAGTAGGTTAGTTTGTTTGAGGTCTGTGGCAAGGATTCTGAAGGATGGAGCAGAGCAACCCTCACCTCTCCGCAGGACAGGGGCTCCCAACCTGGGATGCCCACATTCCCAGGGGTTGCAAGATGGCATTTCAGGGGGTGCAACAAAGGCTGTGGAAGAGGAAGGCTGTGTCACATTTTTCACCAAATTTTTTCCAAAATGGATTTAGTTCTCTTTTGTCAATCAGGACAAAATCTAGGAATCACCTGAGTCCACAGGCAGACTTGTGGATCACATTCAGCAAGAAAGATCCACATTTTGACAAAATTGTGAATGAGAAGCAGGAACAAATAAGCCATTGAATTTTATGTTCACCATTGGGATTGATTTTACTGTTTATGATTTTTCTAATTGCTCAATTTATATTTGAATTGTGTACACTGAATTAAAAGCTTTTTTTAAGGTTCAGTTTGTTCACCTGCAGTCCTGTATGTCGTTCAAAAATGAGAAATTTGACTTCACCATCATCAAATGTGATATTATTTTTGTAGGGGATGTGAACATAAATTGAACATTTTCTAGGGGTGCAGGGCATAGAGAAGGTTGAGAACCACTGCTGTGGGGTTTATCCCATAGGTAGTTGATGCCCCAATAAGCAGGAATTTATGTTGCTCCTCCTGCCCCCTTCACTGCATCCTAGGATCAGGCGCACTACCAGGGCTCCCACAGTTCGTCAGCAGTGAATGTGGCTTATCGCGTAAGGTGTCAGCATACACCTAGATCATCCAGAGAACTCATCTCCGAATGAAACAGGCTTTCCATTCTCATGTGGGATGTTATCCTGGCACGGTTGTACAGGCACAAAAGAGCAGGGTGCCGAAATGGAATCCTCATCTTTTCACACTCATTTCAAACCGTTTGTGATTCCCTTTTCCAAAGATCTCATGGGTCAGCAGTTGGAAATGCTATTACCTGCACACGGGTTGGCAAAGGAGAAGTTCTCTTTAAGAGACACACTTCATTCCATCCCCATCTAAGAGCCCTCCAGAACTGGGGTCTTGCTATTTTTAGTACACTCCTCAGCAAGATATCATGGCCTGTCTTTGAATCATACATGGTGTCTCAAAAGGCAAAAACTCCATCAATCTGCTGGATTAGCTGCAGCCATGGATGTATTGAATTAATTAAAAGTAGAGGTTCTTGGACAGATACGCACTAATCATACTTTTGAAAGAACAATAATGTTTTCTCAAGCCCTTGTGGGGCCTCGCTCTATCACCCAGCAGCTTCCCAGAGTTGGAAGTTATTTATTTAATGCTTGTACACATGCAAGATGTGAGCACAACTATGTTTTGGATTAATTGTATTACTAAGGTTTAGTCAGTTTAAAAAATTGAGGATCACTGGCATGCACATCAGCCAAATGTTCCAGATAAAAACCTACACTATCCGTTGTGTCAGTTACAGACATGCTTTTCAGTGATGGGGTTATTGTACATAGTCAGCCTTATAGGTTACCTGATTCACTTTCTAGAGCACTGGGCGCATATTTTGCTATCGTTCTCCTATTTATTGCGTGTGGTGGGGATTCATGCCTTATACAGGCGGGTGCATAGGCATCCACCCCTGCCCCCAGTGCAATCTTCATTGATTTCTTTCTCTTTCAGATGAGGGACTCTGGGACATTCTCATAAAGGACATCCCCAAGGAAGTGACCTCATATACCTTTAGCATGGATATTTTGAAGCAAGGTGTCAGCTATGACTTCCGGGTCATTGCTGTCAATGACTATGGCTATGGGACACCCAGTTCTCCTTCTCCATCAGTCTCAGGTAACAAGGTTGGAAACAGATCACTCCGTCAGGTCACGTCAGCCTATTCTTCCTACTTTCTGAGTTTAGGCTATAGGAAATGAGCATAATTGGGACATATGGCGATCTTGCAAGGAGAGGGTGTTTGACTTTTCTGTACTGCTTGCTGTTTGTAGCTCAGAAAGCAAATCCCTTCTATGAGGAGTGGTGGTTCCTGGTGGTCATTGCTTTGGTGGGACTCATCTTCATCCTCCTGCTGGTCTTTGTCCTTATCATCCGTGGGCAGAGCAAGAAGTATGCCAAGAAGTCAGACTCAGGTGGGTACCAACATCATCCTGAGGCCTCATTTGCTCGACCTGGGGATGCTTCCTTTGAAAGCACTGAACACTCAAATAGCAGAGAGACTTCAATAGAGGCTTTGGAGCTGCATCCTTTGAGGAGCACAGTGCAAGCAGAAAGTGGCCCATCACTTTCAGATTTGTTTTTAATTGTTGTCTTAGCTCCAAGAAGATACTACTCCTTCCTCATGCGTCGTGGCAACTAACCTCTTCCCTAAGCCAGTGGTCTACTCATTGTGCTATGGTTCCTGAGATGACATTCTCCCATCCTCCCTCCCTGCCATGGTCATCTCCTTCCACAGCAGTAGCATAACCCCCACAAGCAATGTGTGATTCCCTGCATAGTCCATGAAGTCTGTAGGTGCCTCACTTAGTTTTCCCAGCAGCCCAACTGGAGTACAGAAGGTTGTTCTCTGTGTATTGGGGGGTGGGGAGCAGGGGGAGAGCTAAGGATATGCAAGTCAGCAAAACTTTTGCTTGCTGAAGTTCCCTGAATTCCATCTCAAAGCTCACTCTAGCTCAAGTCTATATCAGGCCATGAGCTTTGGGGGTTTTTTTTTTCTTTTCACAAAAAAATCCGTGCAATATGGATATTGTTTCAAGTATGGCCATCAGATACATCTCTGAAGTGTGCATATTCTTCTCTATTAAATCATAGCTGGGTGCATTTTTCAGCAGCACACTTTCTCTTGCACATTTTTCAAATGTACACATGCTGTTGAATGCATTTCCTTGCATCAGCAAATCCTGTGGCAAGCTTGGAGATGTACGAACTTTGAGTCGGTGTTCAGTCTGGATAGTGCTAATTGGGTAAATCTGGATAAAACACAAACTGAAACTTTTTTTCACACAGTCCTAGGAGGAGCACATGCTTCTTCTGGTTCTCGCCTGACAGCAGATACAGTCCTCAGGGCCGAAAAGGCTGTGCCCGGCTGTTCCACGCGGCCGTTTCTTCTCACCGTGGAGAATAGCTGGGATTCCTGGATTCCGGTCCCCCATCCTTTTTAATGCTGTTGGCCTAACTAGCTCTCCCAGCCATTTTGGGAAGAGTGCAAGCATCTATACTATTGTGAAGATGGATCACAAAGGAAAAGCCTAGCTTCAGCTCTTCTCTATGCTCTGGAAATCCTTTAAAAAAAAAAAACCTCTCAAGTGCCTGCATTCGGGATTTTGAAGGGAAAAGCCTATGACTTTGTTGATGCCAGTGCAACTTGACAATGAAACTGAATGACTTCGTGCCCCAGTCACTGCCAGAGGCAGTCACAGAGTTCAAGAGGTCACAAGGGCAAGAGAATATGGCAGTGTTTGCTTTGCTTTAATTGTGAGGAAAATCTGGACCTTCCTCTTAAATAAACATGCTGCATGGAACAAGGGTGTGTGTGTGTGTGTGTGTGTGTGGAATAGCATTCTTGGGAACAAGGACTTACGATGATTGTTTTCACATCTGAGATCTGCTTTGTGTCATAAGACATTTCCCTCGTGTGGGTGTACATGGTTGTAAAAAAGGAAAATTGTGCATCACCATGCCTATTACAGCCTTCAGGCACATCTACTTGTAGTAACTACAATTTTCATGCATGTATGCACAAGCTTCCCCCACAGTACATCCTGGAAAACCATGCAGGAAAAATACTGTGTAAACTGGCTGCACAACAGTCTTATAAATACACAAAACCATATTATGCTGACTTAGACAACTGGCCCGCGAATCTTCTACTCCAGCTTTCTCCATCCTGGTGTCCTCCAGCTCCCATGATCCCCAGCTAGTCATCCCATGTTAGTTGGGCACAACAGGAATTGTAACCTGACATGTCTGGAGGGCAGCAGGATGGGGAAGGAACATTTGAACAATGCAATGCGATCTTCTTACTTTTGCTTAAAGGAATGCCTGACACTGTGCCTTTTATAGACTGAACATAGTCTCAGAAGGCTGTTTTGTGTAGTCTACAGATGGAGGCTGGGCTTCTTTTATCCATTTTCTCAGTGCACAAAATTTTGTGCCCGTGTTCTCTATCATTCAGGTAGGAGTGCTCAACCTATGTTTTAGTCTACACAGATGTTTTAGTCTACAATTCTCATCATCCCCAATCAATAGAGAGAGGGATGGTGGGTCTTGTAGGGCTACAAGTTGCCCACACCGGATATAAACCTTGGGATGGCCTTCCTTTATATGGTTGGGAAGGCTGAAACAAACTGCTACGTTTTGATCTTTCTTGCAAGAGAGTTTAGGACTCCCAAAGTGCTGACACCTTGCCTCTGTTTTCAGGGAGCAACTCCAAATCAAATGCACTTGGCCATGGTGAGATGGTCAGCCTGGATGAGAGCAGCTTCCCTGCTCTGGAGCTGAACAATCGGCGCCTGTCAGTGAAAAATTCCTTCTGCAGGAAGAATGGAATATACACAAGGTAGCAGAGGCTTCCAGAACAGTGGGAAAGGGGTGGAGTGGGGTGGGGAGGGGAAGCAAACCAGGTCTCAATGGGGGTGCCTGTCCACAGTGAACACTTGCCTTCTCTGCATGAAATCTCAGAGCTTCCATCTCTCTCTCAAGGTCTCCACCGCGGCCCAGTCCTGGCTCCCTGCACTACTCTGATGAAGATGTTACCAAGTACAATGACCTCATACCAGCCGAGAGCAGCAGCCTTACAGAAAAGCCGTCTGAAATCTCTGACTCACAGGTGAGCTATGCTGAGAGGTTAGAAATGTGGAAATGCTTTGGCTTGAGAACTTCAGCTGTGGGGTGATGAACAAATGCAACAGAGAAGGAGACACAACACCACCACCACCACCACCAAGACGTTCTAGGGATGCCCCTGAATTCAACTCCAGATGCAATGGGGTGTTCCCACTCTAGGATTTCTTCCAGATGGAAGGACCCTAGCACTGCCTATCAGAAAGCCATGTTGTCTTTTTCTCTTTAATGGATTTTCTGCTTTAAGGAAAAAGCAGTAAGAAAAGATAGAAGAATCATGAGTAGAAGGATGACAGAGATTCCTAAACCACCCCTACCCCACAAACCTTCATGAAGGAGTGATGCCACAAAAGCCTCACCTGGAAACACTGGACCTCCTGGAATCTTACAAGGTCTAGAAGGGGTCAGGCAAACAGCCAGGCCCAGTTGCAGGTGCAGAGCCTCTTATAATGTGGCAAAACTACCCCATCAGGTGACCACATTGTGCAGAGGAGACCCCTGCTTGTGCATGGAAGATGATTTGCTTCTCTGAACAAATATGCAGGGTCCCGACAGGTTTCCTGCTGGGGCAGCCATGGCCCTCCAGGTTCAGAAACGGGTTCTCAAATGAAAACATGAAGAAAGTGCAGTGGATACCCCTCTGATACTGAAGGTCTGGGCTTTTCGGAGGCTTTTCCAGAGTGATTTTCACCACAGGATTGCACTCATTGCTTTGCGAATCACACACTCTAGGATGGCCACTGGTTGGAAGAGGGCAGGAACAGCATGGATTACTTTTTGCTACGGGTTCAATTACCAAAAATGCAAATGGCAGGCTGGGTTTCTTCCCCTCTGCCATTTTTGCGAAGACAATGGCCTTTGGGCTAGCTCCACCACAGTCCTGTCCCAGACTACTAGGCCATGCCCAAGTATCAGAGATCTTTGTTTCAATAACTGGCAACCCTAGCATGCAGGTGCCCATGGGTGGTAGTAATAGCAATAGCAATAGCAAGTCAAAATTAATTGTGGATGTAATCAAATATGGATGACTTTTATGACATGATAATCCAAAATAATGGAGGGTTGTGCATCCAAGAGGATAATTCAAAGGATGCTTGGACCTCAGAACAAATGCAAATCAAGGTCCCATCCTGAGCTTTGGAAGCAGAGTTTGTAACCTTGTCATTGCAGATGGAATACAAACACCTTTTTAAACAAACAGGTTTTCAAAACCCTGGTCCTTCCCCCATTGCCTAGATTCTTCTCTGTGTGTTCTGGTTATCCTCTTCTCTTCGAGGTGGTGATACAGGGTGCTGAAGCAGGAAGGAAAATATGGCTCTACTTACACATTGTAGGCTAAAACCTCTCAGTAAGAGACGAATCAGAAAAAATTGTTCAGTCATGACCCCAATCCTGGGTGAACTGGGTTACTAGACAGTGAACCCGCCTGATGCAAATCTGAGTATCTTCGTGTTCCTCTGCATCTTTCTCTGGAGTGTGGCAGTGATCAGAGGAGTGGGCAATCAGCTGGGTACCAGTAAGAGAGAAGCGGGCAAACATCTGCCTCAGAAAGTCCAGACTAGGGGACATGTAGCCTTGTAGCCAGGCCTTTCTTCCCTTTGCCCTGTTGCCAGTGGCAACAGGCACTAGCAGTTCTGAGACTAACAGAAGCTGGCAATCATGCCAGGCTGCAGCAAAATGGATCCTTTGTCTTTTCCTTAAGAACGAAGCCCTTGCCAAATAGCCTGGCTCTTAGCTGACCCCCCCCCCCGCCCCCGCCTGGTACAATTAGGCAGGAGGAGAAATGGCTGTCATGGCAAAGTGTCCGTGTCCCAAGTGCATCTGTCTAGGTGCAAACCTGTTGAGGACTGACAAAAGAGGGCACGGAAAGGGAATCCTAAGGCATGGTTCACACTCCGCCCCATCCAGCACAAGGCTACGGAAGAGCTGCAAGAGCCCCCACTCTGTTAGCGGAGTGAGTGGCTGCTCCCTAGAGCTGTCCGGCTGGGCCCTGAAATTTCGGGTATGTTCCTCACAGCACACAATGCTGCCAAGTAGCATGCATAGCCCAGCCTGACAGAAGATCTTACCACTCTCTGAGATTTCTAGCTCAGTCTAACAGTAATACCAGACTCACAGATGGCCCTTCTGCCAAGCATAACAGAAAAAGAACTGCTTAAAAATCAATTCTTTTTTCCAGAATGAGAGTAATCTCTTACTGCAAGGCAAATGTTCTGACATTAAGTTCCCAGCAGTTTTTTGCAACCATGCCAATGGAAATTACATGCTTATTAACTGATGCAACAAGAATGTTTCTTTTCTGAAAGAGCAAAGGAGCTTCAGCCTTATTTTATGAAGGAGTAAAGGAATACATTTCACAAAAACCAAAGCTGAAATCCTACATATACGAGTACTTACTTGGAGGTAAATCCTATTCGATTCAGAGGGATTTGCTTTAGATGAGCACAGGGACCGTATGCAAGTTACTCTCCTAGAGTTGCAGGGGAATCTGGAAAAAGGAGAGACTGAAGCAAATGCCTTGGTTTCCATTCAGTGCTATATTTAAAAGTGCTGCCGGGTTTTCAGCAGGTGATCCATTTTCGGGGAGGTAGAGACATATTGATTCAGTGCATCCGATCCACACAGCATACATGCTCAATCCTAAGTACTATACACGGTGGTCAGACCATGTGAGGCAAGAACACCAGTCTTCCTGCAAGACGGAGCATTTTTATTTCTGGTCTGGCTACAGAGTGTGTGCTGCAATGTGCACAACTCAACATCTATTTGAGAGTTGTGCTCTCCTGGAGGGGAGGGCCATTGAGACTGTCAGGGCTGTGCCTATACTGGGCTGTCAACACCTCTTTGCAGAGGACAGAACTCCATTTAAAGGTATCCTCTAGGGGAAGGCGTGTCCAGGCTTCGTCTAGTTTAAATATAAAGAACAATATGAAGAATATGGAGAAGTCTGAAGTTGCCTAACAGAAGGACTGCGCAAGCACTCCTGCCATCTTCCCATAGTCTTCTCACAATGATGGGATGTGTTGCATTTCTATTTAAATTATAGTAATTATTTCTAAATCTGCATTTATGCATATGAGTTTCCACATGCACATCCTAAGGAAATCCTTGCCCTCTTCTTTGAGGGATGCGTACCCTTTGTTTAGGTGATGCTTAAGTAGCCAGGATATTTATAAGATGACTAGAAACTGGACAATGTATTCAATGTGAACGTGTAGCCCTAACTTCTTTTTCTAAGCAAAACGGAACCCTGTGTTTATGAGACAGGTGCATATGAAAGACTGGGATGTGGAGTCTGAGATTTCAAGCCCGATTTGTTCTGAGGCCCAGTTTTGCTGCACTTTGTTATGTGTTGTTTTGTTTCATCTAACCATGCTGCTGCAGCTCTGCATCTCTCTGGAAAAAAAGTACCAGCACATTTCTGCTCCCCCCCCCCCCCCCCCCCCCCGTTTTGGGGACATGTAAGACACAGCCTCACTTTGGCCCTGTCATTCCGCACTTTTTAATTGCTCAGGCAGACAATCCCTTCCTTTGCCATTATCCCTTCTCCCCCAGTGGAGTGAGCACCTTTGAGAAACCATGAAGAGCCGAACTAGCTGAAAGCCACCACTTGATCACTGGGCTGGCTGGGCTGAGGGTTCTCATGAATAGCCCCTATTGTGCTTCTGCAAGTGGAGAAGCTGAATTCAGTTAGGGGGAGCAGAAGGAGAGCCGAAGGGAGGGGAGGGAGTCAAGTCTGCCATGCCCTGGCCAGTTACGTCTTTTTCATCTCCTCCCACATTTTTTTAACGCAGATGTTCCCATAAGTGGAATACTTGATCACAGTCTGATTATAACTTTTGCAAGTGTAGAAAGGAAGTGCTGCTTTAGGGGCTTAAGTTGTGACATCCGGGATTTAATAGCCATGATCATGATTTCAGGGTTTCTGACATTTTAAATTACTGGATTAATTATGAAAGTAAATATTTCATAAATATTAGAGTGTGTAAAATATTAAGCTTTCTGTCATTCATATTTATATGGAATGGTGTAACTGTGGCTTGAGCTGATGGACAGCTTAGGTATGAAATGTGGCAGATGGGGATGAAGGCGGAGCAGGAAATGAGCTGTGGAGAAGTGTAATCCTGTCCACATCCTCTCAGAATTAGATTCTGTTGAGTTCAGTGGCACTTACTCCCAAGTAAAGGTGTGTAGGATTGCAGCTTAAAGCTCTTGCTGTGGTTTGGCTCATTCTTAAGACCAGCAATCAAGGGCACAATTTTCTCCTAATTTGTGCTATTATTTAATCTCTGCTCAGCAAATAACATGGAGCCAACTTTAGAAATGTTATAATAATAATAATGGCATAGAAATGTAGTAGTAGTAGTAGTAGTAGTAGTAGTAGTAATAATAATAATAATAATAATAATAATAAAATAATAACTTTGACTGGACAATGCTTCCATGGTGTTCCTAGTGTACGTCCCTGTGTGTGCCTTGGAGATGTGTATACTGATGTGTACACAAACACAGTTGCAATTTGGGGGATAGTTGCATGGCATAGCTTTCAACTTTTTATGAAGGCCTTCTCTTGTCTACCTGTCAAATAAATATGTATTTAATCCCAACACTTCTATCATATGCCTGTCATACCAAATACTATAGTTATTTCAATTGGCTAACCATTTAAAATATTTAAAATGCAATTATAAATAAACAACTTTTCAAATAGCAACAGCAGTGTACAATAATGGTAATTTATTATGTACTATTGTATTTCAATGTATTTTATCATGTTGTAAGCCGCCCCGAGGTTTCGGCAAGGGGCAGCATAGAAATGTTATAATAATAATAATAATAATAATAATAATAATAATAATAAAATAAGCACAGGACTAATAAACAGGACCAAAAGCAATAATAATGAAAAGTCCTGAGAATTTAAAAAAAAATGTTGGATAGCACCAGAATTAAAACAAAGGGGTTGCCAAGCACATTTCCCTAGGAAAAGAAATCCATAGACAGAGTGCTTCCCTTCATAATACTTATTCCCTGGTCACATGCTACCACGAAGGCACTTGGAGAAAATCCTCAGGTATTGGTCTCAATGCACAGGCAAAGCAATGTGGGGAAAGGAGGCTGTGTGGCAGCTCCTTTCTCCGTCTTTTGCTGCAGGCTTGCTTCATAAAGTGTGGGTCTCTGCAGCCCGAAACCAAAGAGAACAGGGAAATCAGGCCCTTCGGCAGAGAGAGGGGGAATTTGATCACGTACTCGCTTTCCCTGTGCTTCACTAAACCCACTCTTTTCCCATCTCTCTCCACAGGGAAGTGATAGTGAGTACGAAGTGGATCAGAACCAGCAGAAAGCCCATTCTTTTGTCAACCATTACATCAGTGACCCAACATACTACAACTCCTGGAGGCGCCAGCAAAAAGGCATCTCACGGGCTCAGGCCTACAGTTATACAGAGAGTGACTCCGGTGACCCCGACCATTGTCCAATCTCCAACAGCAACAGCACCCAGCAGGGCAGCCTCTTCCGACCCAAACCCAGTAGGACTCCAACCCCACAAACACCCGTCAACCCTCCCAGCCAGCAGAGCACCCTTTACCGGCCCCCCAGTAGCCTTGCCCCTGGGTCCAGAGCCCCTATTGCTGGATTTTCTTCTTTTGTTTGACATTTCTAAAGGAAAGAAGAAAAAGAGAAAAAAGGCTACGAAGAAAAAGTCATGGATTTAATAATATACAATAATGAAGAACATTTTGGTCCAGAATTATTATTTTTCAGAGGCAATGAGAAGATCGTGTGGGAGACAATCAGTCAGAGCTGAGTTTGGAATCATTGACTGCTGCTGCTTCTAGTATTGCACAGTTCTCTTCAAAGGAATTACCTGCCTGCAGATGTACACCTGGAGCAAGACGGGAGACATGTCTGTTTTCAGGCCTAGTGAAGGAGGAAGGCAGGCAGGCAGGCAGGCTACAGGGTAAAAGAATGGGAGCCCGAAAACTAAGGCAAAGTTTTGTGTTGCAGGCCATCTCCTTGCAGATCAGTTTTCTAGACAGAGAGAGAAATTGTGAATGGATCGACTCTATGGGTTTTTGTTTTTTGTTTTCCAACCAAAGCTTTCCTCGGAGGGGAACGGGTTAGGGCTCAACAAGCTGTAAACATGAGGCAGTTGGACTGCTGCAGACGGTGCTCAGTGCACTACCTGCTAGCGTGATGTGTGAAAGATCGGCCAATAGGAACGTGTGCCAGGTGGCTGACAACTGGCCAATGAGAGAGGAAGATTCCCAAGCTGCACCTGCTGTGATCTCATGGTGGCGATTTTGAGGAGCTGGAACAAGACAGACGGGAAACCTAGTTTGGAGGCTACCTGGATTGGACTCTAATGGCTTAGGCTGGGCAAACAACAACTACACTCAGACCAGTTTTGCCTCTATTTTGCTCTTCCACTCGCAGCTGGAACATTTGCAGAAGTTAACCAAGCTGAATGGTGCTGACTAGAAACAGTGTGGTTTCTTTTTGTGCTTTTGGAAGTGAGGTTAGGAGGCGACCTTTGAGAATCCTTGGGAGGAAATATTAAAATTAAAAGGAATCAATATATTGTCATTTGGTGAAATACATGGTCAGTATCACTTCAGCAGGAAGTGCTGTTCCCATGGCTTTGTGGGAAAACTGAGCGCCTGCAGCCAAACCAAGCCGCAAGGCAGACAGAATCCACCCCACATGGTTGGATAGTCTCTCAGTGCCCTGATTTCTTCTCAGTTCCTTTCCCCCCATTCACTTCATTGGACAGGGAGAGAGGAAGGGAAAGTGGGCAAGCCCCAGCCTGATCCAAGTGCAATTTGAGGGGGGGGGGTTCAGGGACAAGATATAAACTGACCATATACATGCTGCACAGTCCCTTGGAACTGGTTTTAGAATGGAAAACCTCAGTGGGCTCTGCTTAAGCCTCACTGCAGTCTTTTCTCTCCTCCTCCTGGAATCAAAACTAAGCATTCTTTTCAGTTCCATAAAAAAGAAGATCCCCCTTTTATATAGTGTTCCCTCAGTTATTCACACCCCACAAACTTTCTAGAGTGGGGAGATGGAGTGGGAACACAGTTGGTGGGGAGATGCATTGAACATGGTAGCTCTCCCACTCCCACTTCTCATTTTTTTTCTCTCTTGAGTTCAGTTTTAGGGTTTGGGGAAGTCAGTGGGAAGTTTTTTGTTAATTTTGCCCTAGCAGAATACACACAAACACATACATTGAGTGCCTACTGAACCCCAAGATGTGGGGTGGCCATCTTTTGTCTTTAAAATAAACCCACGCAACCATGGGTTAGAGCAAAGAACAAGCCCAGGATCAGGGAGGAGAAAGGGGGGAAGTGGGGAGGAATGTGAGCATTCTACTCTGGCTGGGTTGCCTTCTTTCCTGGAAGTCCATTGTAGCCCCCTCACCTCACCCCATGCCTTTATTTGCACATTGTTTTCAAAGCCTGGTTTACAAAGATTTGAGCCTGGCATATAGGGTCCTTTTAATAAAGAATCAAAAAGCCATTTGAAATGTTTCTGCAGGTTTTATTTTCACTGGGTTTCTGGCATGAACTGTCTCATAATGACTATCAGTTAATTTATAAAGCATGATTTCTTTAAAAAGGAATGGCCATAAGCCACCGGGGAAGCAGCCTATCCAAAGGAGTCAGCTACGAAGGAAATAATGATGGTAAAGCCTGTTCAGACTGTCATTTAAAGCTGTGAAAGTTGGTGGCCTAACTTAATTCAAAAGAGGATTGAGCAAGCTCACGACCAGGATGTTTATGCCATTAATGGTATTAAAGGGAAGCAGAGCAACCACTTCTTCAGCTCCTGTCTGTCTGTACCAAACCCACATGGATTGAATAGGGAAGGCATTTATTGCCTCAGCCCCACTGTTCATCACGTGGCTCATTTGAGTCACTGTCAGGGTCACTGTCTAGGTAGACCACTGCTTTGACCTCGCTTTCTATACTTGCGTGGCCTTTCAAATGAACACAGATTTTCATTTCTTTAGGTTTCCTTGCAGTGGACAAAAGAATACAATCTGAGTTTTATGCAAACCAAAGTCTTTTCAAATCTTGTGGTTCTGTTATTTGATGACAAAGGGGAAGGGGTGTCAAAGACTTCTGGAAGGTCACATCACCCCAATTCCAGACTGAGGTTTCTACATCAGTTACTATACTATACTAGTTACTGTAGTGGCAGTATGTATGCAGGCAAACAAAGGCTATCTGTTTATTTAATGAAAGGTGAAAACAGACGCAACTTGTGCCTTAGATCTGGTCCATGAGGTGATCTTTACAATGTCAGGGGATGTATTTGAAGTGTGAATCAGCCATCACCAATGCAACAGGCAGAATGTTCACATTTCCTCAGTCTCCATGGTGTTTCAGTGGAGTGCAACTGTCAGCCCTCCTATATACAAAAATTGTGATTGTGTGCATGCAGGAAGCACCCTGTAGATAGGAGTCTGGCATAAAAGTTCCTTCTTGCACAACATTTTGGGTCACACGTTTGCAAGACAACCACCTTCTTGAGTGCCAGTAATTCAGATAAATTACTCATTGGGAACAAGATTGCAGGTTAGGCAATAGCTCAAGAAACCCCATCTCAGCTGGCAAGTCTGCATATTTATTCTCCAGCCTTCTAGTTTTGTACTAGTTTCTGGAAGGGCTGTTTCACTAAAACTAATTGCATGCATTTTGAGGCATACCCCTATTCTAATAACAATCCCATTATTAACCTACCAGTGTTAGCAAGAGGTTATTAAGAGGGGAAAGTGGCCAGCTGGCACCCTCCAGACTGGGATTTAATTAACCATTGATAGGAGGACCAAGCCTCTGGCTTGGATAATGTGGCTGCTCACTTGAAAGAGATTAACTCAGAGCCAGGAAATAGGTAATCAAGGCTTCTCCAGCAGCTGCCTTGGTGACTGGTAATTTAATTGGCAAGTCTGAAACCTACTAAAGAGAGGGCCTTAAAGAACAGGGCTGAAGGGTCACTCTGTCTTCTCAAAGGATAAGGGAGTGCATTCTGGCCTTACTTGCAGGGTGACTGTTCCCAGTGCAAGACAGCTACTCTCAAGAAGAGTGTGCAGCCTGTGTCTGTAAGTGACCATATCTAATTCAGAGGCAATGAAGAGGTTGATAGTGCTGTTGGGTAGACAGTATCTTGTGGGCACTGCTGGTTTTGGTCTAATAGTGCTTCTCCTCCTCCTTTAACCTCACCCACTTAGTTTTATTTATTTTTAAATGTCTAGCCCACCCTTCTGTAAAGAAAATGCTCAAAGCAGATAAGAGTAAATTACTGGTAAAATAACAAAGTTATAATTAAAAGATTTAAATCCATCTAATTAAAATGCATCATTAAGGGGAAAAGCACCTACCAGATTAAAACTGACTTCAGCAAATCAGTTGAGAGACAACAACAAAGGCTGTCTGAATAAAAATGTCCGATTTTGGCAGGGTTTCTCTCTTAGTACCGTAGCCACACACTCCTGTGTGGAAGCCAAGATGGACCAAATGTGAGCAAGCACAGTACCTGGAGAAGGGATGCTTTAAAAAAAAGCCCTTTGTTTGTAGGGATGCTGGCAACCAGGAAGAGCCAGTGTACAGTGTTGGACCAGGACTTTGCAAGCCCAGGTTCTAGTCCACATGCAGGCCTTGAAGCTTGCTTGCTTGCTTGATGAGTTTGGGCCAATCACTGACTATTGGCTAAACCTGTCTCATAGGATTGTTGTTGTTGTGAGGAGAAAATGAAGAGACAGATATTTTGCAGATAAAAAAGGCAGGATAGGAATCAAACTAACAAAGAAACCACCCTCTTCCTCTACCCAGTTGTCTAAAACTTCCCAGGGTGGAATTGAAATGTTAAGTTTTTGCATCTCCCTAGAGGTAGCAGCCAATGAAGTCATGAAGGGGCTGCAGAAAAATGGTAATACAATGTCAAGTCATGTTCTTCCTTTATCACAGTCTACATAGGAGATGCAGGTCAGTTGATAGCACTGCTGTGGCTCCAAATAAAATTGGAAGAAATCAACTGATGTGTCAAAAGAGGAGTACCTTCAGATCCAGGGACTTGATAAAGAAAAAAGATGAGAAATGTGGCTGAATTTAACCTTTGGACATCCAGTTGCCCACCTGTCAATTGTGTATTCTTTACAGACAGTTGGGTTACCAATGCAACACTGAACAAGCTTTCTAGCTATTTGGAACCAATCACTTTCACAAGAGCACTTTAACACAATGGTGCAATGTTAGGAGAAATTGTGCTTGCCAAAACTTACCATCCACCCAACATAAGAAGGCAGTTTTTGTGCGAACTTGGCAACCACTGCAGGGCACCCAGGGAGACAGAATCAGCTGCATTAGAAAACAAGGAGAAGTAGAATGCATGAGAGAACAGCCAATCCATGCCTTTCTGCGTGGAGAACAAGTTTTTGTACCAATTACACACCAATTATTTGTGTGATAATTAGCAGCACTTGGGCAGAGAAGCTTCCATGTAGCCTGAAATACTTGATCCAGCCTAACCTTGCAAGCCAAGCAGGGTCAGGCCTGGTTGAAATCTGGATGGGTGACTTAATGTTGTGAATCGCCCAGAGAGCTCCAGCTATGGGTGGTATAGAAGTGTAATAATTCCAGCACAGAGCGTCCTGGGACCATGCTGCCTCCTTGGAGAGCAGTGTTCTTCCCCTCCGAGAACCACTCCACACACTCTGTATTTTAGCCCCGCCTACAAATATATTCACAGGATAAACACACATACCAATGCCAAACACACAGGTCCATCAGTCAGGAAAGTCTGTGTTGGAAAGCAAACCCAGATTTCCTCCTATCTGGTGTACAAAATCCAGATGACCCATCCTATCATAGGTCCAGGAAACTGGCAAGTGAGCAGCTAAGCAGGAGGGGCTCTCTCTGAGCTTGCCCAAGCTGACGTTTGTCATAACTGTCCCACCAGTGATGAAGCATCCATCACTGGCCCAGTGCCCCCTCACTCATTCGCTTTCAGAGATCTCTTCATACAAGCAGCGAGTTAACCCAGTGGCAGCCCCTCCAAAGTGACCAAGTTGCAGATTGGTGGAGCTGTCACCAGTTTGCCACATTTTAATTATTTTTGCTTCTCCAAGGCATGTGAATAGTTTTGCAAGCCACACACATGAAGTAGTGCAGGTGCCGAGGGGCACATTTCTACAGGTCTGCAAAGGGGAACTTCCAGCAGTGTCCTTGATGTCTGCTGTCAAAGTGCAAGAAAGGAAGGAGACAAGGTCGATCCTACCAGAGTCCCTTGGGATACCTGCAGCTGAATGAGGGTGAAGGGGGCAACACATACTGAGCCTGATCATCTATTGAGCACACCCTGAGTTGTTCTGTGAGCAATACACACTGTAACTTATTTGCAGAGCGGGTTGTCCTACCTTGCAAACTCACCCATAGTTGCTTCATACTGTGAACAATATTGGTTGCTTCATCCAACAAAGCCAACGGATGCAAAAACACCAATTGATTGTAATTCCTGGTACTATCACATCACCAAAAGCAGTAGCTTGGGATTATATGAAGGAATTCTACAGAAATGTACATGATGGATATAACATTATTTATCCCTCTGTGTGTTTCCTATGTCTGACAGACTGCAGCATTCCTGTCCCTGGTTCACGTCATTTGTTTTTCTTTTCATGTCAAGATCATTGGAAAGGAATGATCTTAAGTTTTTTTTCTCTTTGAGGAGGTTTCTGTAAGAACAGAACAGAGATCATTTCTGACAGCAAAGGTTATACACCGCGGGACTCAGTCAAATTAACATTCACAGCTCTGTTTTGTCATGAATGATAAGCGTGTGTTGGAAGGAGTCACAGCTATTGAGGATTTGATTCTGTTGTTGTTGTATTATTGGGTTTAGCAGCTGCAATCCAATTGTAGGGCCTTTGCTACTGATCCGCCTATGAAACATGGCAAACCTTCAGCATAAATGCCCCTCGATGCCGGAATGGAAGATTTTTCCGGCTGCTGCTGCTCTGGCCGCCAGGATTAACCCTCATATGAAGGGCTCGGAATGGGGGAGGGAAAGGCGAAAGAAAGGCAATTCTGAGCCCACCGAGGGCCATGCGCTGCCTCCCCTTCCCCCACAGTCGCACAGCAGCAGTAGGAAGCATCCTCCATCACCATGGCAACGTGTCTGTGGCTCGCTGCCCATTGGGTTACTCTGCTGTGGGCTTATTTTGCAAGATAGGCTTCACCCTCCTCCCTTCGTTTGGAGATTTATGCTCTTTCCCAGCTTTTAAAAGCTGGATTTGGTCTCTCTCCATCTTCCTCCAACTGTTAAAAATAAATAAAAAGCCACATTCTCTGCATTGACAGCTTCTTTGCACACACTCGCGTATGGAAAGCACATGTTTTGCCAGAGCCTTAGTGCTATCTTTCAGATGAACTGGACTTCCAACTGGCACAGTTAGAGGGAGGTGGAAAAATGGCAGATTCGGTGATCAATGTATGAGATTATCTCAGCTCTCTGTTCCC